GGTTATGTGAACATCAACAACCCAGGCTTTGCCGCTGGCATGGTTGCCTCGAGCACGATTTTTGTGTCCTCCGCCGGCACAAGCGCGTTTCTCCCTATCATTTCGGAGATGCGTAACCCGAAAGACTATAAGAAGGCCCTGTACCCCTGCATGGCTCTTGTTACGGCGTCATACCTTGCATTCAGCTTGGTTGTCTACCGCTGGTGTGGGCAATGGGTTGCTAGCCCGTCATTGGGGGTACGTTATTACCATCTGCCACGGTGCCAACCCAACCCTCGACGTGTAAACTGACATAATTTCTATAGAGTGCCGGCCAAACGGTCAAGATGGTGTCCTACGGTGTCGCTTTGCTGGGATTGGTTGCAAGCGCCACAATCTATCTTCATGTGAGAACTTTTAGCATCCTGTCCGAGTGGAAATTCTAACTGAGTTGCTATCTAGGTTGGGGCAAAGTACCTCTTTGTCAGAATTCTGGGCAAAACACGCCATTTGCAGTCAAATTCGGTGACCCATTGGGGAACTTGGCTTGGTTGCACGATTATTCTGGGCGCCATATCTTTTGTCCTTGCTGAGGCCATTCCGATTTTCAACTACCTTATTGCCTTGGTTGGATCTCTATGCTTTGCTCCGCTCGCCATATGCCTTCCTGGGTTACTTTGGCTCCATGACAATGGCCACTACCGGAAGGGATCTCTTATGCAGAAGGTTAAGTTTCTTCTCCATATTGGAATGGTGCTTCTTGGACTATTCATCCTTATTGGTGCAACCTACGGTGTTATCATCCAAATCAAAGCGGCTTACGCTGATGGGACCATTGGTAAGTGTGGAAACTTGAGAAATTGACGCCGGCCACTCACTAATATCACCTGAATATAGGCTCAACATTCACCTGTGCTGATAACTCGAACTCCTCCTAAACTAGATACGTTGGGCTTTGTGGATATGGGCTGCCGATAGACGGTGCTGGAATCTTGCATCCAACTTGAAGATGAACATGTAAACGAAAAAGCGATAATGTAATGTAATTAGACAGCAAATTTTATAATAAACATCAATTATTGTGACAAAATCACCTCGGCAGCTTTGTCTGCACTTGCTTAAAAGTAGCAGATAATGCGTCCCTCCCGTCACTACGAGTGACCAAATACAAGATACGAAGGTAAAGCTCCAATTGATAAAAGCCGCACTGTCCTCGCACTTGTGGGGACGTCAATTCCGTGTTGCTCCACCTGCTCGTAAACTCGGCCCAATGCAACTTCCGTGTACTTGCATATATAGCTGGCCTAACGAAGATTCAGAAATCAAGAGTTGTTGTTTTTCAGAGTCTCTGTATTCTCCCGGGTTGCTGAGCCTAAGTAAATATCCGCCACAGTCAATTCATCTGCTATCAGGAGTGAAGATCGTAGACAGTTCATAATCCTGTAGCAAAGAAAATTGATTTTCCAGCCCGCTTGTGGGTCTCGCACTTCGTAGCTATGGTTCCGGAAGAAGCCTGGCTCCGTGGCCGCGCCCGATGATCACGTAGGCGAATTGACGATTCCTTTGTTGAGCTTAGCTCTGCTTTTAATATATGGGAGATCGGACTTAAGCGAATTCCGCAAACATTTTCCCCCATGATTTAGTGACTGGCGCTGCCGACTGGCAGACGGAGACTGCCGCCGAATCCCAAGCTAGTATACTACTGCTATTTGACATATTTCAGACCAAACGACACGGGTCTTCACTCCAAATATCCATGGATACTATATAACCTATCGATTTATTTTCGATCACAGTCTAATGGCGAAGCTCGCCGGGGCCACGGTGTCTTCCAAGGCTCACACTTCCCATTATGGCTCTGGAGGCATTTCGGATTTTTAGCCCTATTGACAAGGCTCTTGGTCGAATGTACCATAAAGTAGCTGCTCTTCTCTGGTGTTATCTGCTACGTACGAGTATAGTACACCTCTGTATTATTCGTACATATCTACATCTATTCACACATACACGTGGAACAAATTCCCAGCCCACAGTGGGTCTTTAGCTCTTGTCAGGGTAAGTTCCGTACGGCTTCGCACCGCCCCGAATTGGGGCCAATTCCACATCTGTTCGGCTCAGTGGACATGGTTAGTGGTCTTTTATTGGGCCAATTTATTTGTATCATCAGTCTACCCGTGGAAGATTTGCATGAGCCAGGGATCTCCAGTCCAGCTTTCAGCAGCGGCATTCTATAAATCTTTCCCGAGCTCTTCAAGTTTATGTTTGGTTACTCCGCCAGGTGTCTTTCCGCTTGGAAATCTGCTCTTTTTTGATATTCATACAGAAATAATAAAAATAGCTCAGTTCTAAAAAGTTTTTTTTTTACCATTTCTGAGTTCCGCAATTTTGTTCCGGAATTTCCATAGAAGGGGCTCGCCTGGGCACTTAAGCGACATCCGGACGTTTAACGTTACGATGCATCAAAAATAGTTGACTGACCAGGCTTTCCAGTGGTAGAGGCAACAGTCGCTCTTCTGCTAGAGCGCGCAGCAGACCCAGACCCCCCCGAATGGAACAGACCTAATATTAAGCGCACTCAGATTGTATTCGGAAGATTTTGTTCTACTTCTACTCAAAGTGGGAAGCAATCCGATCCATCGTGGCATAGTATATAGTCACACTCCATTGATCATTGCCACCGCTCTCGAAATGTTTTGGGTTGCTGCGGCATTATTGAAAATTCTAATTATATACCTACCGTCTGCATGGTTCTTTTATCGGATGATCCGAGTGATGATTACTATTGTCAGCGATGTTGAATATGCAAAGAATGCAAGGACTGGGAAGCCACTTTCTTGTACCTAGGGCATGAAATTGCATAGGGAGGCCTCGATAAATTATGTTCATGATCAGTGAGCCCCTCGATCTTTCGGAGATCATCGTGATCGGGACCGATGGTAGAGCTGACGCTTCATACTTCAATTCCAGGTATTCGGGCCGCGGAGCAAGATAAAAAGGCCATTTTATCTCGTTGCCGGCGATTCCAGTAACATTGATTTTAACGAAAATCTCTGACTTGGACACGGGTGTTCGCTGAATGATTTGTGACGATTTTCGACAGGGTGAGCTCGGCCAGGATTGAGCGGCTTTTATGGTAAGCTCTGCAATTCTGGCATCCGTTTGAGGGAGACTCAGATAAAAAACAATGAAGTGTAATGTTTGGACTTTGAGACCACTTAAGAGGTCCCTGAGTGCTTGATTTAGGGCCCAGCTAACTTTTAGTATGTAGCCGACTCCATTCTGTTTGCGTAATCTGTGTTTCTTTTTAATAAGGTTTGATTATGTACACAATATTGGGTCGAACTCCCCTCATAGCGCGTTGTCCTTACTGACTGGCACATAAGCCAATGATGTCTCAAGGCTGTCAAGGAGGTCTCGGAGTAACTATAGGGCTGGACTGGGCCCGATCTCTGCCCACCCCGCACTCTGGAAAATCAGTTCGGATTAGTTACCGAGCAACGCAGGGCGCAAATCATGCAATGAAGATTCATAATTCGCGTAGACTGAAGTGTATTTTCTAGGGGTAGAATTTATCGCTTGCTCCGGTAGCCTTTTTGGCGTTCGTAGGGTGCCGCCAGTAAACCTAATGTTAGAGAGGTTCCTCTAGAAGCCTCCAAGGGTTGATGATACTAGGATGATCAAATACTCATTTAGTACGGAGTAGATAAGCCGGTATATGTATCGGCTTTTTGAGAGTCACCGGAGTTCTCGAATGCAAGCCCAAAATCAAAACTTGGCACGAAGCCAAGAGCAAAAAATGCCTCAGATCTCGAAGCGCAGCGCAATCATGCGGCAGTACCACTATGCTATCTGACATAGATACCATGCATGGCTTGCATAAAATTCATGGAAATATGATTCAAGTTAACTGGAGCTTTAATCACTGGCTAACAATATTAAGTCGGTATCGGTAGGTAAATTATTCAGGGCTGAATGCCGAACATGTGGCTAGAAATAGATGTGTAACATTTGGATCGGACTGATCGCCTCGTACTACGCACAGATGAAGTGTTTGAGCCCCACTAAAATTCTCCATTCATCGTATGACAACATTCCATCCCACCAAATACGAATGAAATCTGGCTTGGATTTTTAATGTTAGAGATCGGATGAGTCTCTAATGCACTTGCATCAACTCCCCTAACCGAGTGTGGACACATCGATCTCTCTCGTTACACCCACGGAAGAAAAATATTACTCGGCTGTTCTTGCTTCACCATCCGAAGACCCCAGATCTCCTTACTGGCTATATGGCTCTAGCTTTATCAATCCCTTGCTTTCTCCCAGGGTGTCCGGGGAATTGACTTCTCCCTAGCTGTCAAACTTTATGTTGCTGATCGCATAACAACATTGTGCTCATAAGCACAAAATGTGGGAGGACATTCTGTTTTCAGTCATAAGCCAAGAAAGAGCTTTTTTATTCGAAACCAGGTGAATACAGCGTTGTGGATATGCAGGTATGTGTCTAATAGCTAATGGTGGGTACGTCATGTAATCGCGCACAACACAGCGGGCGTTTGCATGATTGCCGAAATATGACAAGTCCGCCTTGCAGAATGATATGTCCGGAAAGCCAAGGACAGTGCTCGCATGTTATTAACGGTCAAAGCACACACATAAACAATGAAGTTATATCATATGATAGAATGATTGTCGTTCTTAATGCCCTTTAAAGAAGGAACGGACTACGCTATTTACTTCCGTGGCTTTAATTGACATCAAAATTGTTCTCGGCAAGATGTAGTCTTTATCCCCGGAGTTGGTGCACCTCTTTGATTCGCGAGGTTCTCATGTCATTTTGTGAGAGATCCACACAAGCCTGGTGAATATGATATCCCTGGTTTGAACGGTCCCCGCTTCTGTTGTGCCTCCTCAATCCATGGCTGTATTTAACTCAACATCATTCCAAATCTTTCGGCACTAATATTTCCCACTCGTTTAATCTTGCCTCCCTCCAGCAAGCGCTTACCCGATTGCGCGACATGGCTTCAACATCGTCCGATCACACGTGGACTTCCGGCGACTTCGAACACCCAAACGAGGAATTACGATGGTCTATCACTGTCGGGCTTGTCTTTGCTTTTCTTCTCTCCACCGTCGCCGTCGGCCTCCGATTCTTGGCCAGGCGATTGGCGGGTGGTAGACTGTACCTGGATGACTGGCTGATGCTTGTCGCTTTGGTTAGTATCACATTTGCAAATAAGATTGTACATTTGGGCTGATTAACTAATTTATTCAGCTATTCAAATACGGATGCTCAATTGGAGTGACTACGCGTAAGTTTACCGGTGGGATACTTTTGAAAGAGAGACTCATCCTGCAAATAGTTCTTTATAATGGCCTAGGCTCTCATATCGACACTATCCCCCCGAAGAACCTTGAATGGTATTTTAAGGTACGAAATAAAACGACCGGCAACGAAAGACGTGATTGCTGATGTCGCTTAGGTTGCATGGGCCAATAACTTTGTATATCCAGGATGCATTGCCTTCATCAAGCTATCTATTTTAGCGCTGTATAAGCGAATTTTTTCCACCAAAAAGATGAATTTGGCCGTTAACTTCATGGCATCGTTTGTTGTTGTCTGGATGTTTGGTAACTTCATTGCTGGTGCCATAAACTGTCTTCCAGTACAAAAGTTCTGGGACCGTTCACTTGAGGGGGCTTGCATGGATATTGCACCCTTTTCGTACGGACAGCAGATTCCGAATATTCTTTCAGATGCTATCATTCTTGTCATGCCTCTCAAGGTGGTCTGGACTCTGCCGATTCCCAAATCCCAAAAGATGATGCTTTCCGGGGTTTTCATTGTTGGAGGCCTGTGAGTACCTACTCTCTAGATGTATTGGAGAAATTTTCTGACTTTGTCTGTCATAGGACTCTCATCTTTGACTGCGTCCGACTGTGGCGTATGATTATACTGTCACGTTCGGGCCCTGACATCACGTGTATGTACACCGAATTACTTTTCTTTACCACCAAATACAGTGCTAACATTTTATACAGTCAACCAAGCTCCCGTTGTCCTTTGGACCTGTGTCGAAGCGGCCGTTGGTATTGTGGCTGCATGCCTCCCCAACCTCAGACCCCTCTTCAAGATTGGCCGACCTGGATTCTGGTCCCAGCTTCGATCTGGAAGCAAGGGGTCTGGAAAGTCTCACTTAAATACGACGACGACCACCACCACGACAACAAGCTCAACAAATATGAGTGTCCAAAAGGGCCCTCTTGATTCCCACGCGGCTCAACAAGGCGTTGAAATCCACCGCTATAGTGATATTGTCCGCGAAAAATGTTAAGTCCACTCCATACTGGGAGCAAGCCCCGAGGTCAAATGGAGCAAAAGAGATGACAGTGGGAAAGGGCGTGATGTGATGTCATATGGAGTCAGGAAACTGGGGAAGCCGGCGGAGTTGTTACAATTCTTGTCCAAGTCGGGACTTTTGATTTATATATTTTTTTAATACAGATACCCTCTCTCTTATGTTCGATAATGCGCCTCAGCCCTAGTGATAGAACTCTCTAACCTATTTCGATTCTGAAAGCACACAGTAGTCGTGTGAGTCTCATGTAGAGCGAGTACATATCTGGTGGCTGCCGAAAAATGGCTCGTGGCTTTATCCTACTGCCGGCGATAAACATCTGACTCCGAGGGCAACTAAAATGGGCGACTTATAGCGAACAACCGCCAGTGCGTATAATATATTGACAACAAGCTGAGTACCATCGTATATACCATGGCCGACCTCGGTAGAATCCAAATCCAAATCAGATGCGGAATTTGGGGTTTAGCCCAACCGGTGGCCATCCAACGATCATCTTTATTCGAGAGAGTGGGTAGAATTAGCACATGGAGTTGGCTCTGGCTTCAAATTCCCGATATAACTGGTCTGCAGTCCACAATAATTTTTAGAATTCGCATCGGGTGGGATTTTGGTCCACAAGCTCGCAGGCAGCAATAGATTCTCTCGTCATTCCACTTTGTTTATTCTTTCAATTGATTGAGAAGCGATCAGCTGCATTTCTTTCTTCTCTTTTCCAAAAAAGAGCTTACATGACACTATACCTAGTTCCAAGGCATTAGCAACTTTTATTATAAATTGTTGTGGTTCACATGTTTAAGAAACATGGTTACCCAGTAGCGGCCCGCCGCGCCGCAAAGCCACGACCCACGATCGCGTCGCCGGTACCATATCCTGGCAGGGCCAGCCCCACGGTCCAATGGGTTGGCGACCGACTAGGCATAATGTAAATCCGAGTCGTGGTTCTTTTTTTTTATAGCAGAAAGGGTAGATCGTCATACCTAATTATTTCCAGATAGCCAGAGCGCTCTAGGTGTTGGTAGATTAAGTTTACAGATTGGAAGTACGAAAAGTCTTCTCGTTGAAGGATTGGAGAGGCCTCATGGCATATGAACGACCTCGGGATATGAAAAATTTATGTACGTGGATACTTCATCAGGGGTAGAAGGACAAATAAATCCTTCACCCCATCACGCTTCTTTGATTTCCAATTTTGGACGCACTATTGAAACAAAGGTCGCTACTCGGTTTACTAGCATCGTAGCATTGAAATAATATGGTCTATTATCACCGCAGAGAGAAGAATTAAAACATTAAAACTATACACCTTCAGATCAGAGGGATGTAGACTTATGGATGTGAACTTGAAGCTATACAGAAGAATCATTGGAGTTATGCTGCAGATTTGCATCACGACCGGGCGCACCCGCGTGGGTACGATGAAAGGCACGATCTGCCGGCTGTCTTCCGGTGCCTTTCCCTCGGTCTCGGTCTTGAACATCTCTACCCGTGAATACCGACCGACCAATCACTCTGGTTATTTAGCCATTATCAGAGAGCTAAATATTGCGATAAAAAGGCTCTCGATTTACACGGGCCAATTTGTGGTGCCTTGGTGGTTCCTATTCAGGGTTAAGGTTCGTTGATGCTCAAATTTGAGACAGGTTTATCGAAACTAGTACAGGCTAAGGTATGTAAACAGTCTAGTTGGCTCCATCCGATATTGCGATCTGCAAGCCGGCTTCCAGCTAGCTCCGCTTTCTCTGTGGGAATTTCAATGCTGACAATTAGTTGGGATCATAGTGGGATTTCCCACACTCGCTTTTTGTAGTTTTATAAACCAAAGCGTTGAATCAATTCTTCATTCCAGTCATTTTTTGCCTTTGATTTTTTTGTTCCAACCTGTGTCACTCCTTCACGATGAAATTGCAATTGTTTTTCGCAGCGACTGTCATTCTAGCCAAGGCCTCCGCCCTGAGCCCTCCCGCTAACCACCCCCCCTGTTGCGTGGAAACCCGCTGGTCCTAACGACGGTATGCGTCTTGATCAATTTAAACGGCGGATACGAGAAACTGATCTTCTTCAGCGCGGGCCCCATGCCCCATGTTGAACACCTTGGCAAACCATGGCTATCTTCCTCACGATGGCAAAGATATCTCCGAAGAACAGACCATTACTGCGCTAGGAAATGTTCTTAATATCGATAAGGAGTTTGCCACGGCTCTCTTCCAGAACGGAGTTTCTGCAAACCCAGAAAAGAATGCTACTACATTCTCATTGAGCGATCTGACCCGTCACAATGTCGTGGAACACGATGCTAGCATGAGGTAAGTTGAGCTGTCGCCAAACGGCCCATGGTCCTTTCTAGCCAACAAATGGCCGCCTTGTTGGATGATTCTGACCTATTTTCACAGTCGCCAGGACTTCTACTTTGGCAACGATCACACCTTCAATAAGGCCGCCTTCGATGAAACACGCTCCTACTGGAAAGGCTCCCTTATCGATATTCAATCCGCAGCAAATGCTCGCCAAGCTCGCATCAAATCATCAAAAGCGATGAACCCCACCTTTGACATCCCCGAGTCTATTCTTTCATCAAGTTTCGGCGAGGCGATCTTCCTTATCGTCGTTATGGGTGACAAAGCGGCGGGTACCGTCCAGAAGATTTGGGTTGAGTACCTTTTCGGTAAGTCTTGGGAAGGCTAACTCCATTCTTTTGAATTAAGTCTGGTAGTATATCGGCTGACGTACGGCATCTTGCAGAAAACGAGCGACTTCCCTTTGAGCTTGGCTGGACTAAAGCCTCAGATGAAATCTCCGCCGCCGACTTCTCTAACATGACCAAACGGATCCAAGAGGCCACTGAAAGCTCCGAAAGCTCTCAACAGACCACAGAGAAAGTTTGCGAGTTCAAGAGACACATTGGAAGTCATGCCCGGCGCCAGGTTAAGCACTAAGGGCTGATGCATAAATGATTTGCGGTATAACTTATACTTAATCACTTCGTGGATCGCCTCATGGGGTGGACACGTTATGGAACGACTCTGAATGTGAATAATGTTAAATCAAATGACTCCATATCGCGCTTCGTGGAAATACAGAATTAATAGCCTTTCCTTGCATGCAGCCTGGCTATATATTCAAGTTGATGAAAAGCTTCCGAGTCATATCGACTTCTATCAGACCGCGGATAATCTTCTGTTCAGCGCAAAGTATTCCCAAGGTCATTGAACCAGACCGAAGATCATATGCGCTCCCATAGAAGTCGACATGACTCAGAAGCCTTTCGCCGACCAAGCGGAGAATTACCTCTCGAACCGCCGTCTGACTCCCTAGTGCTCATGCTGGCGTAGAGGATGTACTGACTTTATACCTCACGATCCCTTTCGTAGAAGCTGTGGGACACCCGAGTCTTTGTCTCTTTTGCCCCTCGTGCAAACGCCTACGACTGGGAGCGGGAACTACCTTTTTTCATGAAGCTACGCCACCCTCCGGTTTTTATTTGTCCTATGGCCTGGTAGAGGGTGAGTTGTCACCGGATCTCGGCGCTCAGAAGCCAATCACAATAATGAATCATCCCCGAAAGGCCTTTGGAACAGCTCTTCCGAATCAGTTTTTTTCATCCAGAGTTTCACCCTGATGTTCTTCAGAAGAATTTAAAAACCAGAACGTCAGGTCCAGAAGGCGACGAACGGAAAGAAAGGGTAGTCGGCGGTGAAAGGGAGGCTGCATAGTCCCGGGTCGGGGGAGATTTGGTAATGATTGGCCCCTCAACAGACCCAAGCATCCGAGTCGAAAAGTCGCCGGAATCCCCAAAGCTGTCCCCATAGAAATAGTTCTGACAAAATTGTCCACCTACCGTATGAATAATTCTAGCCTTGGTGGCTTATGGTCGCCTGCGTTTTTTTGGTGTCATGTTGGAGACGCGTATTGATGCGGGGGAATTCTCGGGATGTGGAGATGTTTGGTGGGGAAAAGTGTATGGCGCTCAAAAGTACTTGAGTCCTTTGTCCCATTGAAAAGTGCTCACGTCGAATCCTGTACGACGCTCTTGACGAAGTGATTCCCAAAAAGGCAGTCGAGTCCACAGTTTCACATTATCGAAGAAAAGGGTTTCCTAATTAGCTCTCAACAGTTCAGCTATCACTCAGTCAAGACCCCCTCCCCGAGTATCTTATCGACCAAAATGCCAGAACAAACTCTCGCCGGCAAAGTAGCCATTGTCAGTGGCTCCTCTTCAGGAATAGGCGCAGCAATCGTACGAGAGCTCTCGTTACGCGGCGCCAATACCGTCGTAAACTACCCATATCCCGATCAACAAGTCGAAGCCGACGCGGTGATTGCATCGCTACAATCACCATCATCCGCAATTACCGTGGAAGCAGATATGTCTCAAGTCGACTCTGCGCAGAAATTGGTCGATTCCGCAGTCACTAAATGGGGACGTCTCGACATCATCGTCAACTGTGTTGCATTAGCCGTCAACAAGCCCCTGGAAGAACAAACGCTGGAAGACTGGGATCTTCTTGTCAACATCAATGGCCGTGGCACATTCCTCCTTACCAAGGCTGCACTGCCTCATCTCACGAAAGGAAGTGGGCGGATCGTGAATATTGCCAGTATCTCTGCTCGGGGTCCGCCGCCGAATCAGACGATATATGCCGGAACGAAGGGGATGGTTGACTCGTTCACAAAGTGTTGGTAAGCTACGGACTGATCCTTCCCCGTGTCTGATTCATCAAGGACATCTTGTTGATAAATAATGCAGGGCGAAAGAATTGCCTCCGAAATACGGATGTACGGTAAATGCAGTAAGCCCCGGGCCGACGCGGACGGAGGGGTTCGCTGCGGCTGGTGAGGAGCAAATGAAAATCCTCCAGCCCATCATCGACCAAACACCCGTGGGACCCCGGATGGGACAGCCGGATGAGATCGCGTATGCGGTTGGATTCTTGTGTGAAGAGAGAGCGCGGTGGATCAATGGCGCACATATCATTGCCTCCGGTGGGCTGTTTATTGATTAATCTACAACGGAGTATGTTACTGTGTTTTGCCAAGGTATATTTCCAAACCTAATTGAAACCAATGTTAGTAAATATCATGAGTGAATGGGATCCTCCATTATTGAATGAGTCATGTACGTAGGATCAGGCTTTAACGGATGTGATATCAGTCCGACGGAGTTCAGGTACAACCCATTCCGCTTGTACGAGGCTGTGAGAGTCAAGGAGATCAAGGAGATGACTTTGACTGTAAATCCTAATTTTACTATGCTTGAGGACTATGGTGATGGATTAGTGTAGAAATGACGACGGAGAGAAAGATTCTGGGAGACCCAACGGAAACTAATTTACTTCTTTGTAATCGTTGTTGAGCAGTATGGGATAAGCCCGGGCAAGATTAATTGTGGACTTGTTTACTATCATGCCTCACCGCAGACCCGCCATCAATGGAATAAGAGGCCAAAAGGAATATTGCAGACTAGCGTGGCGATGTTATGGGGTGCGCCTCGTGACCCTGGCCGTTCGCCTCTCGTGGCGGAGCGCTTCTTCATGTATCGGGCGCCAGACAGCGGCTACGTAGAGCCCCACCCAGCTTAAACTAACAAACGAACGAACGAACGAACGGGGCATCGTACTCGGATTGTGGTCAGCTTACCTGGGAGCCAAATTTGGCAGCAGGCGCGTGTTGTAATACGCGGCGCCCCACCAGGTCGACGAGCGTAAGTAAGGCATTGAGCCTTCCCCATACGGGATCCACGACATTCGCCTTTGAATCTGGCAGCCAGTGCATATTTGGGCATAACGGATTGTGTTGCCTGTGTTAAGATAAAATAAGGCAAGGTTGCGCCTCGCTGCAGGATCAAGGTGGGCTGTGGAGCGCCGGATGCGGGTCATTGGGAAGCCGAAGGGTAGCAAACGGAGAAGAACTGTAAATAAACAAATAATTGAGTTGCCTCGCATCCAACACCCTGTTTCATGTTAGATATGCCAGAGACAGGGCTTAGTCGCACGACTTTGCCAGTATTCCAGCAGGCTCAGGATTGACTCCGCCAATTGACTCCGCTACGAACAGAGCACTGCCCACAGAGAGGATCAGAAGGATGCCAAGCTGCAAAGTCGGACGTAGGCAGATTCATTAAGATGAACATTCTGGGGAAGTAATTTAGTTGGGGGCGAATTGTGAGGCGGAGTTGGGGAGTGAAGGAACCGAAGAGAAAAAAAAAGAAAGAATAGAGAATGGCCAAGCCTTGAGAATTCCTAAAAAGGCCCAAGTTGCGATGGACAAACTGGCAAATTGGCAAATTGGGAAGCCACGATCGGCATGTTCCTGTGGCTGGTGCGCTCCTTCCGCTGCGGATGAAAGTGTGGCGCATGAAAGGGTGTGGCGCATACACACAACTTCTGATAGCCCACGAGTACGAATCACTTGCCGTTCACAGTATTGGAGAAAGAGAGGCTATGCCCGGTGGATCGCCAGGAACAAATAATGCTAAATCGGCTTCGTCCGAGTGGATTGGTGGTTGGGCTGTGCAGGCATGAGACCGTGTACATCACCACCGCTGCGCCTCCATCCAAGAGCGGGTTTACGGAAGCAGACACTTTGACATAGTTAATAAATACCTACCACTCTCTCGGTTTGGTTTAGAAATCTCTTCACTAAGACACTTAAAGACATCCCCAAAACCAAAGTCGCCTCCACCACCAAAAACTCTAGAAATCTAGACTCCCCCCAGTGGCTTACAACGCTTATCCGGTGGCGAACCCCCCCTATCACAATCTCTCCGCCTCTCTCACTTTAAACTCCAACCTCCCCCCGAACTTCGACTTCTCCCAACATTGCACCTTTACCCTACAAAGCATAATCATATCAGACGCCATGGCTCAAACATCTCCTCCCCAGTCTCTGGCTGCATCCCCTCTTTCCAACAAACCCGCTCTTCGCGGTCATCATCGCGGCCTTCGCTCTCAATTGACCTCAACAACCTCCCCGCGCTCTCCCAGCCAACGCCTCCCTCCAACACACTATTGATCACCGACCTAAACGACCTCGTCCTATTCCAACCCAACTCTTTGGACGCAATCCGCAACCAAATCCTGGTCCTCGCCGCACTAAACTCCTTCTCACCGCTCCCCTCCCTCCGCCGCATCGTCTGCTCCTTTTCCTCCGAAGAAGCCGCAATCACCGTGCGAAAGTCCCTCGAGGGCAACAGACTTCTCGGTCGAAAGATCACCCCCCGCATCTACTTCGGTGAACCCACCCCGCTTATCAGCCAGGAGGGTCCCAAGCTTCTGAAGGCCCCGCAGTCCGACAAGCTCTTCTTCATTTCCCCGCCACCCAGCCCTCCCGCCGGATGGGTGATGCGCAACGAGGAGCCGCCCAACAAGGAAGTGCACGCCGGTGATCTCGCCAACGCCCTCTCCATGCTCAACACAGACCAACCTGCCGAGCCGGAGTCTTTTGGCAGCGTCGACCCCGCTACACCCGTCTCTATGACTTCCGACAAGCGCACTGGTAGCTGGCCCCTAGCAGGCTCGCAGCAACGCAGCCGCAGCAGCACTATCATCTTTCACCCCGAGGACCACGGCAACAGCCCCAACCTGCCGGCAGTGATGGTCGAGGATGTCAGTCTAGACCTGGATGACGATGTTGACATGGATGTGGGTGTGGATTTGATTCCCATCGATATGTCGGTCAAGAAGATGCCGCCGAAGACTTCTCGTCCCCCTATGGAGCTGATGATGGAGTAAAAACAAGGCATGCATTGTTTATTTTGCTTTTTTGGCGCATTTCTAGCGAAGGGGTTCCTACTTTTGTTCTTGTCCATAGCTCATCCACTCATGAAGTGGCATTCTCTCATCGGCGTTGGAAATGGTTGTATGCTTGGCAGCATTGTCTCGGCAGGGATTTCGTTTTACTATCTACTTATCATCTTAAGCGTCAAAAATGAGGCTTTCATCTGTTATAATATGAACATCACACTCCTATGATAACGTCTATTTTATTAAATTCCTCGTAAATTGTTTGAGGTTTGTTTGTATTAGTTTAGCCCGCCTTTTCAAGGGCCGACTGAATGTCGAATTTACAGTATGCTGACCTAGGATAGATAGTGCCGAAATGACCAAATACTAGTATATAACGAAAACCAAGTTCTGCAGTTCGCCAATGCTTAATAAAATGACAGTATATATTCATCAAGACCTTAAGGCGAGGAGGGCTCGGCCTTGATCTTTGCCTCCTTTGCCTCCTTGGCCTTCTGCTCCTCAAGGGTAGGCTTTCTCGCCCAAACACGGTTCCTAGTAACGAATTAGCACAGAAACATCGCAGAAATTCATCGGGTCCAGAGCAGGAGGAAAACATACGCAGGCTCATAAGCGTGAATGTGCGGGTTCTTCAGCTCAGTGCGAATCTTAGCAAGGAAGACCTGAACCTCCTCCTTGGACCAGGGCTCGGGAATACCGTGGTGAGTGAGAAGCCACATAGCCCAGCCCTCCAGAGCGGCGTTCCAGTGAGCAAACTGAAGGTGACCAGCCTCCTTCAACAACTTGTCCTTGGCCCAGGGTCCGAGGGGAATCTTGTACTTGACTTCGTGGACATCGACGAATCCGGCCCTCTCGATTGCGCTGCGCATCATTTCGTGGGTTCGTAGTGATCGGTCTCCGGCTCGTTCGGAGCATCCGATGAACATGTCGCCCCATCCGTAGAGCTCGTGGCTTGGTTTCAAGCTGCCGTCGTCGCTGTAAACGCGCACGTCTAATTCCATTTGCTCGATCCAACCACCGGGTTCGAGGGCGCTGTAGGTGAAAAAAGAGAATAGGTCAGGCCTCTTTTGTCGTTCGAGTTTCTAACGTATTTGGGTTAAAGATTTGGAGTTCAAACTTACTCGTAGGCTTGTTGGTACACCTTCTCCCAACCAGCAGGATCGAATGCACCGTACATCAGACGCAGATGGATAAAATCGAAAGGCTCTCTCCAGGTCCACTCGCGGAGAATATCATCGACTTCGAAGACACAGTTCGGGGGCATCCATGTGACAGGTGGGGGGAACATGTCCACGCCACGAACGGTAGCTGTGGGGTAAAGGTCGGCAACATCACTAAGTTATTTGTTAGAGCTTCTCTCTCGAAAATGAGCTATTTGTATACATACATTGCCCAGCTACCTTGGCCAGTTCCAATGTCTAGAATGTTCTGTGTTCATCATTAGTACGATTTTCAAGCCAGGACTGCTGGCCAAGATTTACCTTGGGCGAGTCGCCGATAGGAGCGCGGAAAAGTGGGTTTGGCTCATTGTGATCTAACACCAGAAACACCATATGACTGGATTTGTTAGCCACTTCACTCCTTGCTGCGCGGATGAGAGAGAGATATGCCGCTTACCCGATCTCAAAGGCTTCGAATTGCTGCTCGTCAGAGGGCCCCCCTAGTTGTGATTAATTTAGGCCAAATCAATATTGATATTTCACGACCAACCAGTAATCATCGTCCTTGATAGCTTGATATCTATAATTCCGGTTAGTTTCGGGGTGAAGATTGGGACTAGAGGCGGACTAACCTGCGGCCGTTTTCGAGGCGACCCTTTGCGATCGTGGACGCAAGAGAGGTAGTCTCCCTGCATGATGATAGTCAGAAGGCGAGCTATCGACCTTAATTTAGAGAGAGAGAGATATACTAACGATGCGAAATCTTGCGGCTCGGTGTGATAGTTGGAGCTCATGGCATAAAAATCCGGGTCCTAGGGTGGCCGTGAGAAAATCGCCCTCCTTCGGACTTGACGGGTACGACTTACCACCGCAATGGGGTCCATCTTCGCGATGGGTTTCTCACTCATCGTTGCGGGTGATCGTGCAAGAGCTGGAGGTTGAAGCTGTAGCTCTGGACGGTGAAGAAAAATTGGGAAAGGGGGTTGTTGGTGGGAAGCGGTGGGGTTGACAGACGGCGACGGGACTCCCCGTGTCCGCTCGAACCATTTAACAAACAACTCAAGTCGAAGCTCGAGTCCACCCGAATCAAATCGATATTCCTCCTCCAACGAATCAAAAGTACGGAGCGAATGGGCCCAGGCCATTCAGGAAGGTGATGTGCCCCGGGTTGAATCAAGTTGGGCCCACCGATTTGACCCACAACACAACGTGATTGTTTGGCAGTGTGGCTTTTGGCTGCTTTGACACCCCAGCCCCAGCCCGCTTTGTAGCCTTGCACAATATTGTCGGTGGGGCATTTCAAGATTAGGATTGTGTATGGTGGAAGAGTAGCCAGAAAAAGCCAAATCTCCTGCCGTGGGCCAGTGACAGACTCCCATCCCTGCATCGTCTACAAAAACTCCACACGGGGAAGTGCATGGCGTGAGCCGGAGTGGCTGCACGCTCATGCCTCGAACTGCATTGGTTGTGGAGCCTTCACAGGTCTTGCTTATGCACGCTAAGCAGTACTTGGGAACTAATCAGCCGCTCCGCCAGAATCGTCCTCCGTATTGGATGATTCGGTGCCCGTATCTGCACACGAGGATTAACGAGAGCACACGAACCAGAAAGACAATCGGCCAGGCGCATGCGCAGTATCAAAGCATCGGATCTAAAGAACCCATGCCCAGTGCACATCTCTATTGAACTTTTGCTATGACAACTGGTTGAATTATTCAAATAAGAGTGGTCGTGACCACGGTATTGGCTGGTGGTCGGTTTGGATCGGTTCGATTCGTCATTCCACCATTACCATGGCTAGTCTTGAAACCCTTTTGGATTTCCCAAACGGGACCACCCCCCCTGGTCCCCAAATCCCCGGACATGTCATGGTTTGTCGATCAGAACTCCACTATTTTTGGCCATGTGCAACCTTGATTTTATAGCCCCCACCCTTCTAGTTGCCTTCGCCCGACATGCACCGGCAGAACCAGGCTGCACTGCGATCAGACGGAGAACATGATCGGGAACATGGCGATGACCCCGGAGACCCCTGCCTCGTTCGGACCCGGAACACCGCCCTTTGCTCTTTGGATTGGCGGATCCAATGCGCTGGTTGACGGGCGTCGTCTTCTGGAGCGCTTTGGGAAAGGAATGAAACTCACGGGCAAGTGAGACTTGCAAAGTCATTGATGAGTAAGAACAATGTCTTCCGGGCTTGGGATGCTCTAGATAAAGTTGACCATTTCAGAAAATGCGCGGGGTTTCTGCTGTGTCCCATGTGGGGTCAATGTAAGCCTGCTCGAGAATTTAACAGACTTGCCTATTACTTGCTAATGCTATAATGATGCTGATGAAGATTGATATGACTAGATATGAAGCTACGTATATTGCATTTGCAAAGTGCGCCTGATCACCTTACTCAGTCATGAATAGGTCGAGGTCTATTATAGGACCACCCTTGAAACTGCTTAATCATTTCATCTGATACCATGCCAGCGTGCATTCCTATCGTACATCCCTTTTCATACGGCAAGTCTCGCATCTTTTTCCCTTGGGCAATGGAGTCCCAATCACATCTGAATGAAATTGGGAAATCACTGAAGTCTGCTCCGAGAGTACACCCTGAAAATTGTCGGAGAAAATAGTGTGGCGGGCTCGCGAGCTCTGCCCCTGTCCGTGATGATGGGGAAGCTCCGCGATCGAGTAGCATGTCTTTGATTCTCGTGTCCTCCCAGTATATCTTGGCTCGCGTCTGGCCTTTTGTCGCCCAGTCTAGTGCAGTCCAACCATGTCCATCGGGGGCATTCACATCAACCTCCGTTATATCAAGGAGGTATTTAACGGTATCAGCATGCATGTTCATGGCAGCTAAATGGAGCGGGGTCATGTAGTCCAAACTTTGAGTAGCTTCGAATTTTACCCCAGCTTCAACCAGCAACGGTATGATGTCCGTTTTTCCGTCGCGCGCAGCCACTACCGCAGCTTGAGAGCCAAGGGACTGCTCTGGCCACCTTTGGGCATGCACCGATAGCAATAATTTCACCATCTCCGCCTGGCCCCCTCGTATTGCCCACACCAGGGGAGCCCAGCCAGGGTCAGACCAGAGCGGGTCTCGTCGTGTGGTTCTTTCCAGAAGGAACTGCACAATACCGTAATGTCCATTCTCGGCGGCATAAGATAGGGCAGACTGGGAGTCATCATTGTCAGTTTCAGGAAATGCATGTCGATTTACTGAGTTCTTGATTACCTTTTTGCAGTCCCTTTCTTTATCTGCACATTTCAAACGTTTCTCTTCCAACCTCGAAAGTTTCTTCAGTGCTGGTTTCGGAGAATGAAGAGATACACTGCTGTCGAAAAGAAGCTCCACCAAAGGCTGGTATCCACATGTCGCTGCCCACGATAATGGCGTTCGACCTTCCGAGTCCGTTAATTCAAGCTGGGCATCATATTGGAGAAGAAGATGTAATATTTCCTTATAATTTGTACCTGCCGACCACAATGAAGACGTTAAATTGGGCTGCATCAAAGGTGGTCCGTGTGCGTCCTCTGGAAAGTGGACGCCATCTCCTTTTTCTCTTTCTTTCTCCATCCAAAGGGAGGAGCCGACAATATCGACCTCGAAATAAACGACCAACGGACAGTGGATATTGCATTTAGGATCTTGCACCTCTTCCCTAAACATGTTTTGATGTGCCAAATCCCGACTTTCGCCCCCAAGTTGAGGTGATCCTGCCCAGTGCAGCGGCGTCCGCATCACGAGATTGTCTCCGGTATTTGGATTGGCCCCTGCAGTCAAAAGTAGCCGGACAACATCCACAAACCCTTGTTCGGCAGCAACTGAGAGTGGGGTCCGGGATCTTGGACATTTGATGTCCACATCGATGTCATCTATGCCCAGGAGCAGCCTGGTCACGTCTTCATCTCCCCGGATAGCCGACCAAAGGAGTGGACTCCAACGATTGCAATGTGAAGGACGTGAAGGATTTGGGCTGAGTCGGAAGGTTGGACTTTTAGTTCTGCTGGCGGAAATCTGTAAAAGCCGTTGTATGGTACAAGCATGTCCCATCTGAGCGGCATAGAGCAACACTGCGTGGGCGCCATCACGACGTATTTCGTTTTCATACAATAGGCCAATGAAAGACTCGTAAAAGAATTGGCAGGTGCGGATAATGTTATTGAAATACCTTTGCGAGTCCAGTTCAGCGATAATTTGCTCTATCAATTCGTTGGGGAGTGTGAGCAGCGACATCATTCTCTATTTAGCAAGAAGATGGCTAATAACAAAAGCTAGTGAAAGATTGTGAACATACACACCCCTACTTTGTCAACATCGTAAGGGAGATAGGGCCATTAAATGAGGCTATGGCTAAGATTCCCACACACAGCCACCGCCACAATACGCGTCAGCTCATTATTCTAGGCAAGCTTCATTTCAAATGATGCGCTAGTTCAGCCATCGAAAGCCAACTCTCCAAAACAAAAAAGGAGTAATGTTGGTGACACCAGTTTCGGGACATATTGTAACATTCAAGTTGAGCGTAGGTTGAATCACCACATCGATGGTGAGAACTTGAATCTTATTGAACCGATATATTTTTTGACCATAAGTCTCAAAACAAACAGGCCTCCTGATTATGAGAGTGATGCATTAATTATTTCTCCGGGCATTGGAGCGTGATTTGAATACTGGGGTCCAAATTCCAGGATGTATGATCGCCGTATAAAATAGTGTGGTGGCATTCCCGTTACCCCTTAGTTACGCCTTTTTGGACGGTGAAAGCACCACCTTTGTTTGGTATAACGGAAGTTCGAGTTGCGGTCCCTATAAAGTAATGAATCCAATCTGACTGATTGTTTCTTCTGACAGGCTCGCGTTCTCTAGAACCCGTATATTTACACGAACTATGTTGATTCATCGGTGTCTTCTCGCCTGTTCCCATCCTCATCTTCGACACGATGTCATGCCAGTGCTCACTTGGTTGCGTTTCAGGCTACCGAGTCGTATTCCAGTGAACTATCAACCCACTAAAGCCACAAATTCCCGAACGAAACAAGATGCTGTTCCTCGTGGTACAGCTCCGAGACCGATGTCCCGAAAACTCCAGAGCCCTATTGCATCACTATCTGATTGGCTTCCACACTCTCAAAGCCGACGCCCATATATTACCCAGCTGTGCCTTACACCGCTGATATTTTGTCTTGGAAACTTTTCAGCACAGATGATAGGAGATGATGATTTCGACTATTATCGCTCGTTACGGAGTGTCATTATCGGTCTTGTTATCGCGATTCCTAGTCATGAATGGTTCCTGTTCTTTGGGCGGCGGTTCAATTACAGCTCCCCCTCTCTGTCTTTGGGGGCGAAGGTAGCTGCCAACCAAGCCTTTTACACTCCGATGTTCAATGTCTATTTCTTTGCGGCTCATAGACTCCTCGCCGGGGAGAGGCTTTGGGGTGCAATTGAAGAGAGGAAAGATAAAAGTATTCCCAGAAGCTTCCTATTTTGGCCTTTGGTGACGGCATTCAATTTTTCATATATCAAACCCCAGTCTCGATCAATTGTGACATCGATGTTCTCTGTTTTTTGGCAATCATACCTCAGTTGGTTGAATAGTTCTGCCGGGAACGGAAAAGGAAAGCCCACCTGCAATTCTGGGTCATACATGTGACTGCCGTGGAATAATTTAGAATACGACGAAGAGTCCTACTTTGATGCAATATCGATCCTATGTATAAAACTGATTTCTCGGCAAGTTCTTTTTGCTTTAAATCCTTTCATAGCGTCCAGGCAGGTTTGATTCAGCATTTAAAACAACTAATCAATCAATACTCTACTTCTTAGCCTTCCGCCCCTCCGCATGACACTGCACCATTAAACATCTGGTCTCTTTTCCTTTTTCTTCCCCTCATTCTGCTCATCTAGCGCAAATTTCTTGTGCTGGCAAAGATAATGACATGTACAAAGTTTCGGCATGCTCTCGGACTTCTTCGTCTGCGTGGGTACCTCGACGTTCATGATGCCGAGACCCTCAACTTCCTTTCCCTTCTTGCCGTGATCTTTGGAACCGCTCATATTGTCAATTTATCTGATAGTTACTGTAAGTTGTTAGTGAATATCAGGGAGCTGAGAGCTTACTACTTAGCCTTTGTGCTATAATAGAACTAGTAGAGGGTGGCTGGTGGGTGATTGGATATTCATCGATGAAAGATTGATCTACTACTAGTAGTATATATAGAGGTTAGGGACAAAGGATATGATAATATGTACTAGTAATTAGTACCAGAAAAAAGACCAGGTCATTCGAGAAAGTCGATATAATGCTTTTGATAATATGAGACTGATTCACGCAAAGATGTCTTTCTAGGCTCGAAGGCGGCGGGTAGCTTTATCACTTAGGCCCTGGGCTATTCTTTGCTCCATTCACCAATGCTTGGAAACCGCGTAGAAGAGAATGGAAATAGTCGATTTACGGCAGTTCATAAGCAGACAAGGGGCAATTTCGTCTCGGGTACAGTATTTCCGGAAATCGGTGTCACCCCCCATACTCTTTCATGGTCCCCCGGACCCTAAATACCAAGATACGCTAAGCTACTTTCGGACAAGCTATATCAGCCTCATTTGTTTTTGGACCATACCGTAAATTACCGGATTATCGTATTGGCGGGGAAATTGTTTATTACCTGTAAGGCGAGAAGTTGCAGCCTGAGGCCCGACGTCAACTTCCAATCCCCACACTGAGCGGTGCAACGAACCATGGCTCCCAACCTAGCAACGTTTAGTGCCCGGCGGTCACCTGAGAGCGGGGCAAAAGACGACTTGAGACACAAAGTAGGGCTACTCTACAAAAAGCTTTAATAGGAGGTTATAATATAATTGTTGATATATTGCTCGGGGCTAGAGTGAATGTCAATGACTAAGGTGGTGAGTACAATAATGTAATATAGGCTACTGTGTGGAGAGGAAGTGCCGAGACAGTCAAGATCCTCCTTGACGCTCAGGCCGATGTCAATGCCTAGGGTGGTCATACGGCAACACACTACAGGCTGCTACATAGAGAGGAAGTACTGAGACAGTCCAGACCCTGCTCAACGCTCAACAATGTGGCAAAATAATTGTAAAATGCAAGACACATATCAATTTTAAGGGGTGCAATATTTGATATCACTATTATTCAGTTTCTGTGCTTTCCACAACACAGTTTTCATCAAAAGCTTCCAAGCACGGCAAGTTTTTCTTAAAGTGCGCCAGCGCCCCCGCCAAACCCGCGCATAATCTAAGAATTTGACGGTTCGAAGGGCTGGAAAAAGCGCCTACATAATGGTGTCACCATATCCCAATTAGCAAATTACACCGATTGCGAAATTGTAAACTCAACTCACGGATATCCGACATAACACTTTATCCCACTGTTCTTGGCTCAACCCATATTCAGGTACGCCGAATTCACTTTCGTACTGAGGATTGATCTCCAATATCTTTAGGGATGGACATTGTAGCTGTGGAATATAATCGCGTCCTTTTGGGCAGTACAAGCACAATCGCTGAAGGTTTGGAAAATTAACTCCTTGAATTAGAGAGTCGTAGATATCTGCATTATCTTCGTTAATAATAAACAGATCGGCTCGTGTGACCAAGTTTGCGTGAAATTGCTTGCGACAAGGATCACGAAATCCTGCAAAACAGCCAAGGAGATCTGTGTTCCCATGGCCAGGACCACCCAGGCGCCTCCAGATAAACCGTATAGCCTCACACCACCAAAGTGTATTGACAAGGCCACATCGGAGCAAGACACCCTTCTTGTCGTAATAATACGACCTAGGACAGTTACTCCAGTCAATCTCACTAAGAGAGCTAAGCCCGTCCCAGACGATGCTGTCAAGAAAAGCGTCCTCTGCGTCATTCCCTACTTCACAACTAAAACCATCATCCTTGTCAATCCAGGAGAAGATTTCGCGAAGGAGTTGTGGCGTGGAAAGTACATGATAAGTCGCCGTCATCGATAAGTATTGTCTGTGTGGGTAATAGATAGGAGTCCCGGTTTCAGAAAGAATAACGTTGAAGCATTCAGAGATGAACAAGATCTTTGGTGAGTTGCGCAAAATCGCTTGAAGTGATGAGTCAATTCAATTGCCAACCCCACTTTTCGGCCAGTCCCACCAAGTAAGACATCTTCGGAGCCTATGAAAGCCGAGGATATACTAGGTGGGTCTATGCTGCATGACCCACCCTCCTATGTCGACCGGACCCTGAATCCGCCCGACCATGCGTATGGGACGGGTTTGGGCCCAGACTATCGGAGCAAGCTGAGATAGTATGAGCCAGTTATACTCTCCAACGAACAGGCAACTAGGCGAGATCAGGCGGAACCAATTTTGGATCAAGACGTTTATTGATTGAAGAAAGAACGAGTATCATTGGGAGTGCGTGTCATTATGCTATGGCCGTAGGTTGTGATTAAACACTGCCTACGGAGTACTCCGTACTAACTCCCTAGTGCTATAAATATAATCAGGCGTTCCAAAAAGGCAGTCTGATTGGCCATCTCGGCGCGCTTTATGTTAGGCGAATGCCAACCACGCTAATCCGATGGCTTTGCACGGTGAATGTTACATCACGGTTTGACTACTGGATCGAAAGCCCACTCCCCATTATGAACTCTTTCTGTCACTACCTCCTCCAACTCTACCGCGAGTCTTCCATACTTAAGTACCTTGAAATATCAGCATCTGAGGACCAACGGTCTACTGATGGCGCCTAGAACACGAGATCGCTTTCCGTTGTTCTGGGGAAATCTGCAACTCACCTTGCGCTTGTGCATCCTTGGGACAGCTATCGCAGCTCTCTGCTTTCTGGTTAAATTAGCTACCACGTACAAGAACGCCAATAACGGCAAGGGTAAAACCTTTGGCGGTGCCATTTTCACAGTGAGCGTTTCCGATTCAGCTCGCAGCGCCTAGCTAATGCAAAGCATCTTAACCAGAGCACCTGCGCCATTGTCACCAGCCTAATTGAGTCTGTTACGCTTCTCGACCATAGACACCGTATAAAACGGGCTCCAGGGTGGATTAGGGGGGTTCGCGGATCTGATTGTACTTGGTGTGGGGATTTACTCGATTTTGGAGATTCTGTTGAGTGATTTTGCCCTTGGGAACGCGCCTGTGGGTTATCCAACCCCGTGGAGTGAGCTTCAGTATGTGGCGGGTAGTCTGGTGATTGCTATTGTGTAAGAACTTATCACGCCAGGATAGATCCAGAACTCAACTAACGGTATTGGATAGGGTTGAAGCGGCCATTGCTCTGCTTCTGGGATGTTTTTGTGCATGCAGGGAACGGAAGAGGCGCGCGCACGCATCTCCCTCAGAGCAACGATCGACCGCTTCGGTTGAAGATCAGCAAACTCATCAATAGATAAACAAAGTTGCGCATTCACGGCCAGGTGTAGGGGCATACGAGGGAGTCGATACCGTCGATTAGGCCGACGAGGTTCGCTAGTAGGTGTAATCATTATCGAAAGCAGCGTAAGCCATACCCTCAAATCAGTAGGTACTTCCGAGGAGCGTATTTATAGTGCCATCGTACATTAGCTGGAAACAAGAGGCTGCCAACAGGCATGAGGTAAGAAGATTATGTATCTGGCAGGCTGAGTACGGTGATCAGCAGGATCATTGGTCTTCTGTCAGTTCGAGTTCGGTAGATCGGCCCCTGTAGTAAAGTGGTGGGGTTGCTAAAGGTTCTATGATTGCGAGTAAGCGCTAGGATTGCCACTCGGACACGCTGCGTGGACGGGGAAGATGACAACAAGTTGTCAGGTCCGCAAGATCCAGCGTTGCTGGGAGTTGTTTGAATTGCTACGGATGGTTCCTTCAATACTCGTATCTGCCATACATACGAAAGCAGATGGTATGTAACTTAATTCTGTAAGTAACTGTATTGGTAGAAAACCGCAAATTGACTATTTGTCTTTTTTGCTTAATTAGGTCTAGTGTATCTTGGCATCTTGGGTTCGGGAAAGAATGAAAGAGTGCCGGGGGTGACACCGATTTCCGGAAATACTGTACATGAAAGCGCATTGTATTGTCTTCTATTTTACCCGCCACAATGGGTCTTTGTTCACCTCCGACAGAGAAAGCTGTCTATTATTGAACTTGAACATCTTGCATATTACTGGAGGAATAAAATAAGCCCCATCTAGTAATCCAATGGTACCACCGTCTCATATAAAACTTGAAAGCTCGAACTCCCCACACATCAATTAAATCGAGATCCGTCTAAACCATGGCAGCGCTACTACTCTTTGCCAACACAGCTCCGCAGTGTAACCGAAACTGTTATATTATCCTGGGCGCAATACTGGGCGTAGCAGTCACTGCCACTCTGGGCATTTCCCTCTACTTTTGCCTTAGAACCCCCTTCCTCAGATTCCTCAAATCCTTCAAAAAGGATGATTCCAATGTTTGACAAAATGGGGTTAACACTACTAGAAACCGAGGATTCAAAGGCCATCCAAACCCAACTTGACAAACTCCTTCTCTCAGACCTACACGAGAACACTTTTCCGACGACCGTATATCTCAACGAAGAGCACACAGGCACGGGTACACGCACACATAACCCATTAATTCCCCTCCAAAACCCCTTCCCAAAACACACAGAGTCCCTAGTCCACTTCAGCATCCACAGCCACGACGAAACAATCCTACACAACCACATTCTCCTTCCACAGACACTGATGCCAGTCCTAGACAGGGCCTTCATACCGAGCAAAATCTGGCATTTAGAAAATGTCTACAGTACCTCTGAAGAGCAGACCGTGACATGGGTAGCGGTACCGATGACATTTTACCACCGGTGTCGAATTCCCGAGGACTTTTTGATCGAGGTAGAGAGCGCGCTTCAAGGTCAGTGGTCGGATCGTCGTTGTGTCATTGTTGATAAACCAGGTGTAGTCTCCAAACATGCTTTCTGGCTTCAGGTACGCGGGTTTTTTCGCGGCCCGGATGATGTTTTTGCTGCTGCTAGAAGACAAGCGAGTTTATTGAGACAGCTTATTATTGGTGGGTATATTGTTCTTGGGCAGGAAGTTTTGGGGGCTGATCGAAGACTTGGGACGATGTATGTGCCGCCGAGTAAACATGTTCATTCTAAATTTCTTCTTGGGTCTATTCGGGGTTGCTTGGGGGATAGGTCTTTGAGGTAGTTGAAACTTGGCTAGTTTCTGGCTGCTGTTCAGAGTTGAATATAACAAAAATTGATTTCTTGAACAAGTTTCCAAAAATGATCATAAAGCTTTTTTTTACTAGTAGTGAAAGGTATATGGACAGATGTAGTTCTCGAATCACGGCCGAATATTTGCCTTCATCTTAAGATGAAACTCCCGATTGCGCCGCCAAACCGCCAGAAATGAACTAGCTAAGAAGAAAAGAAAAAGCAGAAGAAACTCCAACCTGCATGCTCAGAACCGTTTTGTGGATCGTTCGCCTTGCGATATTTAGAATCCGTAAGCGCCTTGTCCATACGGCGTAGCACCATATGGCGTCTGCGCACTAGCGCCCCACGCGCCGGCCGCACCGTTTCCGTACGCTGTGAGATGGCCATCGATGCCCTCGGGAGGTTCATAGGCGTCAGGGTCGGCGCCGCCCATCATATCGGCATCTTCGACACCGCCGACGTGGCCGTCCTCGCCTTCGCCTGAGAGAACGGAGATGGTGGTGGCGAGCTTTTGCTGAAGGACTGTGATACCTTGCTGGATGATCATGTCGGGTTCCAGGTTACCGATGCTCTCCACATCGAAATAGTATGTGTTGGGCTCGGCGTCATAATCGAAAGGTTGATCCGGGTTGGCAGCAGGTTCCCAAGCAGCATTTTCAGAGATAGGCCTAGATGAGTTCAAAAGTAAGCATTCGCAATTCGTAGACAGGACAATCAATTTTCTTTTCCATCAAAAGAAAATTCGTGAAAGTGCATGCATGCAGTACATACCATTCCTTAGCGGCATCCTGCTCATACCAGTAGTCGACATGCTTCAAGTTATTGTGCGGATCATACTCGAATCCAACAGCAGAAGTAGGCGCCCACTTCGCATGCTCCTTCGCCGTGCCCTTCTTCGCCAAACATGTCAACTTGATCTCCTGTCCCTTGCGCAGCTTACAGATGATAGCGCCCTTGCCCTCAGCGTCCGTAGTGACAGGGTCACCAATCGTATCATTCATGCGCTCGCCCTGAACAGCAAGGTCCCGCGCATAAACGGTCATGATTCCATTTCCACAGCGCGCGTGCAGCGACAGCGTCACGCTGCAGCGCACACAGTGGTCCTCGCAGTCGCAGTCGCGGGTGTAGTCCAGCTGATCGCAGTTTTTCGCATTGAGCGGAATCATGCCCAGGCGGTGGGCGAGCATTTCGTCGGCGAGGACGGAGGTGTTGCTTTCGATCTCGATTAGGTCCAGAGCCATGGTGGGGACTTCGGCCAGGATCGTGCGGCGTAGTGAGTTCGCGAAGGCGAGGTCGATGGAGCTCAGTTTGAAATCGACACGGTAGGGTTCCGCCTGAAGGGAGGATTGATTAGTTTACTTGGCTCCCTGCTGCTGAAGCTGTGGCTTGTCCTGGGTAGCTCACTTCGCGAACGGTCACTTGAGGCCCCGTGGGCTCCATATCCATTTCGTATTCCATGGTGCTGTTGATGCGGCAGCGCTGGTCGCCGCCTGTGTCCGAGAGTGGGAGACTATATGGCTATCATTCAAGAAGGGAAAGAGAGAAGGGAATGATGCCAGGAGACGACAGGCAAGAATGGGAGGATGGAAGAAGCGGGTTGGAAGGTGATTCTGGCTCCGCGGGAGTGAAGCAGTGGATTTGCTCCCTCGGAGGATGTCTTGGCATTTGGCCTAATCGGGACAGCCTCACCTTGAAAGCTGCTCCCACTTGGGCACTCACACCTCATTATAGTAGAGGATCTCGCCAATTCCAAACACTCAGGTTATTAGTAGCTACCATAATACATAATCCCGGTTTGATCATGTACCTAAGTAGGTGCCAGCTTCTCAAACTACTACTACTACTACTAGTGATCCCGTGACCATATGCCATACTACTACTCTATTCACTGCTTGGTTAAAGCTGATGATGCATGGTATTTGATGACGACCGTCTAGATATATTAGTACTATTTATATACATGATTGAGATGGAAGATTGCGCATCTACAATAAGGATAGTAACATTTACCTTGAACCCGATCGGCGCCGGTTTTGGCATCGGAAAGAGAATTCGCTCGTGATTACAGCATTGACTACGTAGTCGACTTTGGAGGGCATTGCTAAGGGTTAGTGAGAGGGGGGAGGGAGAGAGTGGGAGGGCATGGTTCAGATTCCATTTAGCGCGAGCAAGGTTGATCTGGAAACGCTTTTCTCTCACTGGGGAGCTGGTAAAGCAGCATAATGATGGGGAGATCGATCAAAGATATCACAGGGGAGCCCTCCACCCGGCTTCTAGGTCCCCGGAAGGGGGGGCCTAGTACACGGTGTCTATAAGAATATGACCAGAGCGAAAGGAAAAGAGCAAGAAAGAAAAAAAAACTTAATGCGCCCACGTTAACGTTAGAAACGACCGGGTAAGACAGCAGCCCGGCCGCCGAGGCGACGTATGCGATGCAGAGTTAAGATAAAAAGAAAGAGAAAAGAAAAGGACAAAAAAGAAGTTCGAAAAGCAACAAAGCCACCGATCTTTTTTTTCTTGGTCGTGTCGAGTCGTCAATCGGGTGGGGTGTCCCGAATACCGGTTGTTCCGTAGGGTTCATCTGGTCCAGAGACCGCATGAATTGCGAACACGAAGCGGATTGTAGCAATAGCAACGACCGCGGCTACCGTTTTAAGGAGCTGCGGTTCAGCGCCTCCAGCAATTCGGGTCGATTGGCGAGAGCGGTGGCCGCCTGGGTGTAGCCAACCCACTGGCGTTTGCGCTTGTGCCTCTCCGGCCAGTCGTCTTCTTCTCGGTCGACTGTTACTTCGAAGAATTGGTAGGAGGCCTTGGGAGCTTGCGCAGTCAAGAGAGCAAAAGGGCGCATGTCGGGGATCAGACCCAGATCCTTGTTGACGGTGCACACGACACCGGCTTCCTCCCACGCCTCTCGACAGGCGGCCTGCTGGGCGGTGCTTTCGTCGAGTTCCCACCCACCCTTGGGGAGTACCCAACCTCCGGGTCCGGCGGATTGAATCATCAGGACTTTGGTTTTATCGGCGGAAAGGGGGACGACACCGGCGACGAGACGTTCGCCTTTTGAACCATAGCCTAGATAGTGGTGGAGTCAGCATTCGGGATCGGGAACATGGGAGGTATGGTTGATCTCGCGATCGCGATTCGCCCCCACGTGCGGAAGAGTTGGGGAGACTTACGTTGGTTCTTTCGGCCCACGCGAGCCTCCATGGAGCGTATTTGAGCCATTGCGACAACGGGAAGTTCGGTAGAGTTGTCGTCGGGAGGTGTACCGAAAACGGAGGAGAGAGAGAAAAGAAGAAAAGAGTGTAGCGGGCCAGAAGAAAAGGAGAAATGAGAATGGAAAGAGAAGAGAGACAAAAGGGAAAGAAAGGCAATTCAGCCCCTCAGTTGAAAGAGTTGTCTCAGGGCAAGCTCCCGCGGAGCCTTAGAGAGGTCTGGTCTCTCTTAACCGGGAGGAAGCTTAACGGAGGGGGGGAAAGTCTGAAAGCGGTTCGGAACAGGAAATTTTTTTTTCCCAGAGAGGGGCGATTGAGAGTTGAAGTGAGGTGAGGCGAGGCGATAGGTAGAACTCGGTTAAGTCTTCCCATTCATGCCCGTGGCAGAGGAAGTATTGGATTGAGAAAAGGTGGTAATAGGCATGATGAATAGAAGTAAGAGGGAAAGGATGAGAGGAAGAGAGTTGAATGGGGAGGATGCTGGTGGTGGATGGTGGGGGGGGGGCATCTACTGACTAAGTTCCGTACCATACATAACTATCGTACAGATGGCAGTATACAATATAGAGTAGAGTATAGTATACACTGTAGTAGAGTATAGTTATACTCTAAGTATACTTATTACAGTATATTCTACCGTTCTACTGATATAATAGTATACTAGTATACTATTACTATAGTTGAGGTGAGTGCTATACTACACCGTGCTATACAGCCAGATTAGGAACACACCTACTATAGGAGGTAGCTAACTATGGCAGGTAGACTCAGCTATAGCATAGCTTACTACTACTACTACTCCTACTACTAATCCCTCCATCTACCACTTCTACCACTTCCCCGTCAAACCTGTATACAAAAGTATTACAGCCCCGCCATACCTGACATCCTATCCATCACATCCCACATCATCCTCTTCCTCTCCGATTCTCCCCTTCCACCCTCTCCACAACAACACATATCCTCTCCTCTTCCCCTCCCCTCCTCTCTTCTCCCATCCACTAAGCTTCCATTCCTACTATTACTTGTTCCTGGCCACGATCCACCCGTGTTTGCTCGCATCGCGCAGCCAGTCTCCGATTTCCTGCTTCCGCCGGGACCGCCGACCAACGACTAACGACCAACGACCAACCCGCTCGCGCTGCTCTACTCGAATCGATTCTCCCTGGTCCTGGCCCGATGGAGCCCGTTGACGCCGAACGCGCGCGACAGCTGTCGCTCTTCCGACCACTAGGTACCGTCCCACTTCCCTGCAGAGAACCACTGAAATATGCCCCTCTTCCCCGTGGCGCTTCCACTGGTTGTGGTGGCTGCGCTTGGAGGGGCCAACTTGGCCGGGGGGGATTATCAATTTAACTTGCACGCCGATCCGAACCACTTCAATCGCTGACACTTTCGCCTTGTCCGACAGGCTACCAACGCAATTCCTGTGGCTACTGCAAATCAGACGATGGAAGTATGTCATTCTCTTCCTCTTCCCCCTCTTCGGGAAAGATTCGCTGACACGTCATTGTCCAGGCGCGTCATACTACACCAGCTCCGTAGCCGTGCGCCCCGAGCACTACGGCATTCTCGTCGATCGTGGCTGGAGACGGTGCGTACCATTCGCCTCTTTCTTTCTTTTTCTTTTTTCTTTTCCTTTCATTCATTTTGTTTCATTCGCCCCCAACGCCACCCTGTTCAATGACTCATATTCATCTAGATCGGGCAATCTGTACTACAAACAGAATCTGCGGCGTTCCTGCTGTCCGCACTATACCCTGAGATTGGAGGCCTCGGCTTACCAGTCACGTCGGGATCAACGCAAGGCCATCAATCGCTGGAACAACTACATCCTGGGCCCCGAATACATTCGCAAGGCTGCTCGGCTCTGCCCACGCACGCGAGAGTAGGTATTCCTTCAAGCACAATATGAAAATCTGCTTGCTAACGATTTACAACAGGGAAAAGAAGTTCCGCAAGTGCAACTTTGATGTTTTGTCCGCTGTTCATGAATCCGAGTACAATCACATCAAACGTCCCATCGACCCATCCACCAAGCGACCCATCGAACCAGCCCATCGTTTCGAGGTCAACATTGAGGCCGACTCTCCCTCACAGGCGAAATATGAATTGTTCCTCAAGTATCAAACGACCGTCCACAAGGAGGACCTCTCCAAGTGGAAGGTGAAGGACTTTACACGTTTTCTTTGCTCTGGCATTAAACGATCCCCCGCCGAGGTGAAAAAGTCGAACGAATCCGAGAAAAAACTTGGCTCGTGGCATCAATGCTATCGACTCGATGGGAAGCTGATCGCCGTAGCAGTGCTGGATCTACTTCCGAGCGGAGTGAGCTCCGTCTATGCCTTGTGAGTACTTACTTTCTTGGGCCCTTCCATCGAATAAATAGCTGGACTAACAACTTTTCAAGTTACGATCCTGATTATGAACAGTGGGAATTTGGAAAATTGAGCGCTTTGCGTGAGATTGCCTTTGCACAGGAGAATGGATATCCTTACTACTACATGGGTCAGTCTATGTGAATCCGGGCCACCTTCCCGAGCCTCTTGAAGCTGACTTTGACTTCCATAAAGGCTACTACATCCACAGCTGCCAGAAGATGCGCTACAAGGGAACATTCCGACCCCAGTACATCCTTGGTAAGCAGGCCAATAACATTTCTTTGCAGTCTAGGTGTCATCTTACTGATTATTTTCAAAGACCCCGAATCTAACAGATGGGATCCACTTGACGGGGAACTTTCGAAGAAGCTGGACTCCCGCTCCTACGTCTCCCTATCACGAGATCGATCTTCCGATGCCGAGGACTCCTCACCTCCTAAGGAGGAATCTATCGATCTCGATAACGAAGAAACGCTCTCGCTATTCGACATCCACATGCCAGGCGTCTTGACTTTGGATCAAGTCAATGCATTGAACTTGGGAAACTGGAATCTACTATACCATGGAACATTTGTGCATTTTAGTGTAAGTTGGAAACTGCCTATCTAGGTGCTATCTTTCAGTGATCAAACGACTGATGACGATCTGCAGGACCTTGTCGGCTGGGAAGAAATGGCCTACAACAACCCGCAGTCGGTTAAGGGAATTGTTGGCGAGCTTGCTGCGGCCCTGGGCCCGAAAATTGTGAAGGACAGTGCAGTTGTACTATTTGATTGAATAGACAGGTAGACAGATATCTAGCTACTAACTACCCTAGATGCGAAGCATGGAAGGTAGGCGTGGACTGGAGGTCCTCGGGCAGCACTTGCTGCTTTCAACAGCATCAACTACTAGCATATCTTAACTGCAATTTACCTACGTGAGATAAAGGAATAGAAGAATTTGATTTGCAATTTATCAAGAACCAACTTTACTTATAACCCGCCAATCACCCAGAAACCGCAATTTCCAACCTTCAAGGAAGGTTGGACTGATGCCTAATTTTACCTGAAATCCATGGCCGATCACGACCCACTCGTATTCGTTTTCTCATTACCGAATAAGGAAATCCACACAGACAACTTGGACCTTGGAATGCTTCGACCTTTTCTCCTGATTTTTTCATAACTTGAAAAGATTTACAGCATATCGTATTCGTATTATTTATGCGTACTGCAATTGTCCAAAAAATATAAATAGTCTAGTTCAAATCCCTCGAAAGATCCCTTCGATGCCATCATCACCATGCATTTTACTTTCATTACTCTTGCCTTCCTGGCCGTATCTCCGGTAATAGCATCATCAAAATGCAAAACATCCCCTCATGATCCAACCTGGCCATCAACCGGGCAATGGGCCTCGTTGAATCAATCCATTCAGGGGGCTCTGCTTCAAACCGCCCCCGTCGGCTCCTCTTGCTACCCCGGAAACCCCTTCAGATCACCACACAGCTGCAGCGAGGTGCAATCCCACTGGTCTTATGCTTATTATCATAGCCTCTGGCCAGAGAGCAACGATTACTCCATTTGGAATAACAACTCTTGCTTACCGCCGGGTGTTTCTGGATACAGCAAAGAAAAAGGCTGCAGCGTCGGGGGTTTGCCTCGATACATCGTCAATGCCACAACTGAGCAGCAGGTTGCGACAGCAATGAAATGGGCGTCTGATCATAATATACGGATTGTCATCAAGTCTACCGGACATGATCTAAGCGGTCGGTAGGTGTTGAATTCCAGTTTGATCTTCAAGTTCTTTCCGTTCCATTCTAACCTTTGGCTTTTTTTTGGGTTTCAGATCAACTGGAGCATATTCACTCTCTATATGGACGCATAATTTCAATCACATACAACACGAATCTACATGGAAGATACCCGGAACCAGCAAGACTGCAGATGTGATGATTTGCGGCGGTGGGAACAACTGGGGCGCCGTCTACACAGCTGCGCATCGCGTCAACAGAACCGTAGTCGGAGGCGAAGATGCCACCGTCGGTCTGGGCGGATTGATCCAAAATGGCGGCCATGGCCTTCTTTCCAGTACATATGGCCTGGCGTCGGATCAAGTATATCAAGTCACTGTCGTGACTACCGATGGCCGCCGTTTGGTCGCCAATGACCAGCAGAACCAGGATCTTTTTTGGGCAGTCCGGGGAGCTGGCGGGGGTCAATTTGGCATTATAACCGAATTTATTCTTCGAACTCATCCCGTTCCTGTGAACATTGTTAGCGGTGGATTGACATTCAACTCCAGTGTCAATGGAAACGCTTCGTGGGCAGCTCTCGCCGTGATTGCCTCCGAGATACCGAACTTGATGGACGCAGGAATCACCGGGACCGTAATGTCAGTTACGGGAGAACAGGCTGGTCCTGTTGTTACTATCAGTTTGACCGGTTTCAATTCTAGCGCGTGGCGTATGAATGACACTATTCACCAACTAGCGACGAAAATCACAAACATCGGACACGAATATCTCAATCTCGCATTTAATCCCCCGACAAGTCAAAGTTATTGGTCATCTGTCAAGCCCAACTATTTATCAAGCCAGTCAGCAGGGTCCGCTAGTTTATTCACCAGCAGACTTCTAGGAAGAGCAGAATTATCCGACCTCCCACGCGAAAAGTTGATCCACTATCTCCAAAAGATTTCCGTCTCCCAGGATCCCGCGAAAGGAGCAATGCTTCTTTTCGGCCTGCAGGGTGGACCTGGTCCTGCCAAGATTTCCGAGAAAAGGCGTGGGAGTGTACTTCCCGCTTGGCGCTCGGCATATGCTCACGTTATGGCGTACGGCTCCTCCTTCAATGAGTCCGGTGATGCTAAGACTGGGCTTGAAATAGGCGCCAATTTCTATGAAAAGGTTAAGGAGCCTGTTTGGAGAGAATGGGCGCCTAATACTGGATCCTATATGAATGAAGGAAATCCGTTCTCGAGTACCTGGAAGCAGGATTTCTATGGCGTCAATTATGATCGCTTGTTAGATGTCAAGCTCAAGTATGATCCAAGTGAGAGTATTTTTGTGCAGAGTGGCATCGGGAGTGATAAATGGGACTATGATCTTCATAGTGGTTTGCTTTGCCGGGCAGATGACGAGTAAGGCGGCCATGTTTGGGATATTGTATAACAACTGTCTTGACGTTTTGATTGATTCTATCCAATACGTACCTGGGTATAATGTACTATGTATTATAGTAGATTTCAAGAAGTGGGGGAAAGTACTCAACCAGATCTGTTAGCTACTAGTATCAGACTGTATGTTCTCGCTCAAAATTAGCTTCATATGCCCATGAATAGGCCCAAAATATTTAATCTAGGATCTCTGAAGCATTCTGGATATGTGAATACTACCGGTTGAGAACGAAAGAGACGATCATGATGGCATGTGTACATAGCAGGATGGAAGACTACTAACTAGAGGTAGCGGTGTGGACTGACTAATGCTGTGCGGCATGAGGTCTCGGAATTGAACATCCTCCTAAGATATGCGGTTGAGTGAATTTGATGTCGATTTCCTTTCCCAACTTGCCTATGCTGTCTCATCTCTACAGCAATTAATTTCTCGAGTTGAAAAGAAAGGTCCGTGAAGGAGGAAGGGCTCCACTTCGAGCTCTCTGCTGAATAAAATGACGAGATTATGGCGAGTATCCACTAGGCTATTGAGGTACTTCGAAGCAGCCCTGCCCAGCCAGTTCAGCCCGGGTATCCGGGTAACCGTTGTTGTCCCTAAGGCATGGGACGACAGGATCCCCACCCTCCACCAACGGCTTCTCTTATTTAACTTCAGATCCAAACCCGTGAATCAAAGGCCTACTAGTTACTCCACATTTCAGTCCATTCAAAACACAATACTCATACGACATCATACCTCCTGAAGAAAATTCAACATTATTCCCACCAACACAATGAAAGCCGTCCAAATCCTAGGAGATCCATCCTCCCCCCACCGTCGCCACAAACGATGAAATAACCAAACCCGTCCCCAAAGATGCCGAGATCCTGATCCAGGTCCACGCCGCTGGTATAACCGGCGACGAGATAACCTGGCCCGAACCATACAACCGAGCAACCAGGATCCCAGGCCACGACATTTCAGGCGTTGTCTCTCAACTCGGCCCAAACTATAACGGCCCACTCAAAGTCGGCCACGAGATTTTCGCAATGATCACAGCGGATCGGGGCGAGGGCCAAGCTGAATATGCGATCTGTACGGACAATGAGGTAGCCCTGAAGCCGAAATCGATATCGCACGCAGAGGCGGCTGCGCTGCCAATTCCACTTCTGACTGCGTATGAGGCACTGTTGGATCATGGTGGGATCAAGTCAGGCATGAGAGTCTTTATCACGGGTGCGTCTGGTTCGGTGGGCATTTTGGCGGTGCAGATTGCCAAGTTGAAATTTGGGGCTCATGTTGTTGGACTGGCTTCGGCTCAACACCATGAGACTTTGAGAAAGATGGGCGCGGATGAGGTATTCGATTACAAAACTGAGGGATGGGAGACCCAGTTTAATAAGGTGGGTCTTGTTTTCGATACGGTTGGAGGGAAAGTGTTAGAGAAGTGTTGGAAAGTCGTCGAGGATAATGGTACTCTCATTACAGTTGGAGATCCTGCGCCATCATGGGCTTTTGGACAAGGTGTGGCCCCTGAGGCGGTTGATCATCCTGGTGTCCGGTATAAGCATTTCATTCTTTCGCCGGTGTCTGAGAGACTTAATCAACTGGGTGAGATGATTGATGGTGGATTAGTTAAGCCCTTGAAGGTTGAGGTATTTCCCTTTGATGACTCGGTCAAGGCATGGGCGTATGCTCGACAGCGAGGTCGTGGAAACAAGGCTGTAATCAGCTTTGTGTGATAATAGCATAGCAATAGAATTATGTGTTTTTCCTTTTTACCTTTTTTGGGGATCTTGAAGAAAGGTTAATGAGCCATAGCAGACATAGCCGATTAATCAAAATAGCATTTCGGGAGCGAAAAGTCAAAAGTCACCTGGGCAAGTTATTAAAGTGAAGTGAAAAGCGAAATTCAAATAATGACATTAACCCGCAGTTTCTGCCCGGGTGATAATAGTGTTTTGAGTTTTATGCACATACTATATACTAGTAGTACTATTGAATTATTTAAAGAAGCCCAAAAGAAAATCCAGCGAGCTAGCACAGGCCCAAAGGCTGAGCAGGTGTGAGAACTCGGTAAAATTGAATCATGAAGCGTTGTTCATATCCCATGCAAAGTCGGTGCTCAAGTCACCAATATTGTACCATCCACAAAGATCATCGATAGAACTTAAAAGAGGAAGCATATCGGTGTCATTACTCGAGGCTTCGCCCTCCGACCCCAAATTTCCCTGGCCATTGCCACCAGATAGATGTGGCAGGTCACTGGAACAAGGAGTTCCATTATTGCTTGTGAGTTTGGGCCCAAGTCCTAGCACACGGTGAGCAATGGTTTGGATCTCGCGAAGATTTCTCGCAGTTCTTGGCCACAGGCCAGCCAATGTCTTGAGGCAACCGATTGTCATCCGAATCTGATCTCTTGCTATGGCCAGTTTTTTCCCTTTTAGCAAGAAATGGCAGGCAGATAGGAGTGCCAAAATGCCCTCGCTGATCATGCATGTTGAGAAGGGGGTGTGGTGAAATGGCCGAACCGGCAACGCCAGAAGACGAATCTGGGCCTCGGTCGCTCGGATGACTCGAACAGTATGGACATTAATCAACTCCGGCGTAGGGTTATCGGGAGGCGGATTTCGAGCGCAGCTTGAGATATCTTCAATGGGATTGAATTTTAGGTCTGAGAGTGGTCTGTGGATGCCGATACTCGCGCTACATTGTAATCATATTAGCCAGATTCCTAAGACAGAGGTAATGATCGAGGAGAGTACCCACACATGTATGAGTAAATGCGCCTGAAACATCAGTTCGTCGATTTCACCAGTCTTGGTCATCACCTGCTTATCATCCTTTGGCAAAAGAAGCAGCCATCCATCTAGGGCTGAGTCGGCAGCCTGAATGACAGGTAACGAGTCCTCTTTTACCGCGTTCTTGGGGGCCGCGTATATCGCCAAAGCCGCGCACTTTACGGCGCCGATGAGGTATGCAAACGAAGAGAATACCGTATCTTCGGGAGAAAATTCTCGACAATCAAAATCTTGCACTGTCTTTGGAACAGGTATCACCTATCAAAAGGTCAGCGCGTTTAGTCATGTCCTTGTGACATCCAGAGGGGGTGTAGATTATAGAAATCGACTAAGCAGAAGGGTGTGACAACGTACTCCCGACTCGTATTCTTGCTCTTCGCAAGGCAGCCCCACGGTTGCATCGACCTCCATGACTTGAAACTCCATCGTTCCCAGGGTCCCTGCATAATATGCATCGACAGTGTACAACATCCACCATGTTCGTCGCCAGCTTTCCTCGACTACAGGATCCTCGGCCCCATTTTGGACAGCAAATTCTTCATGATGCATATTCAGATCCAGGGCGAGTCGTATTGCATCGTCCATTTCCGTTTTAGCCTGACTTTTATGGTCGTACCAAAACAGGGCCACAGAGTATAATAGCCGGACCTGGACCACGACTGGATCTGACGGCATGGCCTGGGCTAGACATGTTTCCACGTGGTCTTGCAAGGCAGATGACCATTCGCGGAAGTTGTAAATATATCCAATCAGGCGCATGGCTGCAATCAGGGGTTTCAGGCTCAGCTGGCGGTTCGGATTTTGGTAGTGTCTGGTCATGTGGCGTCTGGGTAGGAGTAGAGGGAGGAATCGATGGAAGTTCTTGTAGTAAGAATGAACCAGGGAATCCTTCTCTATGTTGGTCATCTGGACCTGACAAGAGGTGGCTGATCCTGGCGAGTCGACCTTGGAGGTCGTATTGCCAAGAGCGATGCCATCGAGCAGACCCCCGCCATTGTCGAAATCCGCCTCAATGAATTGTGACGTGAGATCCAGCTCGCCTTGAGCTCCCGCAGCCCCTGGCGGACTCCAGTCATCGGCGATTGAGACCTGCTCAGTATTAATGACGCCCGAAAGTCGTTTGCGACGCTCTGCTAGGGCCGCGCGATCCAACCCACCGCGGCGCGATCGAGCGTAGTGGCATTGTTGGTCAGATTCGGAGCAACGAGCGCAAGCTGGTCGCCTCCCGTCGCACTTCAGGTGTCGCGAGCGACATGGTAAACAGGCTAAGGATGAGCGCGTAGCTCTGGAATTCTGGGGAGGTGTCATGTCATGAGAAGATGATAGCCATAGCGGCAGATCATCGATGAAGAAATGCGGGTACTCGAAGTGCTCGGGGACTCATCGGGTATCCACTGCGGGAAGCGGATACCCGGACTCCATTTTACTGCTATTGGTACTAGTATTAGTTACTAATAGTATAGTGCCACTCAATGTCGTGCTTCATCGGATAGCCTAGTAGTCTAGCAGGTTGAGTCAATTTGTTTCTAGAAATTGAACTTGAAATATTAGTTACTGGTACTAGTACTGGTATATAATAGCGTGGGAAGACTCAATCAAGAACTACGAGTCATCACTATCAGCACTACTACACTACTACACAACAAACGACAGTGTGATCGACTGTGAGATTTCTGCGAAGCATCGTATTCCATTATTGAAACCATTTCCACAAACCAAAAAATGCCGAGAATCGTCATCATCGGATCCGGATTTGCCGGCATCTGGAGTGCTCTCGCCGCCAAACGCCTCGCGAAACTCACCCAAAGAGAGAACGAGCTCGAAATCTTGCTGATTGCCCCAAACCCATCTCTGGTCATTCGGCCACGTCTCTATGAGGCCAATGTCTCCCAGATGACACACTCCGTCGAGACTCTCTTCAAAGAAGCAGGCATTCAATTCGTTCAAGGTTTCGTTCAAACCATCAGCGCCGAGAACAACACCGTCCTTGTCCACTCTCCCACCGGTACCGAGTCAACCATCCGCTACGACCGCATGATCCTAGCAGCTGGAAGTTCTGTCGTGCGACCCAAGTCCATTCCTGGCATCCACGAGCACGCGTTTGATATCGACTCCTTGGACTCGGCAGTGAAGCTTGAATCCCATCTCCAAAGCCTTGGCTCGCTTCCAGCAAGCCCTGCCCGTGACACAATCGTCGTATGTGGCGCCGGTTTCACTGGAATCGAGCTGGCCACCGAGCTACCCAAGCGACTGCCAAACTCAAATACCAGGATCTTGGTTGTCGAAGGCGCAAATGAGCTTGGCCCTGAACTCGGGCCAGGTCCGCGTCCTATCATTACCCAGGCTTTGAACGAACTCGGTATCCAAGTCAAGCTTGGATCCCTTGTCTCCGCTATCGATGGAAATGGTGTCACTCTTGCGTCTGGGGAACGCATTGAAACCAAGACGGCTATTTGGACCGCCGGGGTGAGAGCATCGCCCTTGACTCAACAAATTCCCGCCCCCAAGGACGGCCTGGCCCGCCTGTTGGTCGATGGAAACCTTCGAGTTCCATCCTTCAAGAATATCTTCGCTACGGGCGATACTGCTCAGGCGGCCGCCGACGACAAGGGTCACTTTGCCTTGATGTCCTGCCAGCATGCTCTTTCCCTGGGTCGTGTATCCGGCCACAATGCCGCTGCGGAACTCCTGGGAGAGGCTCTGGTACAATACGATCAGCCTTCTTACAATTGCTGCTTGGATCTGGGGGCCTGGGGCACCGTTGTCTCTGGGGGCTGGGATAGAGAAGTCAAGCTGACGGGGGACCTGGCGAAACGGGTCAAATGCTCCATCAACCAAAAGCTAATCTACCCACCGGAGGATGTCGAAGAAGCAATTACCATGGCCAATCCAATTGGACCTGACTCTGACGAGTTGTTTGAACAGCTTTTGAAAGCTGTTGCATAGTTTGCCTGCAAGGCTTCGCCCTTCATAGAAATTTTACGTCGCCACTTCTATTATAGAAATATACTTACTAGAGAGATGATTCCACGTCCTAGGATGTCGAACGATGTAACCCAAGGTTCTTAGAATAATCAAATGCCACCCGCTTCGGTCTAAAAGTCTCAAAGACTATAGTCATTCCGCGGCAATACAATCCCTTTAAAGGTATTACTCCGAGTCATCGCAGCTTGCCTATGTGCGCGGGATGAGTATTGGGCTCATTACGAGCCGTCTGGCAATCATATCCAATCAGGCCCAGCACCTAGACCGGCACAGAAAGCATTTGGAGCAGTATTAGATGAATGGGTTGACACTAGCGGGGCCAGCTTGGTCTACCCTGGCTGTTCCGAGCCCTAGGTGCTGCACGGGAGCTGCAACTAAGTGGAGACCACGATCAGATACCGTGTTTTCTATCCTCGATAACGGGATAATCTAAGAATTTCATTGCCGCCATTACTCTAAATTCATAAAATAGACGACATCTGTTTCGTCTGCTCGTATTTTCAAGTCGAGGGAGGGGGGATGGAAGGGGGCTTATGGTTCACCAGGGCTTCAGGCACTTGGGGGGGCCCAAGTTCAGACCGGTGGAGCCCCTGCGGGAAGGGCCCAAAAGGACCCAAAAGGGCAGGCCCACCGCCCCCGGAGAGGGGGAGACAAGCAGATCCCGGCGGGAGGCACGTTTTACCAAGAAAATTGGCTTCAGCATCAGCGTGTAAGGTTCCCGGCCCCCCATTATGTAGTCCAAAATAAATCGGCGATCGAGTTCGGATGCAGGTGCAATCGAATTGCTTATCTAGCTGGGCACCCTCGTGGTCATTGTGCGAGTTTAGTTTTCTTCCACCTTCGAGAAGCCCTATAGCTACCAGTTAAAACTTGAAGTTGAAGTACCTGCCCCAAGTTTCGGGTACCTGCTGGGCCGCCATGGTTACCGCCAAATTGCCAGTACTCGCGATAGGCATCCTACTTGCCCTGCAAGCATATGCAATCCCTTCATCTCCTAAATATATACATGGGATCAGGCCATCTTCGCCTCCGTCTCTTTCATCTTCCGCGCTGCCCACGACCATATGGGCATCTAATTCGTCGGCAAAAGCTGAAGCTCAGCTTCAGCGGCTAGCTGAGATCGCGCGCGATGCAGTGATTTCTGATGTCACACACGCCCCCCTGCGACATGAGGGATGTACTCAGCAAACCATGCGAATCCGTCGTGATTGGAGGGCCTTCACTCGGAAGGAGAAGAAGGCTTATATAAACTCCGTGCTTTGCTTGCAGGACTTACCATCTCAAACCCCCCAACGAGCTTGCTCCGGGAACCAAGTCACGATATGATGACTTTGTGGCTACTCATATCAATCAGACGCTGATAATCCATTATACGGTATGTCAAAACTTTGGCAGTTACTAGTACTATAACATTTAGAACATCGCTGACTACTATGAGAAGGGAACATTTTTGGCATGGCACAGACATTTTGTTTGGAGCTTTGAACAAGCCTTGCGAAATGAGTGTAGCTATACAGGTGATATACCGTGCGTATACCTATTTTTATGACTTATGAAGTCCTTTCCACAACGCCCTACTGAGAACACGCTCTATAAAACAGATATTGGAATTGGGGTGCCGACGTTGACGAGATGGAGAAGTCCGAAGTCTTCGATGGAAGCGACACTTCCTTGTCAGGTAACGGCGCTTATATCCCGAATCAACCCGATGTCAAACTGGTGCTAGACGGCTATCCGGATATCTATCTTCCTGCTGGCAGTGGCGGAGGCTGCGTGACCAGCGGCCCCTTTAAAGACTACATACTCAGCATGGGACCAGCAGATTTAGTCGTACCCGGTCGCAACATCAGTGTGAGCCCACACCCTCTAGACTACAATCCGCGGTGCCTGCGACGAGACTTGACCAGCGCGATCTTGCAAAAGTTCAACAAATTCTCTGACATCGTGGATCTTATCACAAAGAGCAACGATGTCTGGGACTTTGAAATGACTATGCAAGGATTTCCCGATTCAGGACTCATTGGCGTCCATGGTGGCGGTCATTTCGCGATGGGTGGTGATCCTGGTCGTGATGTCTTCGTTAGCCCTGGCGATCCGGCCTTCTGGCATCACCACGCCATGATCGACTATGTTTGGTGGATTTGGCAGAATCTGGATTGGGAGGCTCGCGGGGATGCAATCTCGGGGACGGGTACCTTTTTGAATGACCCTCCATCGGCGAATACGACGCTTGATACGCTTATCAATGTTGGTTATGCGGGTGGGGATCCCATTGCTATGAAGGATATAATGAGTACAACTGGTGGTCCGTACTGTTACATTTATGTATGACCATGTGCTTTGTGATATGAAATGGGGCCTAAACTTTAGGCCATATTGAATATGGCCTATAGTCGATACTGGACGAATATATGGAAATAGAAACAAACACCACAATAGAAGACAGAGGCTCTGAGAGAACGAAGTAAACAACGTAAACAAGAGTAATCGACAGGAATTAGTTCTGGAGAGATTCACAGACAAACAGTCATTATATCTGGAAGCCTTGGGTTAGCGGGGGCTCCAACAACTTGAATGTGGAGAAGCTACAATCTGGGGTCGGCAGCAGAATCCGGCACACGATAGGGCAGGCGAACAAAATGCCTCGGTATAAGAGATCGACCTACGCAGAAATCCACACGGAAATTAAGATCCTCCAATCGACTAGATTGATCGTCTGCTTCATAGGGCTACCAATCCGAAGATCAGTGCGTGGTTTGTGTAATGACCGTTTCAATAATGCGGGGCTCGGTAGTTAGTAGAAGTCGGATATTCCGAGGATCTACCGGGGGCTCTCTCTCTTCCTTCAACATAAAGGTAAGATATTTCTCTAGTAGGCATATTGATTTTGGGAATCAATCGCTTCAATTCAATTCTTTCGAGTCGATTTGATGTTCAGAATCTCTTTACCTATACCTAGCCCTAGCCATAAACTATGTCTTTTCAAAGCAACTGGACTACGTTAATGGTCCGTTTATTCTCTCTGCTACTCTGTGCGCGACTGGCCATCTCCACTGTCGTCACGCCCGAACCACCAAGTCTCCAATTCCTCTACACTGCCTATGTTGAGTGTGATGATAACCTCATGACCGAAGTCGCTGGTCCTCACGGTATACGAAAGGCAATTCCCATCGTCGGGGGTAACTTTACCGGTCCCCGTCTCTCGGGTGAGAAGCATTCCCGCGATGTCTACCCCCTACTATTATAGGTAGTTTTGGAGAGAGTCGAGGAAGCTAATGAGAATATCTCCATTGTGATTTAGGCAAGATTCTCGACGTCGGAGCGGACTGGGGCCTCGTTGATCCTCGAACAAACATCTTTTCAGCGGACACCCGATACAATCTGCGGACGAATGATGGCGCTGACATCTATATCCGGACTTCTGGTCCACAGGGCCCAGATGGCCATCTGCATCTACGAATTGTCTTTGAAACGGCAAGTAAAAAGTATTACTGGCTGAATAATGTCCTTGGTGAGCCTTCTCTTCTTTGGGAATTATTTATATGTTTGAACATGACGTCTGACTTCCTTGTTACTTTAGCGGTTGGTCTTTTGACGTCGGGTATCCCGACCACTAAGAACGTCAGCTTGTTGAGAATTGATGCTTGGAACGTAAGTGCCTCTTGACTCTTCTGTGATAGTACTACAAGGATGCAGTTCAAGTTTTGACCTGAATTTAGTATGCCTCCGATTGGAATTCGACTTCATTTGTCACTGGCAGTTCGACAACGGCAGCTTAGTCCCAAGGTTGACAGCACAGCCCTGGAATCTACTCTACTCAGTGGGCCAAGTGAAGTATCATCAGGCCACCATACTAGTACTAGCTTGTTTCTAGAATCCGATAGAGTGAAACACACGTACCAGGTTTACACTACACACCTTCCAGATAGATATCCAAATGAAATGCATTCCTTATAGAAAGGAAGAACAAAAAAAAAAAACGGAGAACTAATATGTGCCACCCTATATCTATCCTTTTACCTCACGCGCCCACATTTCACCCTGTGCACCCATAAAAAGAAAAACCACAGACATATGAGAAATCAGGGTTCGAGCCGAGGTCAAAGACAAAAGGAGAGAGTATAAGGAGAGATAGAAACGCCAACCGCCTCAAAACCTGCCCCTATTATGTGATCCAGAATAGTTACCAGTTGATACCCACCTTCCGTGTGTGTGTGGCATCCACCAAAGAAATGCCCCAGGCACCATCCGAGCGACACTTTGGAAGGAGACACAAAACGCCAAAAAATGAGGAAAGAAAGAGATGAAAGATAAAAATAAAAATAAAAATAAATGACACCATATCCGATGTAGATAGATGAGAGAAAGGAGAGTAGAGAGAAAAGAGGAAGGGAATTCTCGAACGAATCATGACAAGGTAAAGCCTGCTGAACCCACAACACACATGATACCACATTAGTTACCCATCAATCGCCTCCTCATGTCCTTCCAGACCTGCAAACATTGACGACGGTGCTTTCCTTCCGGAACCATAGACCATCTCCATCAACTTCGCTTTCTGGCGCTCCCGGACAGATCGCAGGTAATCGTATGTACCCTCCAACCCACGGATCTGCCCATCGATAACAGCCTCGACGGGACCGAGCATGCGTCCCGCATTGGAACTGCCGGACCCCGAAGAGCCCCCCTCCACGCCGACAAAGCTGACCGAATCATTGCGCCGCACAAGCGGACTGACAAGCTTCCGCCGAAGCGTTTCAAGATTCACTTTCAGTGTGAGGAGACGGCCGCGGTGATCAACAAGCAAGTGCTTGTTTGCGACAGTGCGGCTCCGAACGTTGGCGAGAAGCTTCTTATTCTTTTCGTACTTGCGAACGACTGCAGCATTGGGCCCGAGGACGCGAGTCCAGAGGGAGCTAAGCATTTCTCCCTCGGCCCGTTCTTGGGCATCTGATTCGCGGACGACTGTGCGTTGCAGGTTCAAGAATTGCCGATCTATTGATTCGAATAAGGCGAAAAGAGCGGTTGAGTGGGTCAATTCGCTGTTGATTGACTCTTCGAGGACGGCGAGAAATTCGCTGAAGGTTCGTGTGAGGGTTGCGCGGGTGCGCTGTGCAGATGTTTGACCGAAGACTGCCATCACGACATGTCCAAATGGTGTTGTTACGCCGCTCCCGGCCAGCTCTGTGGGTCGCTCGAGCGCACCTAATCGTGAGAACATGTTGTGGACATTGTCGAAAACAACTGTAGGTAGAGAACTTGGAGGTTGTGCAGATAAAGTTTCGAGCTCACGCTTGGCCCAGTCCATCACAATCAGGATGGAGTCAATATCTGAGTCGACGTTTGCAAAGAAACGTGTCAACTCTAGAGATAGAGACTTGAGTGAATCAGATAGCTCATCTAATTGACGCACGATAATAGGCGCGCTAGTCATGTTTGTGCCACGCACTGACTCACTAAGGTCCCAAACGGCGACCCCGGTTTCTTGCAGGGTACCGATCTGCTGGACGCCATTTTCGGAGTAATAGATGAGGGGCTCAAACGAACGCGCGAAGCTCGATAGCTTCACCAGATCCGGGATGGACTGCGGTAGACCGGGGAGGAATAGAGCACGCATGAAGGCGACCGCAACCAACATGACCAATACCGAGAGAGTCGTATTGGATTTCGAACTAGTCATGTGCTCGAACTTGTTGCGCAAGTAGCCGCAGATGGCAGCGATGGGTTCACGATGCTGGACTTCTGCACGCACTGCGAATCGAATGTCTTATCGCCATGCGCAAAAGGACAAGTCAGTTTCTTCCGCGTCTCCAGTAGGGAATGTTAGACCCAGATCAGGCAGTGCCTACAGTTGCTCAGATTCTCCGCGCCAAAGCCCAATCCGTCATCGTCGGGGCCCTCACGAGTCGCGCCGGGACGTTGCGCCGGAGGAGGACTGGGGGATCGTCCTATCTGTGGGGTACCTGCTCCCCTTGGCAAGGGTACATTGGCAGCGATCGAAACATCACCTTTTTCGGCATACTCACTTGTTCTTCCCTTCGCGGGGGCTTCAGGCGCATCTTCATACTGCGGGCTTGGTTCGCGCGACGCTGTCGGCGACACGCTGAGACGACCAACTGTGGGTTTCAAGTCCGGACGGTTGCGGAGGTTATGCTTCTGCGCATATGGTTGGTGACGGTACCATCCACTCCCTTGAACATAATCGTGTTGTCGTATGCCAAGGCCAGGGGGTGCCCAGCGGTCATTTGTGGGTGTCTCATCCAACTCATCGTCCGACTCTTCAGACCGGAAGCCCGAGTGCTGCGAGGGCAAGCCGTACAGCGGGGAGCGATGCGCATTGCTGTTGTTCTCAAAGTCCTCAAGTGAGGCGTCCAGCGACGGGTGGTCGTCGAAGACGTTGTCTAGCTCGTCCAACATAGTGGACGGCGTATTGCGAAGTTGGCGCTTCAGATCGGGAGATCGCAGTGACGCAGCGCAGGCGTCTTTGCGATCAGAATATTTCGTGGGCCGAGAGGCTGGGAGAGTTGTAATAATGTGAAGTCTAGGCGGTTAGTGGAAGCGCTCAAGACAAACTGCATATGCCGGTTGAATATCGGTGGCGATTTTGACAAGCGAGAGAAGATGGCTGGGGAACAATCGACCCCGCGCGCCTAGAAGTTGCGATGCGACCAGAGCGATGCGACAGAGGTGGTGGTGGGGGTGTTGTTGGTGGTGGAAGGGAAGTATGGGTTACCCTAGGGCAAAGTTGACAGCAGGTGAATATCAATCAACCAACCACGAAAATCAATAGTCAAACCACGACCTCGTAGCGATTTAACAGAGACGATGAAGAAGATTGCGGCGCCTCGTCGAGCAAGGCGGGAGATCGAGGAACTCCTCACCTTGCAGAGGAGGCTGGGCCAATCAAGCCTTGGGGAGCCCAGGTCATGTGGTGTACATGGATGCTCTCGAGTGCTGGCAGGCGGAGATCTTCTCAAGTATTGAGTAGGTACCAATAATGTACTGAGGAGGTATCTCTCATTCACTTTTGCCTGTGAATCTGTGCAAATCCATTGTAAATCTGCAAGCAATCAACTTTGTTGTGACATGCAGGGTACCCCATTCTCCCTGCCTGACCGCTATTGTCGCCCAATCGATGTGTCGCAATTGATCTCGCTGAAACACGCCCTCACCCTCTGGTATGTAATTGTTCTTGACTCGTTGCGTCCTTCGCCACCCCCTGCACCAGGCCTCAAGTAGCCCCCAAGTGCCCCCAAGTGCCCCAATTTTGACGCAAGCCCACGCCGACCTTGTTCCGTGATCGACCAACTCCCCCAAAGGTACCTGCAGCAATGTGCAGCTATCTACGAACGCGGGAAAAAAAGAAAAAGGAAAAAGGGGATATAAGAGAGAAGAATCCAAATCTATTGCGGGTCAACCTTTGGTAATCTGAGATAAAATTACATGCCCGCTCCCTCGAATGCCCGGAATCGGCCCACGGCACCAGAAACCAATCCCAGACGTCTATCTGTTCCAGAGACGGGGTGTGTGAGAACAAGAACGAAAATGCCGTGTGTGTAATAAAAGCGTCAAGTCATTTAAGCGGTGGACTCCTTGAGGTAGCTGTAACGAGTGTGTTAGCAGGGGATCTTCGGCGGTTCTGCTCTGCTGTGTTTATATAAAACATACGTGATGAGGTCGTTGCGCTCCTTGCCCTTCTTCAGACCACCGAAGGCCATCTTGGTACCGGGGATGAACTTCTTGGGGTTCTCGAGGTACTTGAACTGTAGGGCGATGCGAGTTAGCGACACCATGTCTCTCACGGTGGGATTGAAGCAATTCTTACCAGAGTGTTCTCGTCCCAGGTGACACCAGCCTGCTTGTTGGCGTCGGTGTAGGAGTAGCCGTCGGCCTGACCGGTCTTACGGCCGAAGAGGCCGCTCAGGTTGGGGCCGACCTTGTGGGGACCACCAGCCTCGACAGTGTGGCACTGAGCGCAGCGAGTCTGAAGCATTCAATGTTAGTTTCCCGTTCTCTCTTAAGCAGACAGAAGAGAAGCTTACCTGGAAAAGCTTGGCACCCTTGGCAGAGTCACCTGGAGTGGAAATCGCGTTAGCAATGCTGCTGTTGGTTATGTTGCTAGACGCCATAGTCATGGCTATGGTATCTTTGATGTTTGTTTTCTTTGCTGCATCGGCCGCAAGCTCGGCTTCGCGCTCATCGATGATGGCCAGTGTGCAGAACACATCAAAGGACGTCATGGTGATGGCGAAGTCCGAGGCTCGCTAGGAAGGTAGGTCTGGCTTGGTACGTTGCAGTGTGAAGCGAGGGAACAATTGCTGGAGAGGATTCGTAGAAGGTGCGAAACGAGAGAGTTTGGACGTGTCGCGATCAGATCGAAAGTACGAGCTGAAGGTGCGTCGGCAAGTGACTACCGTTGGCAAACTCGCAGGGCAGTCGCTATTGACCAAGGTGATGATCGGAAAACCATCGATACGCCATCTCTTCGCCAGTTCTCGTTTCTCTGCTTCACACGAGCAGCCAGTTGTTCGCAACCAGCCTAGGATCCAGGCCAGCGCCGATGCTCGCGAGGCAGAAAAAAAAGGGAGGGTGACAAAGGGAGCTTACCGGGAGCGAAAGAAGCTTCCTTGCCCATTATGAAAGAGTATTAAAGGTAATTGAAGGGGAATTGACTGTACAGACTTGTAGACGGAGATGACAGAAAAGCAAGATTTTCCCAGAAGCAGATTTCGCAATTATTTGTACCGCGCCTCCCCGGCCCCCGTGATCTGGGCCTGTCAGCCAATCAGCGTCTTGCTAATTCAGCACTGCGGGCGCAACCGGGAGCCTTCGGTGAGTGACCACAACGCATATTTATAGTGATTGATGCTATTTAGAGGCATACAAGTATATGAGGGGGAATGCTAGAGTATGTGTATACACTATACACTATTTACTATACATACACTTCAGCTAAAGATGAGCCTACTGCATCTTGTTCAATTCTAATCTAGTACTCTACCCTGTACTAAGGATCTCCTTCCGAAAAGCTCTCAGCCACCCGGAAATGACCTCATGGCTAATCATTCTCCTGTATGCGTCCCTGGTTAGCCAACTTTTCTTCCGTCTCTTTATCCAGCCAGTCTTGGTTGCTGCAACCTATTCGAATTTACCCAGGGCACAACAATGCTATCCTGCTGCCCCTTGGATGTCGACAGGGGCGAACTCGCTTTCAGCCCCTTGGACACGGCTGCGCACTTTCTCGGTCCACCGGGCTTCGAAATACGCAGTCGGTTATTCGCCCGCTTTGATCCGCTTTCCCGGATTTGACCCAGTAGCAGTGGATCCGGAACAGGCATGGCCAACTTCTTTACAGAGGAGCCGAGAAGCCTCTCACAATCTTGGACCGCCTTAAGACTTATCATAGCCCGCCATACCCGTAATTGCACAGCAGCGACCGGTATCGGTATCGCCTTCCATGGCGGGAACAGAGAGATGCTATTTCAGTAGTATCTACTATCATGAGGATAATGTCGGTAGGAAGAGTTATCATGAGTTCATCCCGATATATGGATTCTTATTGACGAGTTTACCACAGACACAATTCTCAGTGCCCTATGCCAAGAAGCGACTTCGCTACTCACTATGTGGCCTATATTAAAAACCTAGATCACATACTACTCTAGTAATTTCTAACATACTTTCCAACTGATCGATTGAGAACTGCTGGGTAGATCTGACTTTAGAGCAAATACTCGTATAGTATATCGTAATTGTAGTCTTTCTTCGATTGGTAGAATACCATTCCCTTCTGATGGATCCTTAAATACGAGGTTATACATATATGGCTTAGCACAACATGTGATTAGGAGTTGAGAAAGCTCCTCTGTGTTGTCTGACACGATGAAAGGCGAAAGCAGTCACTCCTGTAGTCACCATGGTACTATATTACTAGTACAGTATGTAGACACATAAGCGGAGAGTAAGACTAGGCATGCAGACGATGACTACGAGGCCAAAATCATACGACTGTGGATACGAGCATCAGAAATGACCCGTGCCTGATGGTCTCGGCTAAAAGCAAAGCAAACTGTTTTCCTACCGAGGAATGAAGGGCGACGCGCCTGCAGGTGCAGTTCCTAATGGTTTTCGCGGGCCGAGATTGGTCGTCGGTGGCACCTGCACCAGACGGAAGGTCACGTGGCCCGAGAAACCCAATCAATGCAAACAGTGCCAACATGTCACCTGACTGATATGCTCGCCGGCCGAGATGGGAATTGTTACAAGCAGAGCAAAAGTTCTGGAATTGAATTCGGTCATTTCACAACCACCATGGCTCCCGCTCCTATTCCGCATTTCCTCCTACCGCGAGGACTTCCCACTGCGCGGACCCTGCGGACCCTGCAGCACCAGCAACACATCGGCCTGACCACCCGCGCACCGCGCCAATGCTTTTCTTCCTCCAGCCCTGTATCCAAGGGTAGGAATACCGACAAGAGCCGGACACTAAGTCAACCAGACAAGTTCCGACCTCCTTCACACCCGCAGCGGCTCGTCAATCCGGCACGCACCTCGCCCTCCGGTCAACCCATCAACTATGGTCCCCGCCTCACAGCCGAGCAGCGCGAAGCGCAGAATAAAAAGCAATACCCCAACATGTTCCCACCAGAGGGGACGGTCATGCACAAGTTCTTGACGAATAAGTGGATTCATGTGTGGATCGCAATGGTGCGTACATACACTCCCCATGCCCGTCGAGTTTCAAGCTCAGGCCCTCCCATCCCATCGCATAGCATACTAATAAATATATCTACAGAGCATCCTGACCTCCCTGGCAACATTCACCTTTACCACGAACTTCAAAGCCAGCTCTCCCTTCGCCCACCTCCTCCCGCCCTGGTCCGCCCTCTTCACCTCACCCTTCAGCACCATCTCCCAGGCCATGGCCGTCTACCGCATGGACGTGCAGCACAACTCCATGCGCGTGCGTGAGCAGCGCCACCGTCGCATTGAGGACGCTGAGAAGCGCAGGCAGTATCGTGTCGCGCACGGCATGGAGGAGCCTAGTGAGAAAGATCTTCCTCAGCCTGTCGACGACCAGTCGCCTGTTGCGGTTGAGGCTGCGAATGGTGAGTTCGTTGATTGGGAAGGCAAGAAGAAGCCTGCTAAGAAGTGGCTTGGAATTTGGTAATTTCTCTCCTTTCCTCATTCCATTCTGAGTTGATGAAGTGAGTTGGGGGAGTTAGATTGCCAATTCCAATGCCAAGCAGACTGCTTGTGCAGGCAGGATTGGTAGTATGATTTGGGGAAAGACTGGGACAGTGTTCTTTGGCACTACACCCACCCACACCCGTGGAGATGGATACACCTTCCATCTGTATATTAGTAGATTTTTTTTATGGAAATAAGCGACTTGAAAGTCATGGTCATGAATCGCCTCTCATTGCATTGCGAGATATGGTATAAGAATCAATCAAGCCTTCTCAAAACAAACGCCAGCCCTTTCTCAGATCGAAAATGAAACCTGAAGAGAGTAGAAAGAAAAGTAACAAGAAAAAGATCATTCTACCTCAACACCCTCCAGCCCCTCCAGCACTTCTTCACCAACCCCACCCTTCTTCAACACAGTCTTGATCATATTCGCAATAACACTGCGCTTAACACCACCGCGCCGAGGCCTCCACACGCCAGGAACCTCCTCTTCCCCAGTCGCCGGATTCAAAACGGCAATATCCTCCGTAGGAGCCGTAGCACCGAGCATATTCACATTCTCAGAGTTAGGCACAGCAGGCTGCGTAAGACGAGAAGGCGGGTCGACCGTGCGTATAGAAAGCAATTTCAAATTACCAGCCTCCGTATCCCTAGTAACGGAGATGGCAAGAACTGCATCCGCGACGGCGATTTCTTCCCGACTCGGATCGAAAATGATGTTCTCGCCGACGGAGACAACAAGCAGCGTCACCGGGGGTCGAACATATTGTGAAGCAATACCAGCAGCCTTCAGATTCGAACGGCGCGGGTACAGATACTCCGCAACCTCCCAGTCGTCGTCGAAGAAAGGATCTTCCTCGCCTTGCGACTTCAGCTTTGGCAATTTGGTCGACAAAAGTGCGAGATGGGTCGTTAGAGAGAGGAGCGGCAGTGGATATGAGAGTGGTTGAGAGAGAAGCAAGACCTAGATTTGCGTATCAGCATAAACTCTTCTCTTCTCTTCTCTTTTGCCCGATATGCCGCAGATCCGGGTGCAATTGGGGCAATTTGTTCAGTAATCAACTCACATCAATATACAACCGCCAATGCCACCGTTTATTGATAACCAATCTCCCCTTCAACCCACCAGCCATCGTCACATCACCATCACCATCACCATCACCACTCCCATCCGCAACAGAACCCACCAACGACTCGCGCATCATCTCCGACAAAAACACCGGCAGCGCATCATCATCCCGAAACCCAGGAATCTCAATAGACATCTGCACCCATGACCCATGACCCGAAGACGCAGCCGAAGCCGACGACGGATCCTCCCCTTCTCCCACCTCACTCGACGCTAGCGTATCAGTCGACAGAACCGTCTTCTCAACCTCCGCCTTCACGCCGACGATAGCCTGCGTCCCGTCCGCGAACCCAATGCGCGCACTACCGTTCGTTCCGGGGAGGATGTTCGACTCGGCTGTCAAGGGCCGAAATTGGGTTGGTGAGCGGCCATCGGGTCGGATGGGGGATTTGGGTAGCGAGAGAGAGGTGTAGAGGTAGGAGAGCTCAGCTGGGGAGAGGTGCGGGGTTTGCGAGGCAGAGGAGGCTTGTCTTTGGTTGGACATTTTGGGAAGATGGTTGCTGTGATTTGTAGGACTTTTTCGGGGCGGATAGTTTCCCGGGACAGATGGCGGGGGGCAATTGTGTATGTAGCTAGCTCAAGTTGCTGCTATTCGTCTCGTGGATTAAGTTGATAAGAGTAGGTTTTTTTTTTCCGCTGATCGCAGACTTTTTGAGCCCCCGGTTTTTTGGAGTGGCGGGGAGTTCGAGGGAGGAATACTCGCGAGCTTCGAATCTTGAGCTTCTCTGCCTAGCAAGCCTCTGCGATTGAAGCTAGGTGTCAAATTGTGGAGGTCTAAAAAAGTTGAAGGTGAAGAGCATGCTTGATTGGGAAACTTGAATGTCGGCGGCCCGTTGTTACTCCGGGTGGGTCCCAAACCGCCCACTGGCAACCCTGGAGATTGCTTGATGTGAACTACACTAGTAGAGTTGGTGTGGAAGATAGTCTGCTGTCTAATGTACCAAGCCAGGTACATTGCATGTTTTAAACTTTAATTCAACTAATAAGGAATCAAGGATGATGAGCGAAAAAATAATATTATGCATGTCAAGTGTATATGCGTATATGATTGGCAGATGCCGAGTGCTATATTACAACAAGGTAGGCTGGAGGCCAGCCAGTCAATCCGGGAGAGGGTCAAAGATAATACAAGAAAGAGTGAACAGGAAGATTGGATCAGAGAGGATGCAAGAGAGCAGTTGAATAAGGAAGGAAAGCGATGGACAGGAGTGGCAGTTTTTGCCATGACAATGTACAGTGAGAGAGAGGGATGAGAGAGAAGTATGTAGACAAAGGAAAAAGGAAAGCGCCATATTCATCAAAGATGGAAAACGCGAGGGATATGCAAATGTAGGGAATGGTATATAATGCGACTTGCGCATGTGGTATCAAATGAAGATGTGAAAAGTGTGGTGGGCAAAATAATGTGCAACGCCAAAAGAAAAAATGAGAGATCGCCAGGGAAATAAAACCGAGGGGGGGCAAATGTGTGCGAGGCCAGTAACCATCTATCCAAAAAAGGGCCTATGGGGGTATGAAAGAAAGATGAAAAATGTAAGGAAGAAAAAAAAATAGAAAAACCCAGAACTGCCAGACCTGCCAGACCTGGAGAAAAAGTGCCCCGAAACCAATACGCCGAAAGCAGGTATGTATCCGATTTTTAGCGCAATCTTTCGCCAGAATTTTGTTTTTGGTGGTGATTCTCTATTTCGAGATGAGAATATGAGTGAGTGGTTGGTGTCATCGAGGTCAAGTAGACACTCGTCTTTCAAATGTAGTTGCTTCCAGATGCGAAGTAATTGGTGGAAGCCTTGTGGTTCCACTCGCTCTCCTCATAGGGGGGGTGTTGGCCACTGGCGGTTGGAGTTAGGGTCCGCCTTGTTGGTGTGGTGTTTCACAGGAGTCTCAAAGTAGCCATCGGCCTTGGCCGTGGGAGAAGGAGTGGGATACGGGCTCGGTAAGGCACGCGAGTTATCCGTCTGGCGGTGTACCCCAGCAGACATTGATTGGGTCTGCGCGAGGCGTCGCGCCGCCTTGCTGGCAGAGTGGAGCACCTCGTCTAAAAGCTCATCCTCTTCCTCGGGTGTCTCATAGCGGTGAACTGGGTGGCTTGTCATCTGCATGGCACGTCGTGTCCTGCTGGAGATTGGGGCCGGGTTGCTGGTGGGCATTGATTGCCGCTTGGTCACATTTCCATCAGCTCCAGAGAGATGTACTGGAACATTGCTTAGTGTGGACGTGTCCAGGGAGTATTTGACACTCTGCAAGGCCTTGTCCAGATCAGTCAGATCGGAGTTCGCCTTTGGGTCTGCGGGGTTGGACCCATCAAGAGCCATGGAGGAGCGATTTGACCAGGGAATGCAACCAGCGTTGGCTTCGATATCCTCGGGCGCGGCGTTCTGGTTGCGACCTGAAAGTCGACGAGCACGTTTACGTAGGTGCGAGAAGAAGCTTTCCTTGGTAGTCGGCGTAGTGTTTCCAGAACCGTTCAGCATCCGCTCAGCCTCCTGGCGGTGGGCATCAGAGTAGTGATTGCCGTTCGAGTTAACAGACAATTGGCGGCCAATCTTCTTGTTCTTAGCAGCCTCAGTCTCAGCAAACTTCGCAGCCTCGCTGTGTGCCACAGTTGTATTGGCTTGAGCGGTGACAGAGTTTGAAAGAGGAGACACGGGGCGGATGGAGGGAAGAATGGGCATAGGGGCACCATTTGCCCACGTCGCGCGCTTAGTGTTGGCGGGGCGTGCCTTGTTGACTGGTGGTACCTCGGGGTTCGTGTTGTAGGTGACAGGGGCAGGTCTGGCCGGGCTCTCGGCTTCAGCGCCAGGAACTGGGCTGTCAGAGCGTCCAATAAGTGATCGGCGGAACCAGGAAGGCTTGGTAGAGAGAGTAGGGGAATCGTTCGGGGTGAGTGTGGGAGACTTGAAGCTTTTCTCGGATTGTTTACGACCAAGCAGTCGCGAGGACGTTGAGGACTTGGGTCGCATGGGATCGACCGCATCGACAAAGTACTCATGGTTCATGGCTTGGCTGCAGGTTGGTCGGTTCTTGGGGTCCCACATCAAACACCAGGTGACAAATTCACTCAGGGCAGCGGGCCAAATAGATGGGTTCAGGACGCTGTCCATCGAGTGGGGTGCCATTTTGGGGAACTGGAAACCCAGCTTCTGAGCCAAGCGCGAACCGTCGCGCCATTCACCACCGCCAATCTTCGCGCCCGACTTACTGTACCAGTTGCCAGGGCTTCCCATAATCTCACAAACGCGCCATACTTGATCCACCTCGTTTCCTCCAGGGAACAGTGGCTTTAAGGTCGCGATCTCAACAGCCATGGCACCAACCGCCCACATATCAACAGGGGCTGAGTATTCTCCGGCCCGCAGGAGTACTTCGGGTGCCCGGTACCAACGGGTCGAGACGTAAGTAGTATAAGGCTGTTTCGAGTGAGTCTCACGGGCGAGACCAAAGTCGGCAATCTTCACAGTATAAGTAGGAGGGGAGGATGGAGGAGTAACGAGGGTTGAGTAGCGGCTAAAGGGAGAGTCGTTGGAAGCAGAGGTAGACACGAGGATATTCTCGGGTTTGATGTCGCGGTGGAAGAAGTGGTGGGCATGAATATGCTCTAACCCAGACAAGATCTGGTAAAGAATGCTCTTGACATGCTTGCCTTCAAAGTACTTGTGGTCACGAGCCTTCATGAGCTGGTATAGGTTGCCATCCATGTACTCCATGGCAATATGCAGTTTGCGGGACAGAGGGTCGAGGAAGATATCGAGAGCGGGGACGAGGTGAGGGTGGACGGGGAGTGTGCGAAGGAAGATAACTTCACGAAGTTCTAGACATGGCTGTAATGAATCGAAGGTCTTTTTCATCGTCTTGATTGCAACCTGGAGGAGAGGATGTCTTGTCAGTAATGTTTCATCACACATCAGCACCAGATCGTTGGATCATTCCCATACCATGGTTCCTCTGCGCGCGATATGGGATCCCGCAGTCCGTACACGGGCCACGGCCACGCTACCAAAACTACCATCACCAACTTCCTTCATGACCTGGAAGCGGTCCTCGAGGGTCGCCATTGATGTGTGGTTTGCCCGAGACGGGGTATCGTATGTAACTGTCATCTTGTCCTCTTCGGATCTGCCAGCAGATGAAGAGTGTATGTGTAACTTGGAAGGGGGTTAGCGTCAGGCGCGACATGGTTGATTGGTGGTGGGTGCTCACTCACATTAGAGGGGCTGGGTTCCCACGAGAGTATGTATATTTAGGGAAGGATGTTCAATTGGGGCGAATGGTCATCATCCGAATGTGAATGTGTGGTCTGATGTTGAGCAAGGAGGGAGTCACTCCCATTAAAGATGTAAGGAATGACGGTGTAGTTGGAAAGGAGGAGGGGGATGGAGGGAAGAGGAGGGGGGAAAGATTCTATGACCAAGGCCAAAAAGAACGGGCACGAAGCAATAAAAAGGAATTCCACCCAGAATAGGAGAAGACCCGTCTAGGGTGGGAACTCGAGCGATCGGAGGCCGTGGGAAGCCCCTGACGCGCTGACAGCTCTAAGCTCCAGGACGGCGCCGTGGGGACGGTAAATTAACCACGTTAGGCCGGCGCAGATCAGTCCACCAGGATCCAGATGGGGGTGGAAGGGTGGAGGAGGATGATGATGATGATGTGTGGATTGGTATAGTTGTATACCGCTCAGGGAGAGTGAAATCACTGTTGAATATTCTTGACTCTGGAATTGTAGAGAAGTGAAAAAGAGGAAAAGAGAGATAGAAAAGGATATCCGCACGAGGGCGCGAGAGGGGAAAGAGTGGGCATTTTGCAGGGGACTATTGGGGATGGAGTCAATACAACTTGGTACGGTCGATGAAGAAAAAGGCCCAAAAGACCTTCTTGTTTTGCGAAATAACGGGATCCTCTCGCGATGGTCCAATGAGGAGGTTGGCAGTGGAGACGGGTTCCTGGTTAGTATTTACCGTATGTTTGGCTAGACAGGGGGGTATTTGGGTATTTGGGTATTTGGGTATTTATTAAGTATCCACCAATACAATTAGTTTGGGAAAACTCGACTCTGTTAAATTCCTCTGGGTTTATTTTGGTTTATTGTGGTTTCTTTTCTTTGCTTTTCTTTTCTTTTTCTTGGTCCTTTTGTTTTTACTAAGAGTTGCGAGATGGAAAAAGAAATATAACAATAAAATTAAATACCTTATACTACGCACAGAGCACACCCATAAGTACCGATGTACACTATACCAAGAAAGAAGCAATACAGAATACTAATAGTAAGTCAACATCCGGTGGTCCAGAGTACTCCATATTCTGTAACAAATAAGCACCCTCCAACACACACCGATATGATTATCACACAACCGATATACCCGAGGAACTGCAGCAAGAATTTGGGAGGTTGGGCATACAAAAAAGCAGCCTGTCGCAGTCACCCACGCAGCCCTAGCCTGAGCCTTCTTGGGGCGGCCCTCCCCCCACTTCCAGTTGGGCCGCGTCGTTGCCCCGTAATCTATGTATTCTTCATACACGTACTTTACATCCACAACAGTTCGGCGCGAGTGTAAATCAGTATCCCCCTACGCAGAAACGCGTTCGCGATTCGCTTTCTCTCCTGCTCATCCGCATGACGTTGACGGATCAGATTTGTTCCCAGCCATTCATCCAGATTCCCGTCTCTCGGGTCCCGGTCGAGGTCGCGGTCGAGGTCGAGCCTCCCACAGTCGAACCTCCCACAGTCGAACATGTCATTTTATTTTCAGAACGCGCAGCCGCAGGCGCAGCGCAGTCTGGCCCGCAAGGAGAATCCTTCTTGTGACCATGTCTGTTATGTCATGTCCTACATCGAAGCAGTCGAAGCATACGGAGTAGCTCTGAGGGAATTAAGAAAATGTCATCATGATACGAAGTAAATAAATTAAAATATAATTTCTGATTCTAAAATGAGGGACTCCCGTACCCGTACGTATGGCGTCCACTAGAAGTAGCCCTGGAGAATATAATTAAATAAAAATCCAAAGCCGTCCTCCGTACTGTACTCCGGAGGCGATTCCCCTGTTTCACTCCGGCTTGGTTGATCCGGTTGACCAGGCATCCTACTAACTCGCCACCTGATCTTCGCCTATCCGAGCGTTCCTGGGGAAAGGTGTGGATTCATCTCCGTCCGTACCAGCCGGCTGCTTTTCAGGACTAGTCGAGGAATGCCCTCTTACTGGTCCCAGCCGCGAATGATTTGAATTTTGTTCTTATGCACACGGAATATTTTATATAAATTATTTGAATCTCGACTCCAACTGGGTGGGAACCGGGATTTGATCAAGGCCAAATGTAAATTAGGTTTTCGGGGGGGGGGGAGAAGGACGGAGAGACGCGGAGGCGTTCGCATGGAGCTTTCTTTCTGTACGGTAGGAGTAAGCTTAACCCGCGGGCACCATGGTAATGGGACGCCATCGGTGGTACATCGTGCATCTGATGGATAGGAATAAACGAATAAATGATAAAATGATCTTTCGATCCATCGTCCCATCGCATCGTTTCCAGCCTTGTCAGGAGGCGAGGCTGCCCCGTCACACTGCGTGCACGCGATTCCCTCGATTGGAACAGATGGCGCGCCCTGATTCAGGTTGACCTCGCAACAACAACAATTACTACCACCACCACCACCACTACCACGGAGTACTGAGGACCAGCAGGGGCGGGGCAGGGCCTTTTCTTTGTTCTGTAAAAGGCGCTATCACCACTTCCCCGGCCTAGTCTCTTACCAATTCCGTGTCAAGGATATTAAATTGCAATCGTTCTTCGCGCGGCGGACCGTTGGAGCGCTAATCCCTACCCTCCCGGATGTCGCCCGGTGGACGAAATCGCCATCGACCCTCTTCTCACTCACTCACCACCCTCTCTCTTGGGTAGGATAATCTTTTTTATCTTTACTCGTACTAGGCAAGCTCCACTCCACAAGCTCCAGGAACCCGAGGACACAGACATGGGAAGACGATCGAGGACGATCCTCGCATACCTGTCAGAACGGGAGAGGAGGAGTTAGGGGGGATCAATACGAGCCTTTGTATTCGATTACCTACAGCAGAATGAAACGCACCTGTCAGGCCAGACGAACCCTGGGGCGGCCGTTTGGCCCGCAAGGATGGAACGGGCAGCGCGCCCCCATATTGCATTATTACGAGAGTACACTTCTCATTACATACCGAGTACGAAGGGACTCGGTTACTCCATACATCTGTATCATACACGGTTTGAGACTCCTCCACTGCTTCGTTGGTGCCGCGCCTTTCCATGCAATTGCAGATGAATAGGGGTCATTTGTCATTTGTGTCTATCGTACGAGTATTGTGGAATTATTGGGTTAATATTATTTTCATCAGGTGATAATCATCCATTTTCGATCGTGTGGACGGTCGAGTTCCGCGGGTGAAGGTGGGTTCCTTCCAAGGGCCGTACCGACAGAAGGTACCAACATACGGGAAATGGTCAATCCGTGGAAACCCACAAGTTAATTCGTTAATCTTTTTTATTTTTAATTACCACAGGCACTCCGGGTCAGTGGACCCAATCAAAATAGAGCAGAATCTCGTGTGTCGTCAGACCTCTCCTCACTATACCACACCACCACAACACACCATACTCGCTGTATGTACAATGCTTGGGTACCTTCACAGGAGATGCGCCGTAAATCACGGGTGGACGGAGTATGCTGTACAATGTACACACCGCATGCAGCAGACTCCATTGGGGTCAAGGGACTTCGCGCAGTGCTAAAAGCTATTGTACCAATAGGCAGTATCAGAGGATCATAGTGCGATGGAGACTATGCGCCCACCACACCATTGGCGGAGAAGTCGGTTCTCTTTTGTTGGAAAGGACCAAGTGGATTTCGATTTACACAGCAACTCAAAAGGCATCCTCATTCAGCCCTTTCATTGCTGGACCGCTCCCAAAGGTCTCCAGGCTGTGGGCCTAGCGCGCTCGGGGAAGGACGGGCACTCCACTTGCGTGGGCCCTCAATCCAGGCTCCTCTTCCCCGAGAGGAGGCGAGGGGACCATCTTTTGTGCAAAGGATCGCTGGCTCCCCAAGGAATGGAACTATTGCACCCGTTGCCAAAATCCCGGGAGGCGCCGTCATCTTCCCTCGACCTTCGAGAAGGTCATCGGCCCGTCCACCACAACCGCTCATCGAATGTTTTATGCTTAGGCTCATCGACCCTTTCCATCCCCCCAAATGATTGCCAGTTCCCACTCTTGTCTCTCATGCTCGTCATCCTCTTGAACCCCCCCCCCCTTTGCCACCTCGTTGCGGCGAGGCAGACATGCATCGCCTGCTTCATCCACCTTGCCAGGGGCTCGCCCACATTCCATAGTCCACATCACCAATCATCCCTTCTCCCCTCCACCTCCCTCCACTCCCCTTCTACCAGTCGTAAACCGACGCAGTAGAAAATGTCTCCAGATTGCACATCCTCTGCACTCCGTACTCAAAGCTAAATGTTGAACTAATTCAACTCGACCCACACCAGACGCCGAACATAAACAAAAAAGCACTGGGCACACTGCACTGGCACACCGACCCTCGGCCCTCCTCCCCTTTTCCTCACGACACAGAGAGCATGAACGGAGCGTATCAGAATGCCATGTGCGCCCCTTTCCGAATCGATCGACCCATCAATCCCAGACGAAGGGTTAACGATATCGACGGAGTACCGCTGCTCCGGGAAGCTAGCTGCACGAGGCATCTCGGGTCGGGTCCCACAGTCAACAGTCCACCACCCGTAATGTGGCCTCTTATTCGACGCTTTGGCGTTTCTGGAAGGTCCTTACCAGGGTTCTATGGCAGACTGCGCGGCCCCTAACTATTTCCGGAGAAGGTCCAAGTCATCATCAACCTATCCGTATTTAGAGCATGTTTGGAGAAGTGGGAGGGGAAGGGGGCTTGGCTTAGTCTATCTCTGACTTTAACGGAGTAGGGGGATGCTAACCCGTAACTTCCGTGCCCCTGATGTTCGTTTGATGAACTTTCTGGAAGGTTGTCAAACTTCCGTCCGTCGAATCTAATTTCAAACCCTGCCCTGTTGTGGGTACGTCGCCGAGGAAACTGACAAGCTGTCCCTGCATCCTCGGCACTTTGGTTCGGTTTGGTTTGGCTTGGTTTGGGAGGGATTCCGTTCATACGAGTAGCATAGGCTCGAAGCGAAAAAGTCCACTTTCAGGATCCGTTCGGACATTTTACCCGCCTCCTATATGGGGCCTTTGTGTGTGCTATTGTTGGTATCAATCATTCTTCTAATTGCCAGTGTGCGTACGACTGGTCTCATTGTGTGGAATTGGACTCGCTGGTTCAATGGATATTGCTTTTTGTTGAAACCCATTGTTCCTGTTGTTCCTGTGCTCTTTCATGCTATTCTTTGAACATTGTAATCTGCATCGGTCATCTGCGTCAGGCTGTTGACCATAGTACAACTTATTTGAGATGTTCTGGCGGTTGAGGAATAGTACTAGTTAGATATATTCATTCTGCTGGCAGACTTTTCATATTTTAGGAAGGGTCGATACCTCCAGTGTTGACTGCAGCTTCCCAAGTACCCTCGTCCTCACTTTCGATGCCCCGGTCCACCGACGCCAGCGTTTCTTCCATTGTTTCACCCCCTCCAGCGTTGCCACGTATGGCCGTTCTTAAAGGCTCGGCAGAAGAATTGACCGCATGTCCTTATGCTTTGACTCTTGCATGGCTTATCTAATTCCTGCCGTCTGGGTTTGAGATTGTTTGTGGATAGACTAGGGTATGTCTAGGGATTTCCGCAGGATATCTTAGCAACGGTTGTAGGTTTGTGGCCATAGACATGATGCTTACAGCTGTGTTGGAGATACCCTTTGGGTAGTTTAAAGCTTGAAAAAAGACCAAAACTTTCGTATAGTGTTAGAATCTAGGAGTCTTTGTGGATTTTTTCACGCCTACGGCTTTCCAATGTGTCCGTATCTACGTGCTACTAGTAGCTACTCGTCGTAACTTTCTGTGAAATTTATTCTTGGGGTATTCAGGTATTCAGGAGTATAGTATACTACCTATGTAGCCACTTAAACTGTCTGCTGTAGGGCCTATAAGGGCAAATATTATAATAACCCTTTTTTCTCCCGGTATATCTAAAGGAGCTTCCTAGTGTAGCCGTCCCAAGCGTTTTGATAGCGCTCATAAAGTACTTTACTTAGAGAATTGGAACCTTGTTCTTATTGAGATATCTAGTAAGAAGATCAATGAAAGCTTGTGCTTTAAGTTGAATGGTACGCCAAGGCAACGATTGTATGGTTTTGTCGTCGTGTGCTTGGTGGTGCTTGCCCGCCGAGCCACATGCACAACATGGAAGGTGCCTTCCCTTTCCATGCACATCCGCCATGACTTTCTTCCTTCCCTTCATCTTCACCTCTCTTTCTTTCTTTCTCTCTCTCTCTCTCTCTCCTCTCCTCCCACTTTCTTCCACTCCACACCCCTCCCAGGTAGCTAACCAAAGATCCTTATTCCAATCGAGAGTCTCTTTCCTCGGTGACCAGCTATCATGGATGACTCGCGTGTGAGTGCCTACAAAGGCGGTTACAGTGCCAACGTCAGAAGGACGTAAGCCCATTCCTCTTCTCAACATTACTATCTGAAGTGATTTCTCTGCTAACCTCTCCCAGCGTGGACAGCATTGAACTCCCAGAGTGGTGGGTATACAGCCATGTCCATCACTCCGGGCGCCATATCTAACAACTATAGGCTCACTTGCTGTCTGTGCGGAATCCGCCAATCAAAGACATGGTATTCGAAAGCTTCGCTTGCGGCTCTTCGACAGAGAATCTATCGAGAGGGAAACCAAATCTTAATTGCGAATCATGCGGGTCTCATCCGGTGCTGTGATTGTTCGGGCAATCCGGCACAGTCAGAGCGCAAATGCAAGATCTGTGCCGAGCTCAAGAGTCTCGATGCCTTTGCGCGAAACCAGCGCCAGTATGCGGAGCCGGTAAGTGGTCATTGCTTTCCGATATATATGGATGGGGATGCTTGTATAGTTGAAACTCGAACTGATCAAGAATGGCCTTCGACAGACTTGCATTCCTTGCCAGGACTTCATGATGAACAATGACCACGAGTTTAAAGAACGTGAACACCGGCGTGGTCTCCAGCGGTGGGACGAGAATCTGGGTCCAGATCAAGCGATCAAGGGATCTCCCCCCTGCGCCCCGACGCCGACTCGCTCTTCCTGTTGGTGAAAACGACAACGGCAGTGGCTTTATCGCTGAGCCATCGCCACTTCCTCAAGGTCGACTCATGCATCAGAATGCCCTCGGCACAGAGAGTGGTTCCACACAGCCTCCGACAGGTGAACGTGCATATGAGACTGCTTCCAGTCGGGCTACAGCACCTCGCCTTCCACGGGTAGAGGGCGACGACGAGATCGTAAGTTGCTCCTATTTGACCTGGTTTAACTCTAAGAAGAGAGTCAGCGAACTATTTTAATGACCAGAACTTTCTTTCTACTGCAGCGATCTACCGCTAGTTCTACTTTGGTCTCGAATGATGGATTTCTGCTTGCCCCAGAATATGGCTCTGACGATGATACAATCGCCCCACGAGCCGAGCGGAGTCGAACCGGGTGGTCGAAAATCCGAGTGAGTAATGCTGCGTTGGGCATTGTCCTTGGTCTGTTTTCATGGGCGTGGCTAATCTAAGTTTGCAAACCAGCCGAACCGTCATCGCCGAGGCCACCCTGAGTAAACAGTTGAGCCTCTCGAAGCTTCACTAAGCTCTGCATTCCCCGACCACCTTTATTTTTCTTTCCTCTCTTCTCTTCTCATATGAATATGAAAATGACATCAAAGCGGTCTAGTTTTCAACCTGAGTTGTTGGTACGTTGATTCCCTGGGTTAGGGTCAGGGGTGCCATGGTCATGACATCGGTGGTTCCGTTCCCCACGTTCCAACGAAGTATCCAATTCTCCAGTCATCTCCAAAGACTGGGAAGTGCAATGATCTATCTATCTTTAGCAGGTCGGGGGTTTCTTCTCTTTCTTCTCTTTTCGCAAGAATCAATATGCACTAGTCTCAGTCTCACAATGATCCGAGTTATGAGCCCTGGTATTGGTAAACAGTACTACTAGTACTTCGAGTTGAACTTGGGACTCTCCTGGGCGCTAAAAATATATTTGCCCCCGCGAGCTATAATTAGGAAGGTCAACAGTCTCAAGTCCCACCCTATTATCCCAAGTTGGATCTATTGTTCGGTGTACACCTGGGCACCTAGTAGTAGTACTACTTTCAATAATACCCCTGGAGTATCTTGAAGTTGATTCCCCTTCATCGACCGCATCATTTCGCCAAGTCATTCCTCCGAGCGCGTGGCCGCACTGGCCTGTTCTGCAGAGCCAACTGTCGGGTTTGCAGCCGAGTTGCAGATGCAGCGATCTGTGCAAAACATGAAACGTGCTGCTAACAGCTCTGATAGGTGCCGAGGAAATCGTAATCGACGCAGGCATCGCATGGAAGCCATCAGTGAATAGATTAAATGATGCCGATCATGACGCTACAGCAGGGTTGGCGAATATGACATCCCAAGCATTTGTGACACTTTAATATATTAAATGCGCCACATCAAAGGTTCGTGACGTCGAGTTACAGTCCCACAGGGCTGCTGGATGGCCACCGGTAAGTGATAGTAATACTAGTAGTAAGCTGTTGCACCAGTGACGCAGTTGTGTTTGGGATCGCCACTTTGTCTTCCCCACAGCCCCTCCATCACTCTGGATTTCTCTGCCTTCTGCGACACTCTCCTCCTCAGGCCGTATTCGTGAGCCCGTGACTAGTTTTAGTTTTTAGTTTTGCCCAGCGGGCTACTAGAGCGAGAGAGAAACAAACCAACCCCACGGCTCGTCTCGCATCCTGGTCGCGATGGCTTACGATGGATACCGTTCGACCCCTAATTCCTACCAGACGGGCAACTTGAACATGACCTCCGATCCGACCGATCCTTACGGACCACCGCATCCTCCATATCCCTCTCGCCATGAAAACGATTACCTGAACATGCCCCAACCGCAGATGCCTCAGCCCGCATCGGCTACCTCAAACATGGACCAGCCATATCCAGAACCTCCCCGCCCGGAGAGTACGAACTCGGGCCATCTGAACGATGCTATCAGTTCCGCTGTCCATATTAATGGGTCTTCCGCCTACCTGTCTCCCGATGTCTTGCAGCAGATTACCGCGACCGTGATCCAGCAGCTCAAAGCTAGTGGCTTGGAGAATAGCAACCTGCCCGGGTCTGGTCAGCCTCCTGCTCGATCGCAGTCACTGCAGCCTCCCTACTCGACGGCAGACTTGGCTCCTCGACCACACTCCGAGTCTCCACCGATTCCTTCTCAGAGAAGCGAATCAGTGCCTTTCGTCGATCCCATGTCTAAAAGCTATGATACGCACCCATATGTGCCACCCTCTGCCTACTCGAATGATCCTCAGTCAAGGACGCAACAATCACCAGAGTCGTTTTCTAGGCGTCGTGAGTCGATGTCTAGCCAAGGGAGTCAGGCACCACGCCCCAAGGGCCCGGAGCGTGACACCACAGTGATGGAGATGACGACACTGGAGAGAATTTGGGGAAAGCTTTTTGAAGATGGAAAGCCTACAAAGAGACTTGGTCAATTTTTGCGCGGAATTGCAATGCACTTGGTATGTCATAATCATGATCCTATTTATAAAAAGATACTGACGCTTAGGGAATAGATCGAAGATTACCCACCGGGAAATACCCTTGTCATTGTCCCCGACAAGCTGCAAAAGTTTTATGCCGACACCAATGTTTCGCTAGATAAATATCCTTGGAAAGGTTGGTCTTGGTCTTTCTCTTCTCGAACTAATCTGAATACGGAACTTCTTTTTGACATATTAGTACAGATATATTTGATGACCGCACCTCCTCCATCTCGAGGCTGTTCCGCGACGTGGAAGTGGAACACCACCTGGTCCAGTCGGCTGATCTCAAAGAACGACCCGATATCCCGGGGCTGACGCCGAAAGGATTTGAAAAATGGGTTACCATGATGATTCAAGCCCATCCAGACCGAGAATACGAGCGCTTGCAAAAGGCTGTACTCAACATGCCAATCAGCAATCCCGATGACAAGAAAGAGCGGTTCCCGAAAGAGATCCCGCGCCGGCTCTTCCCTGACACCGCTGATATTCAACTAAGAGAGGAGACCGAGGAATATATAATGAAGCACTGCGGAGTTGATCTGCCTCGCATCACCGATCAGGAACGCGAGCTCTCACGACCAGCGACTGCAAAGAGATCCCCCGAGCCAGCCATTTCATCCTCCGGCCGGGCTCGGTCATACGAACGAGGACGCCCTCCACCTACTTCTGCCTCTGCATCTTCCGTATCATCTTCGGCTGTGGTTGATGACGAAGATGAAGAAGTTACACCCTCAGTCTCCATCGAGCGCGAGAGAAAGCCATACAGCGCTCACCCGGGACGCGGCAAACAATATAAAGAGTCGGGCTCAGGCCACTCTCGCACTGGCAGCTCAACTGGCTCCTTCTCCACATCCAGACCAGCAGATATCACGGGTACGACCTCGACCTTGAACTCTACCTCGGACCCCTTGAAGCACCGGCCGGCGGAAAAGTTTGACCGCGATTCCCGCTATGGTCGAACTGGCTCCGGCCCCGCTTCTCGACGATTCTCGCGAACATCCCGCAGCTCGTCTCGTGGGATGAACACACGTCCTGGAGACTATCGACACTCGGAAGGCGATTTGCATAGCCGCGACAACACACCCCGATACGACGGCATATCTGCCGCGGATCTATACATGGAGTCTCCAACTTCTATCCTGCCCGATAGTGACGATGGCCGTCGGTTCAAAGATCATCGTAGCAGTCGCAGTGGCGAGGATTATCATCGTGGTATGCTTGGTGGACACGGTGGTGGACCGGTCAAGTACTACCACTGACTGTGATTATTGGGAGGGGGCCCTTATTTTCAAGCTTTTATTGTGCCTTTTTGGCTGTGAGGTGTTGCTTTCTTTTTTCTTTGATTCTCTTTCTCCAGCTGGGCGTTTCGCGTGGCATGAAGATACCCTGTTTCTAGGGGTTTGTGATGAAATGAATGATGATGTCTCATGTCTATCTCTTCAAGTTCTTGAATACATACTGCTCGCGCATAAAAGCTGTTATTATCGCTAATATATAAATGTCTTTTGCCGAGATCTCACACGTCAGAGGATGGGGAAATTTGGAAACAACGTATGGTGCCTACGTACCCCGAGTCCTGTGCCTAATACTACCACTGGAGAGTCTCCCCGAAATCCGAACCCGAATCCAATAGAACTCGTAGGGCCCCAGGGCTGTTCAAATGCCAAGAAGGAAGCCATAATCTCCAAAGAAAACAAACCAGCCGCAACCCTTCTCCGGTGTGCTCTCGAACTGCCTTATCATTTCCCCGAACCCCCCCCCTGTATAGAAAGGGCTCTTTTCTTGCGAATATCGTGCATAATCTTCACCCCATCCTCCTTACAAGCCCCAGCTGCCTTAGCCCTCTTCCTCTCCTCCTTCTCATACCGTTTCTGTATATGCCGCTGATCCCTCTCCTCCCTTTCCGCCCTCATTCTAACCCTCTTCTCAGCCCTCCTCCTCTCATCAGCAACCTCCAACCCACCCCTCTCAGCCTCACGCCTCAACACCTCAACCTCCTCATCAAGTAGAACCCACGGCACGGAAAGGACTTCGACCAAAAACCGAAGTCTCTCATCGACAAACTGCATCTCGGAATTCGTGTCATGCACGAGCGTGAATCGCTCCAGATTCACCTGCATCGTTGACCGGAATCGATTCACCGTGCCTTTGACTTTGACCGTGGTCCCTGGGACTAGTTTTGATATGTCGATTATTGTCCTGTCTGTGGCGGATACATGCACGATCTGGTTCATGGCTAGGAGATCGGGCGGTTCTTCCGCTGAGGGATCAGGGTCTGCGGTCGCTGGTGGCTTCGTTGGAAGATTGAATGAGGCCGTGCTGGCTGCGGTCGGATATGATGAGACTCGGACCTGCGCGATATTCTCTGTTGTGATTTTTTCCTTTGGATCCGCTTGTAAAATTACAATGTCGACCGTGGAGCCGCTGCTGTCGTCTATGGTGAGGATCGTTCGCCGGGTGATTTCAATCCTGGCTACGATTACGCCTACCACGCTGATGAAGGTGATTGGGTGGTTCTTGTAGAAGAATAGGCTTTGGCCTGTGGGGTTTTGTTAGTTATTATGTTCAAGTTCGTCGTGTTTAGGTAGTATTTTGCAGAATGAATAGAAGCGATCTATATGTAATCAGGAGTAGGGAAGAGAAGAGAAACGTATGTATCTCGCGGCGTAGAGCGGGGCAAAGCAGGGCAAAGCAGGGCAAAGCAACCCGAACGGATGAAGAGAAGCATTTCACCCCAGATGTAAGGAAATGAGATCGACGATAGAACGACAATAGCAGAATACTTGAAGAGAAAGAAGAGTAGTCCTACCTTTGAAACCTTCCGGTCTATGAAGCTTGTGCACATCTGCCAGCGCCATTTTCACCCAGGCGAAGTGTGTTGGGGACGCCTTGAAGCAGAATGCGGGATAGAAGGTAGGGTCCGCATCGTCGTGTTTCTCCATGAGGTCATTTTCTCGTTGAAGGTATCGTTAGAAGTGCTGTGATCACTTTAAGGTGACCAGATATGTTGGAGATTGTCGTTGAATCGATAAGTGGAGCGGTCACGTGTCTTCAATTTGACGTGTCTATGGGAACAATGTTATTGTTCTGCAAGACGGGACGAGAAAAATAAACGGACATTTGAGGTACCGATTGGAAGTGTCGGATTTTATAGTATGCTTGGAGGCAATCGTTGGAGAACTTGTTGTATTGTCACGCCAAGGTCTGTAGGAGAGTATGCTATCTAACAACACCGTTGACCAGGCCACTCCTATGAAAGTGCTCGCGATGAATTACAATCGGCTACTATCTACCTCGGCATTTCTAAGCGCAAGTACTAGTACCATAACTTGTTAGACCTGTTCCATTTCGATGCTGACAAGTAGAATGCTGACATTGTCATTTTTTATTATTTTCATTCAATAAAGAATCGTCTCATTCTCCATCATCCTCTTTTTCGGGTTGCGAGGTATTTGCGCCTGTCTCTGTCTCTCCTCTTCACTAATATCATCAACATTTGTCCCCATCTTCCCCAAAGCAGACTTGACCTCCTCCTCCGGATTCTCATGCCCAGCCACAGCGACCGATAAGATCTCCTTCTCCAAACCAGGGACATGCTCCCATTCAATCCCCGCAGCCGAAAGCATCTTACACCCCTCAGACTCTCCAACAAAAGTCGTAGGCTCCTTCACACCGAAATAGACCTTGTGAATTCCCTCCCCGGCCACCGTCCCGAGTCCTGGTAATCCGCTGCACGCACGGCGCATTCCCAGACAGTCTCTTCCCACATGGCTCCATGCTGACGTACATGACGAGCTTTCGGCCCGACTCAACAGGCAGTACTTCGGCCACTTGCTCTTCTGCAACTTTATTGACAGAGGCATAGTTCGCAAAGCAGCACTGCTCGGCGTGGGTGTTTCCGGCTAATTCCATGGTATAGCCCGTGGAAAGAATGCGGTCGTCTGAGTAGGTGGAGTCACCATCTTTTCGAGAGAGGAGGATTGCGCCCACGCGGAAGTTTGTCGGTCGGGGAGGGGACTGTTCGGCGAGAGAGATGCATTTCTGCATGTAGGTGGTGTGCGGGGAGGTGGTTGTCATTGTGGGGGTTGGGAGGAGGTTCAATTGGTGGCGAGGATCACGGAGAAGATGCGCAAAATAGGGCGGATTATAGAATTTGAGCTAGTTGGTATTCGACCTGATAATGATAGAGTAGTAAGTAACTCTAATATAAGAGTCAACAGACGAGGGTCCAGCTTTGAAGATGTGATGTCACATTGAAAGCGGTCTGGGCTGCAGAATGACGGAATGGCAGGCGCGTCGGAGATCGCGACCCGCGCCGGTCAATTTTTACTGGAAACATTGGACTGGAGATATAAGACTGTCACCATAAATCCTCTTTTGTCGCATCTTGGTCACTTCAAATTAATCACGCAAATTTCAACATGGCCAAAGGAGCCAAGTCTGACAATGTCGATGACCAACCACCCTCGGTCGAGGAAGATCTCTACCAAATTCTCGGCGTCGACTCAACAGCAACACCAGACGCAATCAAGACTGCATACAAGAAGAATGCCCTGAGGCACCATCCAGGTGAGTGCCCATTACACCGTCTGCCAGATATAAGTGGTGATTGAACAAGAACTAATTCACCGTGCTATATAGACAAGGTGAGCGAAGATGCTCGCGACGAAGCAAATGCCAAATTCCAGAAAATCGCCCTCGCCTATGCCGTCCTCTCCGACCAACGGCGTCGCAACATGTACGATCGCACAGGCAACACGCAGGAAGTACTCGGTGAAGATGGCGACTTTGACTGGTTGGACTTTTACCGCGAACAACTCTCCGCCATGCTCGACACGCGCGCCGTCTCCGATTTCCAAAAGAAATATCAAGGCTCTGACGAAGAGAAGAAGGACTTGCTGGAGGCATACGAGACTAATGAGGGTGACCTTGACGGGATTTATGAGTCGGTGATGCTTTCCAACGTCTTGGATGACGACGAGCGCTTCCGGGGTATCATCGATGAGGCCATTGCCGCGGGTGAAGTGGAGAAATATGACAACTACACTGAAGAGTCGGAGGCAAAACGCGATCGACGGGTCAAGCGTGCGAAGAAGGAGGCCAAGGAGGCGGAAAAGATGTCAAAGAAGATCGAGAATGATAAAAAGAAGAAGGCCGCGAAGACCTCCAAGGGCTCGGCTGGAGGTGAGGATGATCTATTGGCTTTGATCAGCAAGCGTCAACAACAACGTGGCCAGGGATTCCTCGCGCATCTGGAGGAGAAGTATGCGCAGCCCCATGGGAAGAAACGTGGACCACCCGATGAGCCATCGGAGGAGGCATTCGCTGCCGTTGGAGCTCGCAAGTCGAAAGATGCAAAGACAAAGGCGAAGAAGTCCAAGGCATAGTTTTGTATGATCTTGTTTTCTCATTTAGCGTTTGTTTTCTAGCCGCAATGGACAGTATTGAAGGTAGTGTAAACAAGATTCCCCAGTATTTACCCTCTATACCCAGTTGTATGGTCCATCGCGGCTACCTTAATATGAAGCGCTGTCCTGCACCTTATCAACTTCAACCTTCAAACATCCCTGCAGTCCTGGACCGATTCTCCTATCGAAGTCAGTACTATTAAGGTGCCAGTGGCGATCAGGTTCCACATTCCATCCGCTCAGCCTCCTCGTTGGTTCCCGTCACTTTCTCCACAGCAACCCGGCCGGAGGCGGTACCGCACGCGATGTCGTACCACTCTGGTCGCATCTCCCCTAAGCTCCCTGAGACTTCGTCGCAGGAGCTCATACAATCCTCAGCATCTCGTGCTGCCTCACCGCCGCTTCCCTCGCTTACTCAAGACCCTAAACCTCCGGGTATTGGCCGCACTGTCCAGAATCTGCTGAGCTCCAGCACCCCGCAGTCTGCAAGGAGTGTTGGCGGGGTTGCTTCGTCATCACGAAGACCAAATCGCAGCTCGGCCGGACCTCTCAAATCTTCACCTTTACGAAACATCTCTCTCGCTACTAGTATGACATCCGCCCCTAGCTCCCCGGAGCGGCATGCGGCTGACGCCGAAGATCCGTCTCACAAGTCATCGGACCAAAGGGAAAAGACACAAGGCCGAAAGGGCATGGCGGCAATGATGTCGGGATTGGAGTCAAAGCTATTCCCACGCAGCTTTTCTCGCGGTAGAGATTCAAGTCATGGATCGAGTCGGCGTGGTTCATCTCTTGATTCTAGATCGCCGCGTTTCAGTCGATCCGTTTCCCCGGGTGCTCGCCAATTCGATTCGGCGAAGCCAACACTGGCCGACACAGAAAAGGGGAGAGCGATAATGCACGATGCTCATAACCAGTCGGACGAAGCTTTGGGCAATACGAAGAGATCAAGTGTCCTTCCGAATTATGTCAAACCGACCGAACACGAGGAATCGGGCGAGCGTCTTGCCAAAGACGTCTTCGACCGCGATAAGAATATCATTGAGAGCAGCGAGGACGATGGTGACGATTCATCCAGTGATGATGAACATATTGAGGGACGAGGTCGTAAGAAAAAGGGCTCTGATATCACTAGAATCACCCCCAGTGACTTCAATAAAGCTAGAGAGGACAAAACCACATCCTCCGAAGAAGGTGCGTGTTCAAAAAGCGATGTACAGTTCGACCCAATGCAGAGCGTGCTAACATTTAATGTAGCAAAACCAATCAACAAACACAACATTCCGGGCATGGACAAGAAGCCTAAAAAGTCCGCCCTCAAAACCGTTATCCACCCTCGAACCAGCTATGATATTCCGACCCCATACGCACAATCCGCTGCTGGCACCCCGTACGGCTCAGAGGACGAGGCCGAAAAAGAGGATGTTCATCGTGCCCAGAAACTTAGCATTTCCATGTCCGCCATTGACAATCGCGTTCCAAACCGATCGATACGAACGATAATTCGGGGAAACTATGCAAGCCTGCAGGAGGAGGCTGATGGCGGCCGTCGGCGTCAACGAAAGTATCTCGTCGCGACCGACCTGAGCGAGGAATCGGTATATGCTTTGGAATGGACCATCGGTACTGTTCTGAGGGAGGGCGACACGATGTACGCCATCTACACCATACACGAGGACGGGAATCCATCCTCTGTACAAATTGGAGAAGGAGCGAAGGCTATTCAAGATGCGGCAGTGGTTGTTGGCTCACAGACCAGGGAGGTTTCTCAAAACCGCACAATCCTTGGCCGGCTGGGACCTGTAGCTGCCAGCAAGACGAGCTCGACCGATTCTCGGGTATCCTCAATCACGGAAACAGAGCGCGTACGGGCCGTCGAGGCAGTATCGCAAACCTGCGTGAAGCTTCTCCGCAAGACTCTCCTACAGGTTCGGATTGCCGTGGAAGTGATTCATTGCAAGAGCCCTAAACTCATGATCACCGAGGCTGTGAGTTGATACTCCGTGAAATGTTTTTTTCTGCTTAAAAGGGCCCCAAGCTAATCCTATCTCTAGATCGACGAACTTGAACCAACTATGGTGATCGTTGGTGCTCGTGGCCAAAGTGCCTTGAAAGGGTATGCATTACCATCCTCCAGCAATATATGATAAAATGGCTACTGACTTGTGATTACAGAGTTCTTCTGGGTTCATTCTCTAACTACCTACTTCAACACTCCTCCGTCCCTGTTATGGTCGCTCGTCGCAAACTCAAGCGACACAAAAACATAAATGCGAATTTGCGCCTCTCCAACAATCTCCGAACACCGAAGAGTCTTACACAAGCAAAAGTGGACTAAATTCTACCAACACCTTTGACACCATTTGACGTTCCCTTGGCTGCTGAAGCTTTACTTGGTCCGCCAATCATCCACTGATAGCATCGTCTTATATTATGGAACATGGGTACCATTTGGCATTCTTAGACTATTGCTGCTTCATGCCCCCTATCTCGATACCCCGAACTTATGAATTACGGATGTTTATTAAAATTAGAATATGAGGACTGCGAAATAAACGACATAAATGGCACCTGTAACTTTGGAGAGTAGTATTAATATTTTGGTTGTCCGATCACAAAGTGATTATCATGATGTTATGCTAATTTTTCGTTCAAGTCGGTCGTGAGGAGATAGTACTTGTGCTGGTGCCGGCAGCTGCCGTCGGCTTCCTGTAGGCTAAGAGAGACAATAATAAAATATATGTAGGATACACAGGTAGAAGAGTGGTTGGTCCGCCGGTTCAACGAGATTCGGATCTGAGACATTTTCTGTGGGCTTCGAAAAACACGACCTACCTAAGTAATTAATAAGATTCGGATTATAGGTGTAAAACTTTCTCAAAGGTTCGACCTTCCTCATATCTAGGCACTAGACAAGATTAGAGTTGAACCATCTAGCCTTGAAAAATTAAATTTATGTAAACCTACACTATAGGTCTTGGCGGGGCTAATATAGTCCCGTTTGGCGCTGCGCAGAAAATGACTGGTTTCTACTTTTAATTGACATAGCAGGTTGCCACATCATAACCACTGGTTCTGACAGACATGATCAAGAGTTATTGCCCGAAATTCTATATCCAATTGTATTCATTTATGTGCATATCTTCACTCTCCGAAATCTTTGCCTCGTAAGTATGTAGTAGTATTTAGATCTTGTTTCTCAGCGGCTTCTCGGTCAGGAAGCATTGCAAGTTACTCGCAATCAAATCCGCCGAGCCCACAGGTCTTCCACCCGCAGCATGGGGCGAGATAACCACATTAGGCGCCTTCCACAGGCGGCTCGATTCAGGCAGGGGTTCAGTCTGGAACACATCAAGAGCAGCACCAGCCAGCTCACCCTTCTCTAGCGCATCCACCAAAGCATCCTCATCAACCGAGACACCACGTCCCACATTCACAAGCCAAGCATGCTTAGGAAGTAACTTCAGTCTCTCAGCATTCAACACATTCTGCGTCGCGGCCGAGCCAGGCAAAATCATGACCAAGGCATCTGTTTGCGGCAGAAGCTCCGCAAGTTTATCCTCACCATAGACCTCGACGCCATTACGCACGCCCGCACTGCGAGCAATACCCTTCACCTCAGCGCCCAGGAGAGTCAAGTGCGGGGCCAGAGTCTTCGCAATACTGCCAAAGCCCCAGATCAGCACGCGAGAACCGCGCAATGTGGTGAAATCGCTGCGCGGGAATGATCCGCCCAGATGTTGCGGCCACTTGGATTGGAGCTGGTAGTCGCGCATCTCGAAGAAGCGGCGCGCGCCGCAGAGGAGAAGGCCGAGGGCGTGCTCAGCGACGGGGTGGTCGTGCAGACCGACGCCGGTGGTGATGATGATCTTGGAAGCGTCGAATCCGGCACCTAGGACGTCGTTGGGGCCGGCGGCGAGCGATTGGATCCATTTGAGGTTCTTTAGGCGCTTGGCGGCATCCTTGAGGTTTTCCGGCGCGTTGGACCAGGTTATGAGGACGTCGGCGTCAACGTGCTCTTCGGGAATGGGAGACTTGACATCATAAGGGTGCAGCGAGACGAAGCCCTTGAGACTTTGGAGGTCGAGACCCGGGACTGAGGTTGGGTAGAGAAGCTTCATGATGATGATTATGGTGTGGAGATTGAAAAAGAGGAGAGAGAGAGACAAGGAAGGAAGAGATAAAACCAAGGCGTCACTGAGATAGGAATCCCCCACCATTCAAGTACGGGGAAATAATCCCCCGCGGATACCCCACTGTGATCGGATGAAGACCGACGGGAAATGAAGGAGAATGAGGGAGAATGAGGGGATCTCTGCCGGTACCTCCGAGGCCGGAAACCCATCCCTTTTGAACAGTCGTGCACTAAATTATTCCTAAATTATTCCGCTTATTTATAATTCTCAATCTATTGGTTTTATTCCTTTCTTTTCTCTATTATCTTGTTGATTTCTTCTTCGAAATTATGGTGATATCTTCAATAGTCATGGTGGACTCCATCCCACTGTCGGTTATTGAAAGTGGCACCCCCACGCTAATTAGAGTTGCCATAGTTCTTGACGAGTCTCAATGCGATAGAAGCAGTTTCCTTTCTCGCAAATATGTATAGTTGGACGATCAGAGCATTGTGATTTTCTCAAGATAAGATTTTCTCATGCTGCGACCGATCCTAAACATGCTCATCAACTGCGAGTGAATCTATAGGACTTTTTGGCCGTCAGGTGATTCCTATTTCCGGGGATTCTACTGCTCAAAGACGTTTTTGTCATTACCTCTTTGTTACTACCAAGGAGGTAGAATTCACTCGAAGCCTTGTCGCCGTGGGAAATCAACGGTAGACTGAGACTCGTTGGCTTCCACTGCATCTAGGGATACAACTGTTGAGGATTTGGGGATCTACTTTTCCCTTGTAGAAAATCTCGTTCCCTCCATTGTGAATCTTCTCACCTACTTTGGATCTTTGACATCAACTACTTTCTGCAACTCAGTTTCCAGGAAGGTTGCCAGTTTCTAGCAACAGTCAGAACAAAGAAAATGATGAACCTTGGAAAGCAAAAGGAGTGAATATTAGAGTCAATACCGCTTTCCCCCCCCCCTTCCCTGCCCTCTTCCTATCATCCCCCTTTAACCATTTCCATTTTGCCGTGGATGTTCGGGCTGCAGTGGCGGGTTTAGTCTGTTCTAGTGGTCAATCTAGCACATACGACCATAGGGTGTGGAGAACAGGGCTTCCCGTCCGCTCAGCCGTACTTAAGCCACACGCCGGCAGGTTAGTAGTATGGTGGGTGACCACATGCGAATCCCTGCTGTTGTATGTTTTTGCTTTTTTCGTGTTTTTCATTTTTTTTTTTTGTTTTCGCATTCTCGTCCTTCTCTCCCCATCCGTACTGTGCTAATTGTCTAGATATCTGGTCGCACCAATACAGATGACTATTTATATTCATCTCATTAAATGAGATTGTAAATCATGTATTTCTGGGCGCACTGGCAGACACAGGAAGACTGTTGGATCTGTCTTTCAGTAAGGAACATTACCCTACTATCCATGATGTTATTCAACTCAAATTGCTATAAGAAACGAAAACACCAATACTATTCAGTCCAAGTTTAGATAACTTTACACTAGTTACTACAGTGAGTATGCTCATATGTCCATGCCTTTGGTCTGCATTTATGACCACCACCCTTTGACCCCTGGTGCCAGATAGAGACCAAAGTACACTTCAATTCGGCTTTGAGCCTTGAATCGAAAGATTTCCCTCTTCCATCGAGTTCAAAGAAGAGGCAAAGTCACAGTCTTTGTCTTTCATTAAAACCCTGCTCTATAATTATCATTCTCTTTCACGACCTCACATTTGAATTCTGGACTGTGACAAAGAATTCTTTTACCATTATAAACCCCGACTCGAGAGCATAGTCGCATTTACATTTTTTTTCTTTTTAACTGAAACCTTTTATACCCCGTCTTAGCTACTTTTTTTTATCGGGTTATACGTACTACGTCAAGAACTTGGATGGTGTTGCTCATGATACTCGAAAATCTTCAAGTCTAGAAACTCAAGATGTCGAAGATCAGGAACTCGATCATCTGGCGCTTATTCGCGCTGCTTCTATGCTGCTCCAAAGTCAGAAGTGACTGGGTGCTCGATGTCACCGCGTGGAAAGATGTACCAGATAATGTAGCTGGCTTTAAGCCCCGATCCAATATGCCAATGGCATTCGATAGCGGTTGGATCATAGACTTCGTCCTCCCAAAACCAGACGCTTCAGACGGAGCGAAAGATAAGGAGTCCCAGAAACCAAAAGGCCCGGAGGCGGTCGCTTTTCATATCGAACAAAACAAGGTCGATTCGGCATCTTCTGCTTGCGGCTCTATCCTTCACGAAATCGGCAATCTTATCCCAATAGCGCTGGAAAATGTCATGAATGGTCTCTATCGTCCCATTAATCCCGCGAAAGAACGCCCGGGATTTTCAACCTATTACATATCTGACAAAGCAAAGAAACTTGGCTCACGATTTGTGGACTTCAATCCATTTACTACGACTCCGGCTGGGGCTGCAAGGACCGATTATGTCAATGAATTCCCTCCCCCTAATGTCGACTCCATATCTATCATCATCAGTGACTACGATTTCAAGCGGATTAGTCTTTCAGCAGTAAGCAGTGTCGAGCCATTGAACTCGGCGAGTCCTTCCAAGCGGACATTGTTTCTCAATCTTGACTGGCTTCGGGAGAGCTGGGAAAGTCCACTCCCTTGGCAAACACCAGCAGTACGACGACGTATACTATTGGAGCTTCTCACGCACGATTTCGCGAACATATACCAATACACAAGGCCTGATTATCTAAATGTCAAGAATAATCAGAACAATCCTCCACCTAAGGCACTCATAGAAGGAATTGCGAAATTCGTGACTCTTCAGGCCGATCTGGCGTGGCAGGGAGTCAAGACACCGGATTTACTTGGAGACCTGCCTGCTGCGTGGGATATGAATTCTGAGCACACGGCGTACTTTTTGCTATGGGTTGAAAACGTGAAGTATGGAAAGGGATCAATTGCCCGTCTGAACGATAAGATCTCAAAAACGTATTACTGGGGAAGAGAGAAAGATCGCTGGCTAATGACTCAGGAGGATAATGGAGCTGGGTTTTGGAATGACCTTTTTGGAATGAACGTCGATTCCCTTTGGGAAGAGTATGTTTCCTACGTCGACAAGGAAGGTTATTTGAGTCCCTTGAAGTGGGCTTCATATTCGATTCAATCAATCACGACATCACCTCAGAATACTTTTAAATGGCTTCGGCGAATCTTCTTTACCATCTGGAGGAAGTTTACCTATTGGAAACGGTTCGCATTTACCGTGCTTCATCTTGTATTCAGGGGCAGCTCCGGCTATATGGCCATGCTCGTTTTGCCGCTTTTTTTCACTGCCATCACCTTGCCTATTTATAAGTTGGCATACGATCGTATTCGCAGGTCGAGACCTAGTGTCGGTGCCCCCATATCGGCATTCTCTGCTGGTGTATCGTTATTGATCTCTGGTTTGTTTCGGGGATGGCATGGTGTGAGGTTACTCGGTTCAGGCATGTGGGTGTGCGTATCTGGGATTTTGTTCATGTTTTGGCACACGGTAGCTGCTTTACTTCGGATTGAACAAAGGTTATATTCGTTCGTATCATGGGCCTTTGATGCTGTCCCCACTTGGTTCGGTCGTCGTTTGGTATCATTGGTCTGGCTCTTTCTGTCCAAGGGAATTTGGTTATGGATTTGGTTATGGATGGGTTCGCTTTGGGCTATTTTCATTATTCTTCTACATACTCCGGCGTCTTTGATCAGAGCAGGCGTGTCCTGGATGATCTCGGTAACATCTGCCAACTCGGAGTTATACTTCCCTGACCCCTCTCTTGAGCCTAGTTCCCCTCTCCCACCTCGCAATGATTCTTATCCATCATCTCCTTCTTCTTCGATGCCTACGCCAACGATCCCTCGAGGTCGACAGATACGTTCTTCCTCTCCACCCTCATCCCCATCTGCTGCACCTTCACCTGTCATCACCCTTCCACCTTCTCCAGGCCCTGACCTTACCACTTCACCCACTGCTTATTACCCTGATCTCCCTATCCCCAGCACAGAGCCCACTTCATGGGACTACGACACCTCTTACCGATCACCGTCTCCTCCGACCGAGATCTTCGTTCTTCAAGACAAAGAGGTACAGATACAAGAGCAGGGGGAAGAGCAGGAGGAAGATGAATACCGGATAGAAGAAATTCTGCGATCACGAAAGTATGGAAAGAAACTGAAATACCGCGTGAAATGGTATGGCAAGCCTGCAGATCAGAAATGGTATGATGCCGGAGATCTTCGATATCAGCCACACATGCTGCAAGATTTTCATGCAGCGAATCCCGATCAGGTCGGGCCTCCGGTGCGACTGTTGGATTGGCTTCATGCTGCTGAGAATGGCGTGGAGCCTCGAACTCATCCTGACGATAATATGGCTCGCAAATAATAGGCTAATCTACTACTAGTAGTAGCTCATGAATTTTTGGAATTATCGGTGGGGCGTCAATACTATACTTTGAAGTACATGTTATTTTTAGATCTTTTTTTTTTTGCTTAATTCCGAGCATAGATTTACGTTTAGGAAACGAATTTTAGTGGACGAGTCTCTATAGCTCTTATGGATTATACCCTTGACATGTTTGGTTGCTATACGAGTACTAGTTATTGATTGTGATCGGATAAGTCAACACACAAGGTAGAAGGATATCACTTGATTGTATAAAGTCTGTATAAAAGAAAATCGTATCCTAAGAATAAGGAACAAGCCGAAAAGTAGCCCGAAAATAACGCGCTTTTATAGACACCGTTCGTACAAAACATCTAACGTCTGACACCAATGGCCAGTATGAGGTAGGTCATAGAAGTAACTGTGCTACTGTACACAGTACACAACCTTCATGAGAGAGAAGATCACTTATCTAGATCGGATAAGAGAAAGAATGGGAGGGTTAGGGAATTCAGAAACGCAGGTCCCAGCCAATCTTGGGGCCCAGGTTGGGAAGCTCATCGGCGACACTCTGGACATCCTTGTCACCACGGCCACTCAGGTTGAGAACGATGTTCTCACCCTTCTTCATAGACTTGGCAAGCTCCATAACACCGTAGACGGCGTGGGAAGACTCGAGGGCGGGGATGATACCCTCGTGCTGGGAAAGAGCGCGGAATCCAGACAGAGCCTGGGCGTCATCGGCAACCATGAAAGTGGCACGGTTGGCATCCTTCCAGGCACTTAGCTCAGGACCAACACCGGGGTAGTCCAGACCAGCCGAGATAGAGTGGGTCTCAGAGATCTGCCCGTGCTCGTTCTGCAGGACGTAGGTACGCACACCGTGAAGGACACCCTTGGAACCTCCTGAGAGAGTAGCGGAGTGACGGGCGGTATCCACACCATCACCGCCGGCCTCAACACCAACAAGCTTCACACTGGGGTCGTTGGAGAAGGGGTAGAACATGCCGACAGCATTGCTACCGCCACCAACGCAAGCAACGACAGCGTCAGGGAGCTTGCCAATCTCAGCCATCATCTGCTCCTTGGTCTCATTGCCAATCACGGACTGGAAAGTACGGACAATGGTGGGGAAGGGGTGGGGGCCGATAGCAGAACCGATAATATAGTGGGTGGTGTCAAGCTCAACAACCCAGGCGCGGAGGGCCTCGTTGACAGCATCACGCAGGGTACGGCTGCCAGCGTCAACAGCAACAACTGAGGCACCAAGAAGCTTCATGCGGAAGACATTCAGAGCCTGACGACGCACATCCTCGGCACCCATGTATACAGTGCATGCCATGCCGAACTTGGCACAGACGGTAGCAGTGGCAACGCCGTGCTGTCCAGCACCAGTCTCGGCAATGATGCGGGTCTTACCCAAGCGACGAGCAATAAGGATCTGCCCAAGGGCGTTATTGATCTTGTGGCTACCAGTGTGGTTGAGATCCTCACGTTTAAGCCAGATGTTAGCACCACCAACGTGGTCAGTCAGGCGCTGAGCAAGGTGGAGGCTGCTGGGGCGGCTCATGTAAGGGTAGTAAGAGCGGAATTCCTTCCAGAACTCGGGGTCATTGTTTGCCTGGTCGAAACCACGCTCGAGCTCAGCCAAACAATCCATCAGGGACTCTGGGACGTATTGACCGCCGAACTCGCCGAAACGAGAAGGCTGAGATGAGGGATCCTTGGTGACATTCAGAGCCTCCAGTTGGTCACCCAGACCGGGGCCAGCAGGAGTGTCGGCCTCGGTGATAACCTTGGTGGGGGCAGCCTCGCCAGTTGGCAGGGCCTTCTCGATGGCCTCGAGGACCTTGACTTCGTGGGTCAGAGTACCCTGTGCATCACGCTCGAGTCTGCGACCAGTAACACTGGTAAGGTATTCCTCTGCGGCCTTGGCAGCCTGGCCAGGGGGAGCTTGGCCAATGACAGTGATGATCTGACTACCAATAACACAACCCTCGGCGGTTTCCTGGACAGACAGGAAGTGCTCACGGGTGCTGACACCAAACCCAAGAGCGGCAGGAACGTTTCCGGAGTATTCGTGGACACGGGCGAGGAGTTCGGGGATGTTGGCACTCAGATTGCCGGTAGCACCGGTGACACCCATGCGAGAGACGACGTAGATGAAGGAATCGGCGATCTTGCAGAGAAGCTTCATGCGAGAGTCTGAAGTGGCGGGTGCGATAAGAGGGACATATGAGAGTCTGGAAGGGTGTTAATATAGGCAATTTCTTCTCCAATCGAGGTAGAACATACCCGTAGCTGGCGCAGAGGTCACGGAAGCGAACAGCCTCCTCAGGAGGAAGATCAACCATGATGAAGCCATTGACGCCGGCCTCCTTGCAATCCTTGAGCATACGCTCATCGCCGTAACGCAGAACAGGGTTATAGTAGCCCATAAGCATAACAGGAGTCTTCAAGCCACGGCGACGAGCAGTGCGGACCATCTCCAGCACCGATGTGACAGTAACACCATTCTCAAGAGCCTTGGTGTTGGCTTTTTGGATAGTAGGACCGTCGGCAATGGGGTCGGTGAAGGGGATTCCAAGTTCGATGATGTCTATTGTTGTGAGGTACTCTGTCAGTCCACAATGGTCAATGCCCCGCCAATTGAATACCATGCTTACCAGCACCACCATTCTCCAGGCCCAGCATAATATCAACAGCCTCTTCTGCGGTGGGGTATCCAGCGGTAACGTAGGCCACCAGGGCCGCCCGCTTCTGCTCCTTGCACTTGGCAAATGTCTGCTTGATGTGCTCCATATTGAAGATGACCGAGGGCCGCGCGGGGCAATAAAGTAGAGAATATGGGGGAAAGGGTAGGGTCAAGGGTCAATCGCGACCTGGATGGATGAAGGCGAAACAATCGGGAATTTACCGTGCAACCCGGGGACTTATAACAAATCAATGCAAATGGAGAATGAAGTTGGGATTGCAATCGAGCCGAATGAGTCAATCAGACTTGGCCTTTTTCGCCGGCCGCCGGTTTCGCCCCGCGCAGTCACGTGTGTCGATAAGATAGCGCTGAGTAATCAGCCCCATGTGGGAATTGCCAAGTATGAAGTATGACGTATGAAGTATGAAGTATGGGCTGGAATTATATTTTATACTCTTTTATCATTGGGTTGCTATGCGTGTGCCCGGGTCAATTATCGTGGGCTGGGCAACACTCACACCTGTCCGCACCCAGATGTCTGAACAATACTAGTACGAGTATGTGCCGTCCCGCAGGTGATGTAACGAACAGTATACTACTACTTAGACCAAGGCGCCATTTACTACATAGTCGCAGGTATTACAATGATTAAAGAAGAAAAAATTTGAGCAGTTCCAAAATGAACAAGTTCGAACGAGACTAAATAAATCAAGATACAAAGGGCGCAGAAGCAGCCTATCTCTTCCCAAGCGCCAGAACAATGCCGTTAAAAGACAAAACAACCCTCAGCTCAAGACGAGAGAAAATAAAAAACAACCAAATAAACAACAAAACTCCCAATAAATTCCGAGCAAGGGAAAGCAGTCTCAAGAAAGAAAAGTGACCGAGGCGACCACTCTCTCAAAGACTCTATTTTCCCGATGCGCCAGGAGGGAATAAAGACCAGCGCTAAGGCTGACCGATTCACCTCCGTTTCCGAAATCAAATAAATCTATCCCAAATCCGTCCTGCGAATGCTCAAAGGAATGACAGCAGCGCCCAATGCTATGCCAAATAATCGTACAGTAGCCCAGATGTGTAGTGTAAAAGGAGAGTAAAGCCCAAAATGCCCGGCAGGTGGAGGATGCAACCCAGTAAAAGGAATGAAGAAGACACCGTCTAAAAAAATGCAGGTAACAGGTGTCAAACCATGTCAAAATAATGCGATAAAGGTTGGATCGTGGGCATTCAGGCGTGAAATGTTGTAAGGAGAGACGTTCAAATCGTAAATAGGTTGACGATAGGACGGGCACGATCAGAGAGAAGACAAAGTCCCCTTTCCAAGCGGCGTTGGCCCCATGTCGACTCTGGGCGTGTTATCAAGGAGTGACAGGAAGGAGAATCGTGTATCAACGGAGCAAGAGGGGAAATATAAAAATAGAAAGATAAAAAAAGACGCAAAAAAGCAAAACCAGAAAGTCAAATCGATCAGATCAAATCAGATCACACGTGTCGGTCAGCGTGTTCATTGGCCGTGCGCCGAGTCATGCAGCGGGTACACGGGATCCATGTAGCTGTAGCATGCATTGGACGGCGCCGCAGTGCTTGCAGGAGCAGCAGAGCCCAGGCCATGGATGTCCCATGCCGACCGGGGCGTCGGAGCAACTAGACTGTGGGTATGCTGCGGCTGACAGATCGCTGGATAGGAGTATCCGCCCACTGAAGTGTATGGCTGGCTGTGAGCAGGCATCATCGATCGTAGATCAGGAGCCGCTGTCAGCGACGGATGCTCGGCTTGTGTGTAGACGGGGGCGCCCATGTTGTGAGCATAATTATGAGCCGGACCGGAATCAGACACTGATTGGGGGGAAGCAGCGGTGTGTGGCTCGGTGCCCGAGTCGGAACCCGTGCCATGACTGGCGTAGTTTGTGATCGGTGTAGGCAGAGCACCTGCGGTGGAAGAGTAACTAGCAGACTATAGAAGAATGGGGTTAGTAAGGGATATCGGATTGTATATGACGAATGCGCATTGGTACTCACGTATTTCCCGATGATCTTCTTCAGGGCGTGGCTCAGAATCTTCCAGGGGAAGACCTTGACATCCTTCTCAATGTTGCGAGGCTTAGGGTTAGGGAATCCCATGATGACCTTGAAGAACTCTTCGCTGTCTTGCTTCGCCTTGGAAACCGTAAGAGGACGGAAGCCTTCCAAATTTCGACGGATTCGATTCTTCTCTTCAACGGTGAAACGAACCCCGACGAGTGACTCAAGCAAGTAGATAGTATCCACGCTTGTGACGAAGCACTCATCCTTGCCTTCCCAGCTGATGCAGCTGATGCAAATGCTGTTTGGCGAGCGCTTCTCGGGAGCCACGGGCTTGAAATCAGCGTGGATGGTGCTTCCAGTCTGAGTCCGGGTAAACTCCACGAGACGGCGCTGAGCAACCTGCTCATCTTTGCTCCAGCCCTCAGCCATGCTATCCAGATCGCCACTGAGCTTGAGAATGGCCTTGGTAGGGTAAATTGCATACGGGTTGAATGACTGGTTTTGGCTAAGGCCGTTGGCTTGCTGCAGGGTGGAGGTACGGATAAGAGTCGGGTTGGAGGAGCGCATAGGCGAAGGTCCTCTGTGCTGAGCCATACCATGGACCACAGACATGCCAGGAGCCCTACCATCAGCCGAGACGGCCAAATAGGAGGGACTCCAGCCAGGTGTCAGGGGAGAAGGAGCACGGATTGCCGCCGGATGGGGAGTAGCAGACACGCCTGAGTAGCAGCCAGATGCGGTGCGAGGAGAAGATGCGGCATGAAATGGGGTGACGAATCCAGACATAGCTGGCAGAGGTTGCAAATAGGGGTGAGAATGATCCGGAGCGGTTATCGCGGTAGGAGTAGCTATCTTGCGGCTCAATCTTGGGCATCACAACGGGTCCAGGAGCTGGTCGCTTGGCGGGCGCTGAGATAGGATTATCTGAGTAGGTTGACAGCTTCCTCTTGCGAGAATCCGCAACGGGAGAAGCGTGAGGAACATGCTCATAAGTGTAAACACCAACTTGGAGAGTAGTAGGTTGGCAGTCACCCTGGGTCTCCAGGACAAGCTGGATGGGAACCGCGAAAGAAGGCGATGCTGTCGACATGAATTGAGGAGCCTCCACCGAAAGGCAGTACTGAAAAGCAGAGCCCTGGAATCCGCAAAATGTGGGAATACATTCGCAGCGCTTGGAGCCAAAAATCAAATACAGACTGCCATAATTGGAGCTATGCAAATCAAAAGGTGACTGGATATAAACCGTCACCCTTGTACCCTCGGAGCCACGCTGAGGACGATAGCTAATAATCTCAGGCAGAGGTCGAGATCCTGTAGCCATTATAGGAGAAGGAGCTTCGTCGTACGAACTGGCATATTCGTTGCCCTGTAGATAAGGAACACAATCGGAAGCTTGGCTGGCCTGGTCGCCCATTGGTGAGGGAACAAGGGAAGCTGTCACGTATGGCGACTGGCCATAGGCCGAATATGAACCAGCATCATGCAGAGACCGTGTGGAAGCGTAGTCTAGGTACGATGAGTCTCAGTATCACTGACACGGGAGTTTGATGCAGACAGTGGTGCGACTTACCAAGTACGGCGCCAGCAACGGGCTTCTGGTAATTAGACATAGACAAAAAGGGCTCAGACTTGGCCCATAGGCCGCCTGAAAACGCACCGACGAACTGTGTCTCCTCAGAGTCCGAGAGATCCAACGTCTCGCCTAAAATTAGAGGCGTTTGGAAATCCGGGTCGAACTGAAAACACAAGGAAGAAGGATAAGAGTCAGCCGAGGAGGTTCTCGCAGAATGCGGAAAGTCAGGAGGGCGGAGGATTCAAATTCAAACAGAAGGCTGAGCGGGGATTGGAAGAAAAGGCAAAACATGCGGGCATCCAGAAGAAAGGCGAAACAGGAGGTAGCTGGGGAATCTCACCAAAACACCGTGTGTCTTCGAGTAAGCCAGCTTGAAGGTGCTGCAGCGACTGCAACAAGACCGAACCGCTGGAGAAGCGAATGACTGGGAATTTATCTTCCAAACGATAGTACGTCGCCACGCGCGTACACGAGAAAGGGGGCTCTCCGAGACAAGAACGAGCGACGAGGTGAAAGATTGCTGTCAGTCTCACAGAGAAGTGCTTCGAATCACCATCCAAGATTGGGAGTACACTAAGGCTGAGACTAGAGGAAGGCTGGCTGCAGATAGAGACTCAAATCACGAAAATGCTAGTGCCCAAAGGTTCATAAAGCCCTAGGGGATGGAACCTGTCGTGTCAGAGGGAGGCAAGTTCAAATGCCACCGCTATTAGGTCGAAAGGGACGCGGAGATTGGACGGGAGTCGTGTGAATGATTTTTCAGGGAAATACTGGCGAGAGACACGCGGACTGGTGAGGTTTTGCTTTCTTTTTGTTCCTGTGCCGTATAGGTTTCGGGAAGGCTTCAAGCGGATTGGGTGCCAAATGATTCTTTCTCAAGCGAAGGGGCGAACTACTCCAATAATGAGCATGAACTCTTTTTTCCTTTTCTTGGTTTCGGTTTCTTCAAGCCCCAAGTTCTGTAATAGTATAGAGGGAAGGGAGGGGAAACCGGATCGGTGCATAGACCAGTAATAGAGACTCACGGGATATGTCAAGAAGAGAGAACTGAGACCGATCTGCCGTAGATGTCTCCTATTATGCAAGTTTTGCAAATGGGAAAATACCTGATGAGAGAGTCCAATGTCAATAACAAACAGCTACTCCCGGGTGATTATGGATACGGGGAAGATGGTCCGGCGGCTCGACGACGCTCGTCATCTCCCGGAACTCCCGTAGATCGAAGGGCACGACCTTTGACTGCAAGGAGATGCGACAGACACACCCGAAGAGGAAGGAATGCAAGGCACGAGGAGGGGAGTGAGACCGTGGGCGAAGGGGGAGTGGGGTACCAACCTTAAGCTGATAGTTGATGCTCTTTGCGCCGTGTATAGTGAGACACGGGAGGTGGTGCTTTCAGCCGAGACAACAAAAGCCCAGTAGCGAGTGAACTGGGAGATTTGATGGCGGCGATGGATGACTCTAGAACATATGCTTTTCTAGATTCGAAATTCGAATAAAAATCAGACGGGCGATCACAATCAACGTTGGTGATGATAGTAGTCCGATCAAATTGTCGCGGGTGCGTGACAAACGGATGCCTACGGACACGACGAGGTCGAGATGAGATGCGCAAACGACAGGCGATTGTCAATTACAATCTCCGATTCCTGCGTCCTCCCCCACTTTGATATCTTCCCTGCAGTTCGACTGTCGCGGGAAATATTGTAAATCAAGGGTGCGTCCAGCGAATAGGCGCAAGGCGTTGCGATAATTAAATATTAAGAATATTCGGGATATAACCGGTTGTTTTCCTTAATGGGGTGATTTTTTGTCGTTTCGGTAGTAGATCAATAGTTCGAATAAGGAAAATCTCCTTATCTTCTTTTCCAGACCAAAAGAGGTATTTCTTTTTTTGTTTTCTGTTAACGTAGCGAACGTGGTTCTCGTAGCAGCGAAAAGCGAGCGTATGAGCGAACGTGGGTGTGTGTTGAGCGAATGTGGAACCTTTCAAGGTGTCATAATAACAACGAGCCTTGGGGAAGGAAATAATAAGAGGAAGGGAGGAGAAGGAAGAGGGGAAGGGAAGATCAAGATCGAAGCAAGGAATCCGAAGGGTTAAAAGCGACGAGGGTACATTATACGATGTGAGAGTGAATTATTATTAGCAGTCAGAGCAGCCCTGGTCAGAGTGCAACTTGGGCCTAAACTGTATGGGGCCTGCGAGCAGTGGAGACAAAAGTCCTCCTCTACGCTTTTACCCTTTTGGAAAAGGAAAAATCGAGAAATAAAAATAAAAAATAAAAAGTGGGCATTTCGGATGGACCAAAAATCCCATTTTTGTGGAATTTATTTTCTGACCTCGGGGTGTCCACCCTTTAGCTCCAAGCAGTCAGACTAAGAGACTAGTGGGCAATCGTGGCGGGGGATGCACAGAGCAACCGATGTCGAGGGAACTGGGGGTCAAGAAAACTTGGCATCATCATAGTATTCGTCTGGTTCCGGAGGAAAATAGAGCCGTGACACGGTCCAGGGTCTCGGGCAAAGCAACAACTCACTCAATAATTGGCTGCGAGGGTGTGTATCTATTATAGTTTACGATCGAGTCCAAGTTGAGAGTGGTGACCCTGGATGACCTGACCTAACCTCCTCCCTTCCTGGGGGGGCAGGAGGGGGTTGGTTTGGGTATTATTGTACATACATACATGCGTATGGAGTACATACCACACATGTGTACATGTGTCCATCTGTACATGTGTACTCCATTACATATGTCCACCACATCAGTACAACGGCACGCTTTCCTGTCGGAAAGTCATCCTGGCATATGTACAACAGTGGGGAGTCATCGGAGGCCACTCATCACCGCCCGTTGTGATGATCTTCCGAAGTGTCCGACCGGGCAGATCCAAAGGACTAAATGATCGGACGATTTACTTCATTCTCTATTCTTCTTTGTCAAATATGAATTTTTTTTAGTTATCGACATCTATTAACCTTGGGTCCATAATCCACAAGAAAAGAAAGCATGGATCAACTGTACATGTAGAAGATTTTATGACGGTACACTAGGTACTTGGCGGCCAGAGCCGTATGCAAAAAGAAAACGAAAAAAAAAAAAAAAGTGGACCTCTAGTTGACAAGGGCATGTGGGAAGATGGAAAAAAAAACAAGGCTGCAGGGAGAAGAGAACCACGGTCACGGCAATTCAATCGTATAGTTTCCGCAGGACTCCGTATGTACGAAGGGAAGAGAAGGGGCGGGCAAGTTCAAGCACAGCCTCCAATCCATCCCATCCTCACCCTGGGAATCAAGTCAGCACCAACCTCCCCCAGATCCAATCGATTCGGTCATCAGCTTCCGACGGTTTTTTATCGTTGTTTCAACTGCCAATCGAAAGGCTTGGCTCACGCTAGGTTTCTATTTCCGAGGGTATAGTGTTGTATAATTAGCTTACGCCCTAACTGATCTGAGGATGGCGGGATACTAACCCAGCCACTTTCTCCAACCTCATTCGGTCGCAAACACGATGACCCCTACAGTACATCCTCTGTACGGAGTACGAGTTATACGTACATCCTACATAATGGACGTATGTCCGTCAGAACTAAAGTTGCGTCCCTCGAGCCACCTCGAACCCTTGCTGGCTGTCGATCCAAAGGGTTAACCCGTGCCAGATGGGGGGTGAAGGAGAGCCCCTCTCCCTCTATCCATCCCTACGGAGCGAAGCCCTGCTTCGTGCCAACCTCTTCTCCAGAGAAGCTCGGATCCACCGCGGATCTCCCTAAAGCCCCTCCATTGGCTGCCCCTTGTCTCCGGCTCGGCCGCCTTGGTCACTTCTGCACCAGATACCCTCGTGTGCGTGTGTCATTGATTACCTACGTGTTATGTGTATGTGTATGTACGTATGGACAAGTTGACCTGCAGCGCGTCTCGCACGCGCACGCGTACTGTATACCATCCCCTCGAGTCACCGGCACACGAGGTGGCTGCGGGAGGTTGGGTCATTCTCCTAACTCACTCCCATCCCCCCTCCCACTCATCACTCGTAAGGCAAATCCTATCGAACGATTGACCTCAAGGTCTCGGGACTATTTCGCTACACAGCTCCCCATTCTCGTAGTTGCAGACCCCGGATACTTCCCATTCGAGCCAAGGCGTAAACCTAGTCTATTGTAGCTCATCTTCAACCACACAGTTGGCACCTGGGCAGCTGGACAGGACAAGAACGGGCAGCTCCCGAGCTAACAATAGCACACCTTGCATCTCACCTGACTTGGTGGCCTGACTATGCAAGGGTTCTGTCCGCTGATTGGGGGGCTGGCCAGCGCTAAGGTCAATCGAGTATCACCCGCGCCCCACGAGCATCCGTGCGATGCTTCCCCCGTGCGAGGGAGAACAAATCCTACGAAACCGTATCATCATACTCTGCACTGCGACCTTATCCTTACAAGCGGCTACCCCGGCTGCTCGTACGTACATTACATATACTCCCACCTCGTCTTTTCTTCCGCCTTCCGAGAATGGTCCTAGCTTCAGGGTCCAGCGGAGAGGCAATCCATTGTTAGTGCCCTGTCGATTGTGGCGGCTGGGTGGCTGTACGTAGTATGTATGTATTTCCGATTTTCCTGCATCATAAAACATGAGGCGAGAAACAGGATACCTATGATCCCTCTCTTATCGTGGTGAGGTCGTCATATGCTCAACTGTTACGGTACCCTCGGTAAAATTGGATCATCAGAGTCAAGTCCCGCTGATAATTGGTTTCAATATTTGCTGGTCTTCATTTTGATTACCTTCCGCTTACATTAAGACCTTAAGGTGTGCAAGGGCCACCAATTCAAAGTGAATGAGATCATCAGGCAAGGATAGGTTATAGCCCTCGCAGGCTCTGTGCGGAGTAGAATCAGAGCGAGGTCAAATTCAATTTTTTCCTTTTTTTTACATATTTTTTTCCCGGGTCCCCTCTTTTAATATCAACGGTTCGGCTGCAGGATGTCAATCCACTCGATGAGCTGCATATCCGGTCACCACGATGTCGAGATGTCCGACAAATCAACGGGACATATCGATCCGATCACATTTCCCTTCAAGGAAAGAAGAGCGATGCAAATTCTCCCAATGTGTGGTGGCACCGCACCGCCTCCGCAATTTCGCCACGTTGAAGACGCCCGTTGTGGACACCCAACTATACTCGAACGGGAGCTGGAGATTCGGTTCCAATGATGGATTCCTACGGTGCAAGGTCGGGTTCAAGGGACCGTAGATCGTTGGCTTTGATCAGCAACGCGAAGCTTTGGTAAGGGTTGTGGGCGGAACCCAGCCTCCAACGTCTCCCTTCCATTACTCTCTATAAACCCGACTAGTAGTTTACTCAACTTGGAAATTTTGTCCCCCTTCAATCAAACACTTCCGGCAAGGAGAATTGGCACCTCCCATATTAGCTCCCGATTGCGTTTATCCGTATCCCTTATAAAGTGTTTCGTTCTTTTCCCCCGGACTCAATCCGAGTCCGTTTGACTGGTTGTTAACCGCCAATCGTCCACTCTGATCGGCCAATCTTCGGGGGAGCCGTCCCCACTCTTCCCCCCAAAATGAAAAAAAAATATTCCCCATCAGAACGCACAAGCTACTCAAATCCGTCATAGAAGGAGCCCTAGCAAAAAGAAAATAGGTAATAAATGATCAATGGGGAAATAAAGAAGATCATCCGATTCGACTATAAAGGTTTCCCTCGCATTTAATCCCGGATTCATTTACGGAGTACTGGCTCTTTCAATCCTCTTGGAAGCTTCCAGAGAAAATGAAAGGGCGGACCCATAGAATCTTACTTTTCAGGGTTTCGGAGCTTGAACCTTCTTAGAGTCGTCTCCGTACTGATAGCGGCTCCTGCCTATAATTCTCCTCCCACGAACCCCACAAGTAATCAATTTCCGTACTCCGTACGAGGAAGTCCTCTCGGGCCTCGGGATATTTCCAGGTGTTAAGCACAACTACGAGTATTGTTCAATTTATCAAATAAACTTGGACGTTATCGAATCTCCGCGTGTATATGTATGCAATTTCTTCCAGATGTACGGCGTGCGTACGTACATACGTCAGAACGAGGGGAATTATAATCAATTTTTAACCAAAAAGGGACAAACTCTCCCCCCTGGTTCAACTATTTACCCTTTTTACCAAGGGGCACTCAAGATCATCTAGAAATGACACGATGAGATGCCAGGGCCCTGGGGAACCTTGCATACAACCTAAACTGTATGGTGGTGCCGTGATTAGAGTGAAACCGTGATCGACTCGGATGAGCCACCCTTACAGGCTTGATGGCCTTGATAGATTTTACCCGAAGCAGCACCGTGACAATCACGTCGGTGGTTGGCCTGCATTGATGCCGCGCTATTTTGGGCTTGATCTTGCTGCATGCCATCGATTGGGTCTCTGCCAGTGTGCTCCATATCCCGTCCATGTCCCGGCTTGCGTGGTGGGACCCGGTGTTTATTTCCAAGTGCCTCCCTCTCTGCTCAGCCACATCGTATTCTTGCTGAGCCGTTGTTCCTATAGATCAGCATCTCTGGTTCATATCTGTACAGTAAAGTTGTTGTGCACAATGTTTGGTTCACAAATCACGCGAGGCCGTTTAAAGAACGTATGGGGAGGAGGCTGTACCTTTCCCAGAATTGGTCTGCGGGAAGGTCTCGTCTGGCTTTCGACGTAATATTTACACAATAGCCGGGTACACCGCAACCCCGGGGCCAAAGACCGCCCATTCAGCACTCGCGATCTTCCTAATCCCCGCCTGACCATGCAGCCTGGTATTCATTCCGAGCCCTAATCTGCGGTCACGCCCGCCTGTCGCCGATGGCACCTTTTTATGAACATAGCTCCTTCCTTTCAGTGTTTAGCGTTCCAGGTACGCCACGGCTTTGCCCAAGAAAGCCCAAGAAAGCCCAAGAAAAGGAGGTCAATATCTCCCAGGCTTTCGGGTAGTAGCCCCATCTACCGGCCTGTCTCCGTGTCCTTCGGGCGTTGCTCGGTCTCCATGCGCCAATTCTGTTTGGTCTCGGTGGACATAAGGTATTAAGCTTGACTTGTGGGAAGGCTCAGCTGACCCATTGACGTTTAATTAGACACCTTATTGTTATTTAGGCTGTCTAATATATTTTAGCGTGTCAATGGTTCTATAGCGGAGAACCTGGGCCACTCTACGTCCCTTGGTGACCTTCCAATTACCAAATAGATGCAGACAGATTGATCCCGATACACGGGCGTGGACCTGACGGGGAGCCATTCATTGCACTGATTGCACCAATTAGGGTCCCTAGGACACGGCACAGAATTCTCGTAGATTTAGGTTCACTCTCATGGCCGTCTGCCCCTTCCCGCTACTAGCCCCCCCGTGGGCGCAGTTGTTTCACCGACGAGAAGATTATAGGAAGGGTTTCACCACATTCCTCCAGATCCTTCGGCGATTCTTCAGCTCATGGAGAAGGAAGAGGGGTGCCACTATATTTTCTTTTTGTTGAAGATCGTATCCATAGTAGGAAAGGTTTACGGCCTACCCTGCAAATCATGCCCAGTGCTTTTTTTTCTGTTCGAGTGGTGCCAAACATGCATCATCCACTCTTGCCAAGTATACCATGGAGCTTTTGTCGATCCTGGCTCCAGTTGTCATGCTAAGACTTCGCCCAACACCCGAATGCGATCTTTATGGGCGACTACCGAGAAGCTAAAATTCAGCAGCCTGTAAGTAGACATAATGACCTTCCTTCTAGGGAGAGCTGTTATAGAGACGCGTCTCCATACGGGACTCAGGGGCTGTGAGACAGATCTTCGCTCTGCTTGAGCTACGTACAATGTTGTGATTTTGTCGATCGATTCGGAAACCGGGCCAGGAATCGGATGTGCAATACGGAACTTCAAATTATGTATCTGGAACATCACAGAATATTCCAAGGTTCAACTGTAGTCATTCAAGCCCTGGAGTTATTCAAGTTTTGGTCGGAGGTGTTTAGCTTCAAGTTGAAGGAGACCACCTGGGCAGTCTCAGCGTGGTAGTATATATCTCCAGGAATAGTTGCGAAAGAGAAAAACGGCCCGGGACGATACTACATACTTTGAGGAACTGATAAGGTAGCATCAGTACGAGGTTAGCAGCCTTGGTAATGTAGATCATTGACACTCGCCGATATATAGTACTAGTACTAGTAGTACCGCGGAGAGGGTCCTCACCGAACTGACCCCAACCACTCACTACATTTGGGCAAACTCTATACTTACTCTTGAGAAACCCATTGGCCCAACCGTACAACCTCTGCACAGACTAGGGGAAGAAATTATCCGAACAAAATTTACCGATTTCTAGAAGAAACTCTTTTCTGCTTTCGATTGATAACCTTCCACTCCCGAACGAGGTCGCAGTGATCGGCTCTGATCGCCCATTCTTGAAACCTCCGCCAGTATACGGCCGTTTCAAATTGATCCCATGGGAGGGTCTTTCCCTCAAACCATCCCGCGATTTTCATACCCTGATGCCTAATCGTTCCCGTTGAAACGAACCTGAAGCGAACCACTGTTTGAAAGTGCCGGCATTGGTGATATCACTATTTTCAACACAATTTTCACACACTGCTTTTTTCAACTTCTCCAACATCCAGCAATCGAACTTCTGTAGTAGCTAATTGGCCCTCGTCTCCGGATCTCGGATCGATAAAAGGGGGCCAGCAGAGCAGAAAACCGGGCAACGCGGATGGCGGTGCATGCCACGAGGTGGGGTAGGCTGGCACGCGCTAAGCGATCCTCCGCCAAACCTAGTGGAGTGCAAAAACAACAAATGGGGGCATAGGCATTGGAGCTAGTCGGAATGTCGGAGACCAATCTATTCCGACACAAAGTCCTGTTCTCTACTCCGTACAATTTCCTGATCTATACCACATCGAGTATCGCCGAAAAAAGGGGGGCCGTGATGCGCTATTCCTGGTGATCCAATGATACTTGCTATTTTCCCTTAACCCTTCTCCACTCTCTGTCGGACCCGAATAGGATGGTCCACTTTTTTTGTGTTCCTTTTTTTTTTCTCTTGGCCCTTTTTTCTCTTTCTTCCCTTCTCTTCTACACCTACGAGTACTGTATCTGCGTATCTTCAAATCTACGGAACCAACGCCTCCCATCCCCTCAATATGGTGGATCGGCCATTATTGACCCTCTTTTAGCTTGCACCGTGCGCCGAGGACCAGATTATATGATCCATGATGAACTGACCTGCCATCGCAGGCAGCAGTTCTTGTGGCTTGGACCTCGGCTTTGACAGCACGTAAAATTCCACTCTTTAATAAACTAAACCTGCAAGCTTGAGTCGGATTGGTCCGACCGTTCAACCGGGAAAGAATCTTATAGGTTCTCGATACTCGCGAAAAAAGCCAAGACAAGAGAAAAAAAAAGTAAAAGAGAACCCCATATGTAACCAGCAGCCAAGATAAACGAGAAGGTACATTTTAAAATTGATGAAGGGAGCAAATCAAAAAGAAACTTAAAAGCCTCACCGAAAAATTGCTAAAAGCAATCGGATCATTTGTGGCGTTTTATCTGACCGATCTGAAATTCATTACGGAATAGTAGTAGTTTGGTTTCTTGAATTCCTCGTTTTAGTAACTAACCAACATCCACCAATACAGCAGCATAACTACTCCATACAGAGAGATGCAGCATATGTACATCCACGACATCATACCGACAATGAGGCTTCGGAACCTAACCGAGCCCGGACGAATCGGACGCCGAATAGCTGGGATCCACGATATGAGGGCTTATTATTGGACGAGGGACGGACACCGCTGTGTTGACTGCCATTGGAGGTGCGTTACGCCCAATTCACCAGTCGTTGCTGGGCTGTGCTGGGTAATTCAGACCTGTCTCACTTCGCCCTAAGTATAGCTTGTGTGTGATTAAGTGTGAGCTCTCGCGTACTCCGTATAGCAAATCCTATTCTTAGCCGCGTGGACGACAAACTCAAATCCTATTCATATTTTTGGTTTGGAACTATGGAGTTTTATGATGGCATGTTTTGGATGATCTTTTGCAACGGTAGCAGTCGTTATCCAGGCTAGTGAGGAGTATACAGCATCTGGTAGGGCAGTTCAGCTTACTCCGTACGTTGCCATGAAAAAGGTCGCTTCCAAATGGTCTTTGTTCAGCTAAGCCATGCGAAATCTAGCTGGCCTAGGAGGCCTGATCTACGTAGCCTTATTCGAATTAGAATAAACCCCACAATGTTGTCGGTAGATGTAGCCCCTATAACACCTATACGTGACGAAGGTTGTGTTCGGGTGCCTGATCATGCAGAGATATGTCGATCTTAGCGGTCCAAAAGTGTCTTCTTAAGGCTGATGCTACAGTTACGGTAGATGTTAGCCATTCAAATACCGAGAAGGTTGAATTGCTAAGCTGCAGAACAGTATGCCAGTTGCCGAACAGGGCTGTCTGCATCAGTGTGATAGTGACACGTTGGTGCTGGTGGCTGATTCCGATGCTGATACCGGACTAACACGGTCTTATGCCTTATGAAGACCCAGGTGGGCAGCCGTGCAGCGTGGACTTGCAGCCAGAAGAAATTGCTCAGCTCATGCACAACTGCAATGAAATGAAAGACCGCTGACCGATTCTTGAAGCAGGTACACGATTGACAGAATCTCACGAGAACGCCTCAATCCCCTAACCTGACCCTTTGTCCCCGAAACGCCGTTGCCGTTGCCGTTACCCTTGCCTACCACCTCGAATACGCCAGTGCGCGAAAAAGAAGAGCGAAGCAGAATGATCTTTCAGGCGATAACTAGGCTTTCGTAAACAGCACGGCCATGGCAGATTGGATAGAGCCTTGCCCAGAACGCAAACAAGTCCGGCTTTTCCTGACTCTGCTGGACCAGCCACTCGGCGAAAGGAATCTCTGTATCGAAGGGATTCGGGCTCCGATAAACAGCGATCTATACAATTGAGTAACAGGAAGGGGTGGGCTTCGATGGCAACCATGACCAGAAGGGGGAGGAGGTTTCCAACTCACATCAGAGTAACGCTGCAACGCATCATGGTATCTTATGTCAAGACCGAGACTATCTAGCGTGCTCCATTTCACTCGGCGAGCCGCATTGCTATAAGCCCGAGAGAGAATCTCTCTGTCTGCAGTGTTCTCTTCGCCGATTGAAACCCCGGCGGGCAGCTTGTTCTTCTGGCGGACATAGGCGACCTCGATGAGACGAGTGAGAAGGTCGGCCTGCCAGGTCTGCAGGAATGGATTATGGTTGAACTGCTTGACGTGGCGTGAAAGGGCAGAAATCTCTCGGTTGAGCTGGTTGACCTTCCCGCGAATGTGTGCGATACGTGCTTCAAGATCGTTGTTTGAGGCCTGCAGCGCGAGACATGCAATTTTGTGTTTCTGCGTCCGCCAATCAGTCTTCGCTTGCCTCTCGTGTTTTCGGTGAACCTTTCTGGCCTTGGAATAGTCGGTGGCTGGGGCTTACGCTGGAACAAGATAGCCTGCCTTCCATCGTGACGAAGTTGGTCGGTCCACGGGAGCTGGAGCGAGGGCGCGTGTGACGGCCACGTTTCTCAGGAGAGACAGACATGTTGTTCTTCAAGGCTGCCGGGTCAAGTGAAGGAGCATGGTACCTTTCTCGCTATCGTGGAATATAAGAAAGAGGCACGGTTGGAAGAAGTGATTTACATACTGCGAGGTCGACAAGGCTCAAGGGCAGGGAACCTTAGGAAGGTGAGGTTGAGATAATGAGGAACGGGATCGTGCCTGCCTAATTCAGAAATTGTGTTATATTCGCGTAGACACGGTTGCTATTGGCATTGACATTATCATCAAAAGATCGTAACTATAGCTGTCGATTATATTACAGCTTGCTGCCGGTGGAGGCCTTGCCAAAATCAATAACCAGCTTTCCAAACTGCTTTCCTTGCTTCATGTCCTCAAACAATCCGTCGATGGCAGGAAGGTCATCAATTTCGGCCTGGAGTACTCGTGAAACAACTGGGTGAATCTTCTTGGCTGTGACAAATTCAATCATGTCCTTGAATTCCTTGCGAGAACCCATCGTGGAGCCACGAACATCAATGTTCTTAAGGACAGCTGACATAGTGAAGGGCATCTTAGGAGACACCGTCATACCATAGATGGAGAGAACACCACCGGCCTGGATAATCAATTTCAGTAAGTACTCTTGAAACATAAAGGGATATCATGGGATGTGTTGCTGTAGAGCATGCACTTACCTTGAGCAGCTTGACGGCTTTCTCAATGGAATCGCCACCTGCGCCATCAATGATGGCATCAAAGTTCTTCTTGCCGGCAGGAAGCAACCCAAGAAGCTTCTTCTCCCATCCATCTTCTTTATAGCTGACACCGCCAGTTGCGCCAAGATCAATTGCCTTCTGGATCTTCTCCTGGCTAGAGCTTGTCACAAAGACATGAGCGCCACGGGCGACCGCAAACCGCAGGGCAATCAAGGCAACACCGCCACCAATGCCAGTGATCAGCACAGCAGCTCCATTGCTAGAGTTTCTCTCGCCAGCCTTCGATACCAGGGCTCGCCATCCAGTCAGACCGGTCAGTGGGAGAGCCGCGGCCTCTGCGTCGGAAAGATGGGCGGGTGCCTCCTCAACTTCGGACTCATCAATAGTGATATACTCCTGGAGTGTGCCTTTGTTGTAAACTTTGGTGCCTCCCATGATGCGGTATCCAGTGGCCTCCTCCGGGCCATCGGGGGAACCTTTCCAGCCCACACCGGGATTCAGGATGACGCGCTTTCCCTGCCACTTTTCTGCGCCGGACACGTCGGGGCCAGCGCCGACAACGGTGCCCACGCCATCTGCTAGCAAAGGCACATCGAAAGTTACACCGGGGTATAGGTGTTGGCGGAGGAAGAGATCGCGGTGGTTGAGCGAGGCGGCTGATAGCTTCACCAGCAGCTCGCGCCCTTGCGGGGAAGGCTGGGGCAGAGTGCGCACGGTGAGCGGGTAGTACACCTGGCCCGGCTTGCCGGGCTTGCCATCAATAGGCGAAATATAGACGGCCTTCGACATTGTGATACAAGGCACGCAGTTGGGTTGACAAGATAAGCTTGATGGTGTTATGAGACTTTGGTGAATGCGGGGACAGCTAGATTAATCGATAGCCGAGGACCGTGACAGAGCTGGAGAGTCGATACCGGTTGGATGGATTACCGGCTGTGTTGAATACGGATAATTGCAATGGGAAATAACCAGCTAACATTGAACATTTATAATAGTATGAATTCAAGTTCGAAAAGATATTCTAATCTCGAATTCATGTATTGAGTGCACACTACGAGGGACCTCGGCCCACGGGCCGGCGGGTTACTTACTAATTCACCAAGGGTCGCCATCAATATCCCTGTCTCCAATTTGGAGAACCGGAACGATACCTTTCCTGTTCTGGTTCTCTTTTCCAGAAATCCGATTATGCACAAATGATGATATGTTCTTCAAGACATGAGATGCCAGTCATGGGTCGTCCCGTTTTAGTCAGTGCATTCCATCATCCCGCATCAACCACCCGCAAGAGACTCCGAGGCCGAGTCGAACTCGCAGCTTAGGTATAGCAAGAGTTATTTTATATCTATATTCGGTTTCGTAGATTTAATGGGAAGTAATTAACTAGATAAGCCATTCTTGATTTCCAACTGTAAGATGGATTCAACGCGTCATGGTGTGGATTTTTGATATATATATAGGTATGCCATGGATAGCAGTAGTAGTACTAACCAATAGGCACTACCTAGGTAGAACGCAATCACCCACCTGGGCCACGGGCACTTCAAGCCGGAGTTGATGTCCACGGGTTGAAATTTAAACCTTGGAACTTGAAGCCCTGGTGACTACTACGAGTAACTACTAATTAGTAGGCAGTACATGAAAAAGAGCCCGAAAAACTCGAAACATGAAAAATATTCCAATTTGTTTACAAAACATCGTCAAGTTGATGCATCAACCTCCTAGCAAGGATATAGTATCAAGAAATATACAGCTCTCCCCGACCTCGTACTTCTCCTAGAACCCTGCCAGCAACCATAAGCTGGGCAGATAATGACTTGCGATTTATGCATCATCGCGTCCCATAGAGAACGCCGTGTCGACAACAGTACACAAGCTGATAGTGATGGCATGAATTGCATCCAGATTCCGCGGTCTCGGCTGCATCCTCAATCACAGCACCCACCGAAGAATCAGATGCCGAGTCGTCGGACAGCGCATACTCAAAAAAGCTTTCGGATTTAGCATCGTCTGTACAACAACAGCCATTTGGCCTGGCCTCAGTCCGAGGGGGCGGAGCAGGTCGCTTGCAAGTACACTTCGTATGGGGACTGGCTGCTCTGGGTAATTCCATTGGGTAATGCGAGCAGCCTATTGCTGGAGCTGGAGCTGGCGCTGGAGTTGGAGCCAGAGCCGAAGCCGGAAAGTGACACAAGCGATGGTGATGTTCCTGGTGATACGTCATTCCGTGGACATTCGGAGTCGGAGGATAATAATGGCAGTGAGTTAGCGGAGATGCTGCTGCTGTTCCTGCAGATTGTGAAGCACATTGGCATGGAGATACTGGAATAGTTGCACCGGGTTGTTTCTGATTGTCCTTGTGATTCAAGCCTTTGGTCTTCCTGGCTCGTTGAGGGTGCTCGGATTCCGGCTTGTTACGGAAACATAGACCACAGGTGTGCCTCGGGGTCGGAGGTCTATCAGAATGGTCGTTGCAACCGCTTGTCACTGGTGTGACCGGAGGTAAGTGATCGCTGTGAATTTCGCAGTGACCACGAGCAGGTTTCTCGGTTGGAGTAGCTCGGGGAGGATGGCGGACGAAGGCACAGGCGTCATCGTCCCGAACAAAGAAAAGGTTGGGTTTGATTTGTTCACCCCGAGAGACAACTTTGTGATATGGCTTGCCTAAGAAATAGTCGGGAATATTCATATACCGACGACTATTCCTCTTCATGGCGCTGGAATATAGAAAAGAATCGGATTGACGGACACGAAAATGTAGCGAATTCAATTAGGTCGATGAATACCTATTTGACCGAGAAATTATGATGCTAGACAGTGACACTGAGCGAGATTATGTCACAGAAGTGGTCACCGGCAAAAAGAGAAGGATGGAGATTGTCATGGTATATAAAGGCCGATTGGATTAGAGCAATCATGAGAAGACTTGAAAGGATTCATTCTAGGTCTAGGCTAGATCTACGAGTATCGGGCTCGGGCTTTGAGATGAGACAGCAAACTGCCTATGCTTTGAATGGACGATGCATATAGACTATGGCCAACAAACCACGCAATCAAGCAAACGTCCCAAATGGTCGGGCCGGTGACGATCCTTCCTATGCAGGAAGACGGGTAGAAGAATAGAATTTCGAACCTAACCGGACTCTGGCCCGAACTCAGAGGGGGCTCTGCAGGCAAGTGTTTGAAGAAAAATGTACTGGATCGATTATTTCCAACCTGGCATTGAGCATGGGATGGTGGGATGGCTGGGGAAGGGAGAGATGATATGCAAGTGTCCCTCCTTTATCCCCTCCTTCCTTTGAGATAGCGATCTTGTTGATGGGCGTATGTCTATGGATATGCCGATGAGTATGAATATTCCAATGCCAATGGGAAGGCAAAGAACCCCAGCAAGGGCGACCAGCAGCACGATACGTCCAAAAGCCAACGAGGAAGACTTAACACCAATCCAACTTTAACTGTTTGAAAGCACCTGATCGTCCAATAGTGTGGCGGGAGTGGCAGGAGATGTACCTTACACGTCGACTGAGTTATTGCCACAGCCGCAACCCACCGCATGCATACTAGATGCCAGCTGCGACCTCTTCTGTTTTAGGAGCTTCCTTTATAGCAGTCAAGACTCCACAATCTGGGGGGGAAAAAAAGAAAAGAAAGATGAGTTATGAAGTAGCTAGAGTTTAGTCTGGAACTGATGGTCTTTGTCCTAAAATAAAATCCTCTTTTTAAAAAGATACGGACCATCCATCAAGGCTGCCTATAGTCAAGCTTGAAGCCACAGTGTGTGTTTGTGTGTTGTGTGGGTGTCCTTCGTACTTTCTTTCTTGGGGGCTGGTGGCAGAAGGCAGACCTGTGTGTATTTTTTCAATACATTCCAATACAGTGTATTGTCTTCTCTTGTAGTGGCCTCCCACGCGACACCTCATCATCAATACACGGTATTTTCGCCTCTGCGCGCCTACTGCCACGCCCCCCCGCTAAATCCATTTTTGCTCCAGGAAACCCAAGCGAAATCGAATCTCGATCTCTCTTTCTTGACCTCGTTCCTCTGGCGCTGAAGCATACTTGCATTTCCTCCAACCACACCGATCTCGTTCGTCGATTGACACGCATCTAGCTGTTATTTCATTCATCCCGCCTTTTCGACTATTTTCTCGTGTTTCGCGTCCCCTCCAACCCGTTCGCATCACGCACTTTCGCACCATCCGCCACCTCAAAAGTCTCGCGACGAACTCTTTTCAAATCGGCTGTTTTGTGGGGGAATATCACCTGTACTAAAACTTCTATCATCCATAATGCCTACACCACTCCCATCGAGTTTTGCCTCCGCCGCTGCCGGTAACACGCAGGACCCCAGTCGGAGAGGGGATGGAGGAGCTGCTGGTGAATGGTATGCAATATTGCCCTCCCCTCTCGATCTCAAGCCTTGAACTTTTCGTGTGCCAGATATCCTTTCCCATTCACTGCATCGCCCTCTTCAACCTCCAATTCCGCGAGACCGAAATATTCGTTGCTAACCTTGAATGTCCACACCAGGTCTCGATCTCGTATGAACGGAGCCACTCAGACCTTCCGCCGCCCTTCTGTCGCTACGAACCCTTCTCACATCCGGGAGAGTGGTCAACCTGCTTCAGCTTCGACACCGACGGCCTACATCCCACCCCACATGAGCTCAAATACCACCCCCAGCACCCTACGCAACGGAGAAGCCCGATACTCCAAGGAACAGCTCCTAGAGATGTATAAGGCGCAGCGGGAGAACGGAGCTTTGGGCAAAAACGTGGAGGAATACTTTGTCGCCGACTGGGATCCTCACATGGTGTCAGCCCCCGCGAATGGAGCGTGGGGGAAGCGGGACGACCACAAGTCCTCCGCGGGACCTGAAGTGTGTTGGGACCACGGAGGACAGGCTGAACCGTTGGGCTTGTCTGATATGTCGGATGGAGAGAAAGAGGTAGGTCAAGATATCATCCAGTGCGGGGTGGAAATCGCGTGTTTATATGCTAAAACTCTGCAGATATTCTCTGCTTCGGTCAATTCTCCCCTCAAGCCCCCCCCCACGAACGCGCAGAAAGAAAATACTGCACCAGGTACTGGGGGTCGCAAACAGTCCATCTCTTACACCCAGGGCCATATCAATAACTACAATACCTCCTCCCCGACGGCCAACCGCCCGGGCGTGAGACGTCGTGAGACCGGTGACTCGATCGGCAACCCTATGTCCCCCACCGGCTCCAACTCACGCTTTTTCCGCGATGAGGCGACTACTTCCACCCCTCCCCCCGCCCTCTTGCGTCGTAAAACCGATTTCCGGGATCAAAAGCCTGACGACAAGGCTAAAGAAGGACAAGAAACTGCTTCTCCCTTTGGCTCTTTGAAACGAAGCTCGACCAACCCTTTGAATACCGCTGTGGGAGGACCAGGCTCGCCTTGGGGCTCGGCTTCGCACAATGCCAACTTCTCTCCCATGGGCGCATTTGGAGCATTCTCCTTGGGTTCCAACACGGCCCAAACGCCAACGGAGAAAAAACCTGGATATGGAAGCCTTCGTGGAGAAAGCCGATTCAAGGACCTGCTTTCTAAGGATAGCTCCGAGGATATTGCCGGATCTGCCAAGGAGAAGAACCTGTCCAGCCTGGAGCGCCTGACCGAAGATAATGGTGACCAACGTTCGCAGTCTCCTTGGGGGGAGGGGCTCAAGACGCGTGCGAACCGTAGTGAAACCAATCCTTTCGATGAGCCTCGCAGTGGTAGCGCCGCGCTCGGCGGATCTCAAGATCTCGAAGCGCCGTCCCAAGATGACCTCGGTTTTGGCGCGTTCGGAATGACCTCAAGCATCCCAGGCTTCCGCGAGTTAATGCAAAGCCAGGAGAATTCCCGCAACCCTACTCCGAGCTTGCTCCAGGGTCATGAACCAACAAGCCCCACAAACACCAACCCCTATCAAAGCCCTCAAAATGATCGGACTGCTGCCGACCCAGAGGATCTGGATACGGATGGATCAGACATCCAGAATTCCCAACATCCCGGTCTTAGTGGCTTGCGGGATCCTTCAAACCCCTTTGGATCGATGAGACGGGTCGGCTCAGGCATGGACCTGCCTACTATTGATCGCAGCCAAAACTCCAGCGCCAACGCCAACCGTAACTTCTCCGGTCTTGGTGGCCTCGGTGGCCTCTCCTCTCTCGGTGGAGGTGCCGCTTGGCCTTCTGGAGGTGCCATCGGTACTCCAACTCGCGAACGCTCTGCTTTCGCTAGCGGTTTCGGTGATCCCATCTTCGGCTCCATGGGTGATCTTCAGTCTCCAAGCCTGTCTACACTTGGAGGTGGAGGTCTCTTTAGCCCTCATGCTGGTATGTCCGGAACCGCCAGCATAGGCCGATCGAGCAAACTCGGTGCCCTTTTCTCATCGGTGCAGGACGAACAAGGTCGCTCAGACTCGGTCGGCCTGGAAGATGGACTTCGACAAACGGACCTCCAGCAGACGGAAAGACCCGGCCAGGCAAGCAAGCCCGGGTCAAACCCATCTCAAACACCTGTTTCGGCTGTTGGTTCTCTTCCGCCCGGAATGGGTCTCGATGGAGCAGGAGCAATTCAGACTCCTGGGGGGCACTGTGCCTTCTGCCCAGCAACGTTGCATGGTGATGCCTGATCGCATGCGCTGGATCTATCGCGACCCGCAGGGCAATGTCCAGGGACCATGGACAGGACTTGAGATGCACGACTGGTTCAAGGCTGGCTTTTTCAGCCCCGACCTGCAAATAAAGAAGCTCGAGGATATTGAATTTGAGCCACTGGCTCAGCTGGTCCGACGTATTGGCAATTCGCGCGAGCCCTTCCTTGTTCCCCAAATCGGCATCCCCCATGGTCCCGAACCTACTGGAGCTCAGTGGACTGGCCCTCCTGGGCAAAACACTACTAGTGCTCAGCCTCCATTCCCTGGAAGCTTCCCAAGTTTCGGCACTACCTTGACCGCGGAGCAGCAGAACGCACTCGAGCGACGCAAACAGGAGGAACAATATCTGATGGCTCGTCAAAAAGAACATCTCGCCCAGCAGCAAGCTATTATGAAGCAGATTGGCCCGTCTACTATGCAGCCCCAGTTGCAGCACCAAACTAGCGCCCACAGTCTTCAGAGCCAGCCCAGCTTCGGTAGCATTGCTTCGCCGTCTGGTTACCAGCCATCTCCAATCCAGGCGCCTGGCCATGGCCAGCAGCAGCAATCACAGCAGCAATCGCAAGGTGGGGTTGCCGGTTTCTTCGATGCAGCAGCACCTACTCGACAGGGTGGTCTCCCAAATGTTGGACCTGGCATGCTAGGAACTGAGCTTGGTAGCCAAGACCAACTTCCGGCTCTACTGGATCACCTGAACGTCGGCCGCCAGGACCCCTTTGCCTTTGGTGCATCCAATTCATTCGCTGCTCGCCAGCCTGACAGCTTCCTGCATTCCCAGCAGGTCTCTTCAATGCTCCAAGATCGTGAGGCGCTTCAGCAAGAACAAGAACAGTTTGACCAGCTCAACTCAAATGATCCCTTTGATCAGCAGGCGCGTGAGGAGCGACTGCGTCAGTTCCATGCTCTGAGAGCCCAAGAAGGTGACTTTGGCATGCGGACCGTTGATGGCTTGCCAACTCACCCAGCTGCTGCTTCCGCCCAGGACGCTGAGGCTGCTGCTACCAGCGAAGAGCTAGCCCTGGAAGCCCTCTCAGCTGATGAACCTACCGATGAGCCTACTCTCACTCTGTCTCAACAGGTCCACAAGGCCGCCTCTGCCCAGCGCCAACAGCAGGAGCAAGACCAGCATGCTCAGGCTGTCCCTGAAAATGTCTGGGGAATTAAGGCCGATAGTGCTATGCCTCACCCCTTCCCCCCGCCCCCCTCTGCCTCGCCTCTACCCGCCCCCGCTGCTCAGCGCAACCGCCAGAACATGGCTGAATCTCTCGTCGCCGACTCTCAGTCCCGGACCCAAACCCCAATTGATGCGGCACCCACTTCTGTCGCCCCGTGGGCAAAGGATACCGTCGAAGTGCCGAGGGGTCCCTCTCTGAAGGAGATCCAGGAGGCCGAAGCTCGCACTGCTGCCCAGCGCGAGGAACACGCCGCCGCTGCTCGTCGCGCTCAGTTCCTTGCAGAGCAAGAGCGTCTCAGCCATGCCCAATCTCAGGTTGTCCCTGGTCTTCCCTCCTCCGCAAATTGGGCCAGCTCTGGATCCCCGGCTACTCCTACCGCTGCTAGCCCAGCCTGGAACACTAAGAGCCAGCCCGCACCTATCACCAGCACCGCAAAGAAGACCCTGGCTCAGATCCAGAAGGAGGAGGAGGCCCGCAAGCAGCGCCAAGCTGCTATCAACGCCGCTGCCGCCCAAGTCGCGACGCCTAGCCCCCCCAGCTTCCGCTACCAAGCGCTATGCCGAGCTTGCCAGCAAGGCCCCTGCTGCTACCGCCGCCGCCGCCGCCAGTGCTGCCCCTGTTCCTTCTAGTGCTTGGACAACTGTCGGTGCTAGTGGCAAGGCTAAGACTCCTCTTGCCGCGCCCCTTGGACCTCGCTCTACCAGTGGTACCATTCCCGTTGCCCCTGCTTCTGTCTCCAAGCCTCGCCCAACTATCGCTACCCGTACCGTGACCGGTGGCAGCGTGTCTCAGGGCAGCTCTAACCGCGCTATGGAGGAATTTACTAAGTGGGCGCAGCTGTCTTTGGGCAGAGGTTTGAACAGTAACATCAATGGTAAGCGCCGCAAATAAACCCCAACAGAAAGGAAACGTTTGATTCTAACCCTTTCTAGTGGACGACTTTGTTCAGCAACTTCTTTTCCTGCCTGCGGAGGCCGAGATTATCTCTGACTCCGTCTACGCAAACTCCCAGACCTTAGATGGTCGCCGCTTTGCCGACGAATTTATCCGCCGCCGCAAGCTGGCCGACAAGGGTGTCGTTGACCCCGTCTCGCCCAGTGCTTTCGCCGAGCAGAAGAACGGCGGTGGCTGGAACGAGGTTGCTAAGAAGGGGTCTGCTTCCGGCGCTACCCCTTCCGCCCGTGAAGAGGAGAGTAACGCCGCATTCAAGGTCGTCGCTCCCCGCAAGAAGGGCAAGCGCTAGTGGCGTGCATAGCTATCTGTATCTCAGCTAGTCGGGGAATATTTTGCATTTGTTTGATTTTTCGCCACTCTTTTTTTTATTGTTCTTGCTTTTTTGCGTGTGCATTCGGCGGTCTGGTGGACTTTAGTCTTTCGATCTCATCTATGTACTACCATGCTTTTTTAGCAGCATCAATGTATTTGTGCATGATTGCATTCCGAAGTTTCCTTTTCCCTATCTGTCGGGTTTTTACAAAATGTGATATAGGATAGTTAACGACCCGCAAGATCAAAGATCAGCTCGAACTGAGCAGTTCTAGTGGTAGCAACCTGTGATCCAAAACCGGCCTAGGACTCGCAGGTGCTCCATGCATTAGGTAGTGAGGGCATCGGCCTCAGAATAAAGACTGTTAATCTCCTTCTCATATGCCTGCAATGTTCCAGCTCGTTGTATAGTTCCTTTGCCAGCGCGAGGCATTGGTTTATTGGGACTCGTGAGTAAGATATGAGACTTGACAATGCGAGCCTGCACCGGGCACTCCCTATTAGCCTCTTCAACAGAGGGCCAGAATTTCTCAATGAGTGCACTTTGTTCAGCAGGCGAAAATGCAATTCCATCGCTCTTCACTTCAACAAGCAGAGCCGCCTTCGATCGTTGCGCACCCACGACAAGAACGCCTGTGATTTGTGGATTTTGCGACTGAACATACTGCTCCATAGAGATAGGATTGGTCTTCTCGCCCGTTGAAAAGGAAATTATATCATCTTTGCGCGCCTGCCACTTCCACATGTGCTTCTTGTTGGGATCTGGGTGCTGCACGAACAAATCTTGACTGCCATACTCCTGCAACTCGGGGAAGAAGGCAAATGTTGGTTGGTGCTTTTCGCATTCTGGATGACGCACAATAACAAGTTCATGCTGATTTCCTTCTATGTGACGGAATTCAATTCCCATATCAGGGTGGAATTCCATGTATTTCCAATCTCCAAGATTGCGGCCAGCTTTGGAAAAGAGCACAAGGAGTAGACCGATCTCTGTTGCGCCGAATTGATCGACCAATTTGACCTTTGCGGCCACTTTATCTCCAATATCTTGAGGGGGATCTCCGCCTCCGAAAAAGATGAATTCCAGGTTCTTTTCGCAGAATTCTAATAGCTGAGAGTTTTCGGTTAGCTCTTCAATCACTGACGGTGTTGTGAAGACCCCGTCGACTTGAGTGTGTTTCATGCCATCGACCATCCCGTTAGCCGAAGCGATCGAGGATGCAGTGGGGTAAACCAGAACACCGCCGAATGGAATTACAGGGAATATAACATGGAAGAGATAGGCTGCCTAGATGTAGCTATCAGTATCTTCTATAAAAGTATTTTGGGTTAGCCTTACGTGAAAAGGGGGAACAGTCACGAATATACGATTTTCTTGTATCATCCGGTATAAACTGTCAGACCCCTCTGGCGTATGCAGTTGAGTCATCTCCATGAACGCTGCTCCAGCAGCAAAGGTAAACTCAACTGGCTTGGGGATCCCCGTTGAGCCGGAAGTGTGAACAACGGCGAAAGTATCGGAGCCGTTTTCCGCGAGAGTTTTCGAGAAAGGAACGTGCTTATACTGGGTCCCCAGAAGCTCAGCAACATCAGGAACTTCAAGAACAGGCAATGAAGCAGCCTGCGCGATGTCGTAAATAATTTGAGGTCTGGGAATGGGTGCTAGTAGGACCTTGCATCGCATTGTCTCTAAGAGGCTGGTGTGCGCAGCGACACTATTGCGCGCCGATGCAAAAAACATCTAACCATAATTAACAAGCTGGTAAGTAAATAGTGGCTTGGTTTTCACTTACACAATAGCCAGCCTTTAAAGCGCCGATGGCGAGTATCGTGTACCGAATATCGTTCGGGCCTATGTATGGCAGCTTCTCTGTACCTTCCCCTTGACCGATTGAATCGATCAAGAATAGGGCAGCTCCATTTACAGCATTGGCTAGCTCGCTGTATGAGACACTTTTATAGCCCTCGCTATAGGTATTCACAGACTTTGGGAACTTAGCGCATATTCTATCTGGATGGAGGACGGCATGATAATCCACGATGGTCGGCGGAAGTTCTCTACAAGGATTGAAGCCGTCGACAGTCATCTTATGGGGCCGGGAGTTTTATTTTATTTATCTTGTTTTCGTTTGTATGAGTGAATGTATTCCAAGAAAAAGGTATGTCGCTATTGGACTCAATCCAGAAAGATAAATGCGAAAAGTTGCCAGTGATTTTTCAAGTTCCCTAACAAAAAGAGCTGCATCCTAAGACTCTACGCGAATTTAACCGAAACTTCCTTCAGATGCGTCTCTGTCAATTTTTATTTCATTTCAAATTTCTAAAATGATTTATGAGTGGGCAAACCGGCAAACATGAGCTCTGAGTAGCTAATCAGCCCCGGCTCGCCAACATATTACTACTTGTATGCATATGCATATTTCGAAATTCCAAGCGATTGGATATTCTCCATCGCGATTCAGGTTTCTTTGGGCAGCAACCTGGAACCTGGAACCTGGAGCCTTTGGGTAGGAATATGGCTGCGTACAATCCAAATTTTCAGCCAGTCATCTACCCCAAAGCGCGGAACTTCATACTGGCAACCGGCCCAGTAGGTCTGCCAAGGTACTAATTTAGGCTGGCCGTCCCAGTGGCTGTACGCTGCCTGTACCTGTAGACTTTTAAAGTTTTTATACAATAGACAATGATACTACTTGTATAATCAACCTTCAAAGAACCTCTTAAATCGATTAAAGGTAGCGCCCTATGATACTAAGGTAGTATTGTAAAGCAAACTTGATATAAGGGACCTTGGAAGCTACCGGTAAGCGTACTCGGCTAAGTACCAGGGCAATTTTGAAAATAGAATGGATATTCTGATGGGGGATGCATCGAGGCACCTGACGGTCGGAGTGACTACTGTGCACGTAAGTCCCAAGATTTTGCCCTCCTCCTTTCCTCCCGTGTTTCCTTTGCCTAATTCCCTTTATGGGACTCTTCCATTATTTATCTACCTTGGCTAAAAGCTAATCTGACTACAGCATTTGGTGGATTTATCATGACCACTGCTACAGATACCTGCGTCGAGTTAGCGGATGCCATTCATCGCAGTTCCGTAAAAACGGCCGAGAAAAAGTCGAAATCTGTAGCTAAGCTCTGGCGCGCAGAAGCTGATTTCGCATTTTTCAGTCAAATGACTGTCTGCGTGCTTCTGTCAGCGAATGAAAATAAAGGCAGAAGCGAAGAGGCTGCTTGGGAGCACGCGTTCAATTTCTATAAGGATGCGACAGTGCGGTTCCAAGATGAATTGAAAGAGGTGAAAGAGGAACAAAAGAACTAGTATGGGTTTTTTTTGGAAATAAATACAAAGTGTCTTAGCATACATTCGAGCTATGGTCTTGCCAAATACACAATCATCCTAATACAATTAACTACTACTCGTGGTAACTAGATAAGATGATTTGTAAGTTCGGGCCACATCGATGACGACATGGCAATTCGGGGACCGACGCCCTTATAAACCCCGGTTGCTTCCATCCAATTTAAGAGGATATCTTATTCCGCAGGACATGATTTGAAATGTTCGATCGAATCTGCAGCACAAGCTTTTGTCAGCATGGTCTTGGGTTTTGTTGAGTGGTGCTGGTACTTTCTGGTGGGGAATTCTCTGATTATTCAACATTCCGACGGGGACGGGGTTGGATGAATAAACCATCCGCCACTCTTACGACTCCAGAGATCTCCCCATTTTCTCCATTACATCACCTCTAGATTCCCAGATAAGAGGGAAAATCACCATCAGTCTACATATTTTGAAAAGTGGAAGCAATGGCCGAGGCCAAAATTGAATCACCTACTGCTCCTGCGCCGCGCAAACGGGGCCGTCCCCGAACAGTTACCGACGAACAAGAAATCCCAGAGGTAGGTGGTAAAGCGAAAGATAAAGCAAGGCGTGCACCCCCGCTCATTTTATTCCCAGAGACGTCGCAAACAACTACGTGTCGCACAGCAAGCATATCGCAAGCGGAAAGAGAACACAATTACCAATTTGCAGACCCGCGTGCAAGAGCTCGAATCTGGGATCGAGGATCTCAGCCAGTCCTTTTTATCATTCAGTAATCTGCTTCTCGAAGCCAAAATACTCCAAACAAATCCAGATATCACTTCCGCCTTGCAGAAAATTACCCAGCAATGCGTTGCGCTCGCGAAACAAGGATGCGATGGTGAACCCGAAGAGAAAGCAGCCGTCGATATTGTCGACACGGTGGTGAAAGTCAACCGCAGCAAGCACAGTAAGCCGGAAATAAACCTGGATTTCGATACGGAAATAGTACAAGCGAATAGTATTTCGTTTCCCGAAGATCCATTTCAACCTTCATTAGCCACATTGGCTCATTGGACACAATTACCGCCTACGCCTCCTCACCAAGACCAATCTATTCTCCCCTTCGGAATCGTCTACTCCCCGCCTCCTCTTTCCTTTTCGAATCTAAACCAGTCATTACCGAGTCCCCCGATAACGCTATCTCCGAATAGTCTTACACAGCAAGGGCGATGGAATCTCTCCCAGCGACTTGTGCGACAATGTTGCCAAAATGGTTATTGGTTATTGACCAACGACCCCTATGATGAAGCAAAAATCGAAGAGATCTTCAGAGCCCCATTATCAACAAATGAACGCAATCGGATGATCTCGTCATTCTATAATACCATGCACGATGAGGTTGGAGAGCTGATCGAACGCAAGGCAAGGGTACTCAACCCCGTATACAATGTGAGGGAAACCCTCTCGCCAGAGCAGCTCGCACGCACATCACGAGCATGGAAATTTATCACCGAGTCGGGAGCTGGGGAGTATATGGATGCTAGTGGAGTGCAAAGGTATCTGGAGCGGAAAGGGGTCCAGATCTCAGATAGTGATTCTGCAAGTGGATACTCCAGTCCATCCATCGATTATATGACAGAAATTAATGCGACATTGTTCATACGATGTGAGTTGCTATATATCTCATTTTTGGTTCAAGTTACTAATTGATCTGCAGATCTTTCACTCCGATGTATTTGTGTTGGTGCTGGGCCAGCATTCAAACGGAAGGACGTCGAAAAGGCCTTGTACATGTCGAGCCCGCATAATCAGTGGCAAATTTGATGTATTAATATCCATTTATGGAAATAAAAGAATAATGTTTAACTCACACAACTGAATTCCGAGTCCCTATGCATTTTCAGGAAATTGTAGAGAATGATAGGTTATCCAGTCTTGTCGGCTACCATCGCCTTGGGCCGGCTATCAGATATTGAGGGGCCTTCCAAAGTTGGAACGTCAGCATTGTGATAACAAATCATATCTACCTTACTTTGAGGTTGCCAGTCCATTCCAGCATTGAAATTTCAGGTGGATGCTTCGAAAAGCCCAATCAAATCTTCGACGAGAGACGAGTCAACCTCAATTAGCTTCATCAACGGCAGTGGGGTTCTCCCTTAGCAGGTCTAGTCCCCCGCCCTTCGCGTGGCACCAGTGGAGCTTCCAACAGAACTTCAACAACCATTGGCGCGGAGAAGCTCCCAGTGAGTCAATCTCGTATGGGTGCCGTTGCGTTTGCACCAGCTCTCAGATCCCGAGATCAACATCTTCTCTGCCTGGTTTATCTGGCCTGAGTCATCGAGGTGTCGAGGCTATTTAACTTTGCGTAACCTAATCAATTCCCCCAGAGGAACTCAACTAAGCTTCTAGAACTTCAAAATCTTTGCTCCCGGAGCTATCTTGCACCCCCAGGCTGGCATCATGGCTACTACTACTACTACTCAACCTACTACCTTCGGGAAACCAATGTTGAAACATTGGCTCTTCGATCCTTCGTACAAGAATCTCAACCACGGTTTGTGTGACACATTCCATTTCAAAACATCCAAAACTCACTCCTCGACTGTCAGGTTCTTTCGGCGCACACCCAGCGCCAGTCCGCGATGCACAACGTGCATTCTTAGACATCGCAGACCTGCGACCGGATCCCTATATCCGAAAGCAACACACAAAGCTTCTCGAAAAGGCACGCCAGGGCGTGGCGACGATCATCAATGCGCCCAAAGAGGAATGTGTCTTTGTGAAAAATGCCACAACAGGCGTCGCGACCGTCCTATATAATCTAAGCTTCCAACCCAACGAAGCTCTCATCTATTTCGAACCCGTCTACGGAGCTGTGGAGAAATGCATCGTCTCTATGCAAGAGCACAGCCCCTTCCAAGCCCGAAAAGTGAACTTCCATTTTCCCATCACCCAGGACGAACTTGAACGCCGCTTTCGCGAAACGGTCACTCGCGCCCGAGACGAAGGGCTGACCGTTCGCGCTGCGGTCTTCGATACTATCGTCAGTAATCCGGGTGTCCGCTTCCCGTTTGAAAAGTTTGTCACCATTTGTCGCGAAGAAGGTATTCTGAGCGTGATCGATGGTGCGCATGGTATTGGACAAATTCCCCTGGACATGAATGTCCTCCAGCCTGACTTTTTGACATCGAATTGCCATAAGTATGAATATTCCCATCTCCTTTTCACCACCACCCGTTATCGACCTCTTCTCGCTGTCTCTCCTCCCCGCTCTGCTTATACTGACATTCCTGCCCAGATGGCTATACACCCCCCCGCAGCGCAGCCGTTCTCTACATCCCCAAGCGCAATCAACATTTCATGCGCAGCACCCTCCCCACGTCATGGGGTTTCATCCCTGCAGCCGGCTCAGCCGAAAACAATCGCATCAGTCCTCCAAGATCCAACCGCTGCGAAAACCCAAACTCCCTTCGAAGAGCTCTTCGAGTTCGTCGCTACCAGCGACGACTCCGCCTATATCTGCGTCGAAGCCGCCCTGAAATTCCGCAAGGAAGTATGCGGCGGCGAGGAGGCCATCATGGCGTATTGTCAAAAGGTTTCCAATGAAGGTGCGGACGCGATCGCTTCGATTCTCGGCACAGAAGTGCTCCAAGAGCCGGGCTTGAAGGCTGGGGAGAAGAGTATGATGCGTGCTTGTGCGTTGACGACAGTTCGTCTGCCTATTGCTGTTGCTGATCAGCCGGCTGATTCCGATTCTGATTCCACGGCCTCGGGGGCTCTGGTTACTTTATCGTCGCAGGAGGCGCCTCGTGCTTTTGCGTTCATTCAGCGCACTTTGCTTGAGAAGTATGATACCTTTGTGCCTACTTTTCAACATGGGCCGTGGCTGTGGACGCGATTGAGTGGGCAGATTTATCTGGAAAAAGGCGATTTCGAGTGGCTGGGTGGTATCCTGCGTGAATTGTGTGAACAGATTGCTCGTAAGGAGTATTAGTATGAGCAAATATATAATTGGCGATTGCTCCTTGCCCTCATTTGTGAGGCTGTCCTTTTTTTTGACGTGATAAGGATTGCCGAGTAGTGTGTACATCGGTTTTCGTTGAACTTTCGTGATCTGTCACCATCCTGAGTAGATAAACTCATGGCAAACATCACTGCATGGATGAACACATCCAATCCATGAAGACAGTCTCCAGGAAAAAGGAAACAAAACTCAAATGGTCGTTGAGGCGCTCCTTATTGGTAGACATAGCTGTACATGTTCCATCACGCCATCACAGGTCGGGGTAACCAAAGATCACCTCATATTCTCACGAACCTCTCTGGATGCGGGGGCGTTCGTGTCCCTTTATATCTTGCTTCTGTTCCCAAGGTACTTTTCTTTTATCAAGGCTCGTCAGGAATCAAACTATTAAGCTACCATTAATTTGAACTTCAATCTCCACTATGACTGTCGCGCAAGAAGTCGAAGCGTCCAACGCACATTATGCTGCCTCGTTTACTAAAGGGGATCTGGCTCTGCCTCCGCAACGGTATTCTATCCTATTTTATTCTTTTTGTTGAAGAGATATTTGACAGAGAGCTCGATTCTATGCTGACATTTCTTATCTCTTAGCAAAGTTGCTATCGTAGCATGTATGGATGCAAGACTCGGTACACTTGACACAAGGCCCATACCTCATTACTACAAGTAATATCCATACAGCTAACCAACGGTAAATGTACTAAATAGATACCGCCCGCGCCTTGGGCCTTGAAGAAGGCGACGCCCACGTTATTCGAAATGCAGGCGGTCGGGTGACGGATGCACTACGCAGTATTGTCATCTCGCAGCAGCTCCTCGGAACGCGGGAGATCATCATCGTGCACCATGTAGGTTTTTGAAACCCAAAACTTTTTAGGAAAGACCACGGGAAGCTGCGTTACAAGGTGCTAACGTATCGACTCCAGACGGACTGTGGAATGCTTACTTTCACCGACGAGGTGATCCGCGGCAAAGTCCGGGCAGATTTGGGTCAGAATGTTGATCATATTTCTTTTCTTCCTTTCGGAGATCTCAGGCAGAGTGTTCTGGATGATATTAAGCTGTTGGAAGAGAGTCCTATCGTACTGGATGTTCCGGTCACGGGGTACGTGTATGAAGTGGAAACGGGAAAGATCGTCAAGGTAGAATGAGAATATGGACAAGTCATGCGCAGATACATACTACGTAGTAGTATTTTATTGTATTTAAGAATGACGGGCAGATATTATTGTGAGTTCCCTGTGCTGTTAGTTGGACATGAAGAGATGAATTACGCAGCCTCTACCGGTTAGTATTGTGTGACATGCCCAGGTACGTATGATTGAGGGCTAGAAGACTAGAGCAAGAATGTAGTAGTATTCAACGAGATCGCTAAGTATGAGGAGCAAGAAGAAGAGCAAGAAGCTCCAGCGCACCAGATAAAGCTACGCCTGCTCTAAGTATACAGGCATCAAAGATGTGATTCGTCGCATTCCTTCCATACTACCAGCCGAACACTTGGCTCAGTCAGCTGTCCGACTAAAAGGCCACTATGATGATCCTTTACAAGGCAAACTCGAGTAGGGGCTATAATCAGGACTTGGCCCCGATTCCCCGACTACAGTTAGGGCATCTCATTATTTCCTTCTTGTTTTCCATATTTTCCATCTTCTTTTCTAACTCAATCTGCTTATGTTGCTGCCAATTCTTGAGGAATGTTAGCTTGGTTCTTAAGAATAGGATATAGAGAGTTTACCATATATAATTGCCACAAAGAACAGAGCGTAGTTAAAATCATAGCTATAGACGTCCAGATGTCCATATTAGCGGTGAGTGTAGGGCAGCGAGAAATAGAGCGTTGTAGTTAGAGACCGGAGGCGGAGGCGTAAATGTGTACCGTAAGGTAGTTAGACAAGTAGAAGATAATGAGGAAGTTAAACAGAAATATAGAACACTTTGGGAATTTTTCTTTATTGAGGGTACCAGTACGACTTAATAATTACGGATAGTCTAAAGGATGAAATGGACTTAGGACCTGTTTCCCGTGGTCCTGGGCGGTTCGCGGCAATCGTAACCGCAACCGCCAAATGTGGTTATCTACTAGTACATTTATGGATCTGGAAGTAAGGGTTGAATACTTGGTTAGAAGTGTGTTCTTAGAGTGACTCAGAGTATACTTGCTGCCCCTGATAAGAAGCTACGACCTCTTATTAAAGTAAGCTGAGGGATATTTGTTGAACATCCTCAAGGGTGGTACTGAATAAGGTACTACTTATCAAGTATGAAAGTTCCTCTGCTGATTACCAACTAACCAGATTTACAATCATAAGAAGATTGATGCCTACCTGACAAATGCTGAACCATGCTCAGCTGAAAGTCAGAACCTTCACACCCGATCAGGGATAGCACATTCAGCCTTGCGCTTAGGCCAGGCTCACCAGCCACAAGTGCAGGCATCAATCTTGTTTCCTATATTTTTGCTTTTTCCTTTGAATCAAAAAGATTTGCGACTGCTTTCCTTCGCGGTAATAAAAACGAACGTAGTATTCGTCTAAATAGTGAGCCTTTTACATACGGAGTATTATACAGAGCTGATGGTTCTTGATCTTTTGTCTTGTCCCGTACCGGCCCGACCCACTGCGGTGGGTCATAGATGTAACTCAGCCACTTACATGAGCTCAAATTCTTCACAAACCACAAAGGCAAAAATTCTTCATCAAGCAAAAAAGATATCTCAGGTAAGGTTTGTAGGAATAGCCGAACGGGGGGGGTCGAACCCCCCAACCTTGAGATTAAGAGTCTCACGCTCTACCGATTGAGCTAGCCCGGCTGGGCTGTTGGAGGATGATGCCAACGAAAGAGTGGTATGGGCGTTGAGAGTGTCAATTGTCCCCTTTTTCCGTGGCCAGCGTATGTATGTATACTCCGTAGGTAGGACCGCGAGATTTCGCCCGGGTGCTGGACTGAGAGGGAAGGGAAGGGAACCGCGTAATGCAACGCAAAGTTTAATTGACATGCGCGAAAGACATGCGCGAAATATTGTCCGAGAAGACTCGCGGGAGAAAAGGTCGTGGCCTTGCGCACGGCCCATGACCAGGTGTCTAGAACGAGATTGCCTATGAATTGGGGTTAGCAATTGGCCGTCGCCTCCAAGGCAGACTGAGGTTTGTAAGAAGATTGTTAGAGAAATGGCGCGCGATAAGCGTTCTGCAAATCATGTTCCACTCTCGTCATTGATTTGGGAGAAATCCCCCCTCGGTCACCCCTGACAGAGGTGTGCGGCGCTAGAGATGAGGAGACGTCACCCGGGGGAAGTAAGCAGAAAGAAAGCCGGGATTTGAGGGAACGGAGAGAGTGGCTGGTGTGTCAAATCACGTCGGAGGGTAAGCGGGATTTGTGGCTGAGGCTGAGCAATGTTGAGGAAAAAGAAAGAAGAGACCCTGTCAGACTGGATGATAGTGAATTGAGGTGTGGCTTGCGGCGGAGCAGGATGAGGCTTGAGTTGAGAGGGGCATACGAGTAGTTTGGGGTCCAAAAACATTCGGGTCGGGGATCGTCAACTATTCTTAGGACCTCGTAAAAAAATGAAACACCGGTGTTATTGTCGCCAAAAATGGCACACCCAGAGAAGTCTATCTCGAGGCTCTGTACGAATTATCGAGGCTCAATTCGAGTTGCATGAACGAATGTTTCGAGTATTGTAGGAGTGTCTCGGCAGACGCTGGTGGGGGAGAGCGCGCGTGCGGAGAACAAATGAGTGCGGGAAGAATGGCGGCGGCCAGCGCCAGATCAAACGGACGTCATTTAGAATTAGTGGCCCTTGATGAAAGTTCAGGTGCCGAACTATTTTGGCTCAAGTGACATGAACATGTTCTGTTCTGTTCTGTTCTGTACCGTACTCCGTACTCGGGGGGGGGGGGAGGGCGATGATCACCACTGATGGAGGGAACACGAGACCCTCCGCCGTCGGCGCAGGAACACGAGCCGGTCAAGCCACAAGTGCTGGGATCCGCCCTCACCAATGATGACATCTGGTGGTCATTTGAGCCAGGCAGCAAAGGTTGAGAAGTGGCCTGGGAAAAGGTTAGAAGGAAAGGAATCGGGGAACGAGAGTGGAAAGGAGAATTACTGCAAGTGATACAGGATGCAGAACAAAGCGTGCATCACAAAGCGCCCGTCATGAGCAGGGCGCGCGATAAAGGGACAAAGAGAGAGCAGCCATACTCCGTAGACCGTCATTACAGGGGAAGACAGCCAATCAAGGGTTCGACAAGGGCCAATGCGGCGGTGTTGACTGAGCCACACGCTAGCAGGGAGAATAAGATGAGGGTGAAGTACTTGGAGTACTTGGAGGGTCGTACTAAAATAGCGGGAGGAGCGGGTACCACCCGAACAGAGCCTCTCATCCTCTTTTCCCCCCCAGGCACCACTCGTTGATCTGTGGGTATGCCTTGTCTTCTACTACTAGTAGTAGTACACTTTTAGTCTTTCCTATATATACTCCTCCTCCTGCCCCTCCTCAACATCTTCATCTTCACTCCACTCTTCTCTGGCACTGCTATACTATACACCATACTATACAATAGTATACTACGCCTCAATCACCTGCCACCTACTACGACTCGATCATCCACCCACATATATACTCCTTCGTCACTCGCCCTCTCTCGCGTGACTATCAAAGAATCATTCACCGTGTCTCCTCAACGCTCTTCCACCTACTTTATCAACCCCACCACCGCCACCATAGACAATTCTCCTCGTTCTTCCTCCCGGCGTCTCTTTGGGAGTCGCCATTCATCCGAGATGCCTGGCTCAGTCGAAATCGTTTCTGCCCCCGCCGTCGTCCGTGATCTGGAAGGCGACGAGCGCTTCGTCCTCGATCAATTTGAGCAACACACTGCTCACTGCACCCAGTGCACTCACGCCCTCGATGCCTCTCACGATACCCTCTGTGAACGCGGACACGCCTACGCCATCGACCTCAGCAAATATTTATACAGTCAAGGAGGAAAGCACTTCGCGGTAGTGGACCGCGAGAATGGCAAGCTGCGAAGAGTCAAGCTGCCCCGCGAAGCCAAGTCCGCCCTCCACCTGCTCGAAGGGATTGAGGCAGGTCTCCTTCTGCGAGCTTCTCGTCGAGGCCGTACCCGTGCTGTCCGCCCTCCCTCCGGTGACTTGACTGTTCCTGTACCCACTGGAAGTTACGACAGTACCTACGATGTCCGTCCCCGTCTACCAGTCCGCGAACACGTCGAACGCCGCCCACGCTCCTTTTCCCCCGATGAAGAACCCGCCTCGCCAACCATCATCACCCGCAAGCCTCGCAGCACCAGCGGGAGCTCCAGTGGCAGCACCTCCGGTAAGGTTAAGAACTACCGCATTGTTCTTCACCAGTCCCCTCGCAGCTCTACCAGCCGTAGTCCAGCGAGTCGAGGCTCGCTGTATGGCTCTGACCAGCTGGACCGTGCCGAACGCCGCTACGAATCTACATACATCAAACGCCGATCTGACTACCACCATTGATCGAATAACTACAATGCCTGATGATCTATATGTGCCTTTGTCGTCTACCTACCACGATTATTAAACATCCCCGGTTGCTTTTGAAAGCTTCATTTCAACCCACGCTCCGGGAGGGGGCATTGACTGCGCCCTCCCTATCAGCAAGACCGCAAGACGGTCATTCCCAGTTGTGAGATAACCCCCACAACTGGTTCCCCTACGTCCTTGACTTGAAATTTTGGAAATTGGCTCAGGGCCTGCCTGGATGCGCCCCGGAAAGAGACCACCTTGTTTAGTCGGACACCCAGATTGGAAACGATCTGACTTTTTTTTTGGAAGGAATATGTATGACTCGAATACTCACTTTCCCGTTGTTGCTTGAGCTTGTCTATAGTTCTTTGTGCATGTTTGGTCGCGCCATTATTGGCTCGGGATCCTCCCCCCTCCTGCATTTAATGCCGGGGGGAGGGGAGGGGGGTGGAGCAGAGCCTATTGGAAGATGAAAGATCTCTTCCTGCTTGGCTGCATGCATTTTCTTTATGATGCACGTTGTTATTGGTTCTTGATACTTGTGACTCACTTATTTATGGAGAATCCTACATACGTTACCTGTTTGTAGGGACGGAACAGAAACATGATTTTAGTTATTTTTCCTTTGTTCTTGAGATTTTGATGCATGATGATTTAATCTCCTTTGATTACTTGATTACTGAGATAGTCTATGATGAATGAAGTTTGGTCGTGTTTACAATTTCCCCAACTTAGATACTTAAAAGCTGTCAAGACGTTAAGTTCATTCAAGTTCTTACACTGTACTATACTACACTATACTCTACTTATGTATGTGGAGCTGCCAGTCTCCCGTTGCCCCATTGTAAAAACTTCCCACACCAGGTGGACACAGGATAAGATTACCATCCAGATTTAGCTGTGGAGTGGAGGACACCTTGGCAATACCATCTCAATGCAAGTCTTACTGATCTACATCTTCATGAAATCATCTCCCATTGATCATCTGCTTGTACGTGAGTCACTGCGGGGCTTTGTGGCGGATGTCGGCGGGGCAAGGCTGACATCGGCCTCTCCATTTGGGTCTCCGACAATGTGTTCAACAAAGAGTATGGAATTTTATTCGCATGTTTATGAACTGATTTATTTTCTATGCGGGAAATATTATTCGCAAGCGGGTTTGCCGCAACTTCAACTTCGATTTCAAGTTGAACTGCCAGTGGGTCACGGTCTTAGCAAGTGGTGACTGATGGGGCTGGAGTCTACTGCAAATATGGTCCACTATCCAAAACCCCGTTGCATATATATCTCTGCGGGCACTGGAGTGCCAGTGGACGCCCGGATGCGCATCAGTTCAAGATCAAGTTCAATGTATCTAGGAAAAGATTCAAATTCTCTGCTAATATATTATTTAGAGAATGTCAGAACTCCGAACCATGTTCAGGTTCAGCCTTGGAAGTTGTTATACTAGTAGTATAAATCTACTTGTTCGGGCTTCAAGTAGGCATCACGGCGTCTCTGTGACTCCCCGAGACACGCCATGCCCCTAAATAAAAGATACTATTTAGATACTTTCAGTAAAGGCCTGGAGAATTTTTAGATTTTTTTGGGGTGTCTCGGTGTCTACTAGTAGTAGGTGTCAGAGACTAAGGAAAATGGCGTTGCGAAGCAATCAGTGTGTTTGTGCAGCGTCTTGGACTCATCTTTGAAGCCGCAAGTTAAATTTGGGCCTACTAGGTATTATGATGATGAACCAAACCTTTGATGCTGCTGATCTGACTAGTCTCTTAGTGATCGATCACTTGAGATTGTCGGGGTATACACATACATGTACATAGTTCGCGCGTTGATAAGCTGAGGCGATGATGGGACATTGTAATGTTTCTAAGCCGAGAAAAGCAAATCCGTAAGAGTCGTTCCATATTTAAACCTCCTGTACGGAGTAGCTTCAGAAAAAAAGACCGCAGGGACAAAGAGATCTGCTGCTTCACCCCATCGGAACAGTAACTCGTTTTTGAGACAGGTTAGCCGACACAGGATTTACATACCGAGTGTCTGGGAAAGGAGATCGTTGCAGAGATAAGACAGGTCTCTTTTGATTTGGAGACCTTTGAATGTTTGCTTCTTGGTAGGGGGTGAACTAGACCTGAAAATAGATCGATCGATGTCTTGAGCATGGCCATTGGATACTTGTCTCATGAGGTTCCAGCCCCTTTTGGCTAGAAAATGGACCGGTCTCTTTTCCATTTCCCATTTTTCAGACCCGTCCCCCCTTCCCCGGCTAGAACGATGAGCGATCCACGTGGAGCTGGTCTGGTCGATTGACAAATATGTGCATATCGGGTTGATGAAGTAAGGGGGTTCTGGGGGTATTCAAGGTGCAAAGCCCACCTGGGTCTACAAGGTCGAATCAACTGTGATATTATGTGTATGCAGTAGGAGACTAGGGGGGCTGATTGATTGACAGGAATATTGAAAGATCAGATGCTCTGTATAGCTTAGAGATGCCAAGAGTGATGCCCAAAGGTGTACGGAGTAACAGAGTACGGGAGTAGCTCCACTGAACGCAGCACGGACAACCTCACGGACCATCTCCCCTCCCCCCCCCCCCAGTCCCATACGGAGTATCCATGTTCATGTTTGCAACGAATGGCAGAATTCTCCTGCAATGAATCAATGAACCAGTCGTGATACCCTCCCCTGGACCAATCACGTCAACCTTCTCTACCTGCCAGAGCCTCAGAGCCTCATAGCCTCTCATATCTTACTCTCCATCCTCCCATCCTCCCATCCTTCCGACCTTCGCGATCTGGTCGAACATCACCTCGTCACGTTTTAATCCATCTCGAACATCTTGCGGTCCTGCCTCCGATCTTTCCTGTCGATCCGCCGCTCCTACAAGTCACCCCCCTCTCTCGTCTGTCGTCTCCGTCTCCGTCTGCTCATCCCCTCCCCACTCTATCCGGATTCCACTCGGCACCTTCACACACCACCTCTCCTTGTCAGCATGTTCCATGGCCGCCCTGGACTTTGAGCTCGATGACCAGGACAGATACTAGCGACTCGATTCACCACCTCCGACCTTGTCCTCAAATCCTAACGCCCTTGTTGCTCACCTCGCAGCTCCGACGACGCGCCTTGTCTCAGAGGTCCGCATCCCAAACGTTCCGTCCAAATCTATGCGACCATCCACATCCTCTATTCTAGCATCCTTCCATCTCCGACCGAGTGAGTCCTACCTCCACGACTGTCTCATTAATACGACACTCTACCGCATTTCTGGGTCCGAGCTTCATACTGTGGCGCAAGCATCCGCGACGACGTAGCCGACACCGCACGCTCCAGTTCCCCCCGTGCTCCGGCGCATTCAATACAGCCTACATCCATTGATGGTGGACGACATTCATCCTTCACAGCACCCCCAGACCCTGTCGCCGGCAGTGACTTGATTTAGCTCCCTGTCGAGGGCATCGGTCGTGTCTGGGACCAGCCATGCCCGTGCAAGAGCACGAGCAACCCGACCGGCAGGGCTCATCGAGCTCGGGAAACAGTTGGATTTCACAGGCGACCGTACGAAATAGTGATGGTACGCGCCAGGATAGCACAACCTCTGACGGTCGCGATGCCGAACCATTCCCAGGTACCCTGACAGACAAGTAAGCTCTCCTTTGCCTTCCAGCTAGGTTCCCGAAATCATGAGGCGTCATGATGCCTGAGCTATCAGGAAGCTGCGAATGCTAAACTCCTGCCAGATCCGAGCCATCTCAGGCTCACAAGATCGATTGGGGGGGCTTCCATGTGGTCATGGAGCTCCCCCCGAAGTCTCCCCTACCGAAGAGCGCAAAGGATCCGGCTTCAGTAATCATAGAAAGGCTCTCGCTGTCCTCGATGCTGGGGATGAGACCTCTCGATCCGTTTCCTCCAGTCCGCGACCCCCACCCATCAACCAACCCCGCCCCAACGAGAATACCGAGTCCGAATCGATAGCTCCCTGGGCGGTTAGTACTGGAGCTGATGGTCAAAGAACATTTTTCAATGATTTCTCTGAACATGAAGCCTCGCCTGCATCAGCTACATTTCGCCCTACAACTGGACGCACCTTTTCTAGCGAGCCGGCAGAATTGGAGTATAATGGAGAATACCGCAGACCTTCCACAACGAGCATGACCAGCAGCACCGGGTCAAAATCAAGTCTCGGTGCAAAGTTCATGAAAAAGAAACCAAGGGGCTCTGTCAGTGAAGAATACCCGCTTGATGAGGCTGGAGACGGAACGAATCCGCCCAGCAGACGCGGGGGCCCAATTGATCAATTGCGTGCTCGAGAAAGGGCCAACTCTGACGGGTCTGAAGCTTCTCAGCGACAATCTCGTTCACGGGCAGAGACGCCTTTGCCTTCAAGTGATATAACTCCCTGGGTCTATCAAAGCTTCAATGACATTCCACAATACGGAGAGGCCCCCGTCCGACAAGTTCCCATCGGCCCTGATGGTCAGCGCCAGAATTCCCAAGGAAGTCAGCCGCGCTCCGTACACAGAGATTCTTCGAGTCGACGCGGGACCAATGGCCACCGCCATTCTCGAAGCAAAGAGGAAAATCCCACTCTCGCTGGTGACCTTGCAGACTACCAATTCTCTGGCTTCCACGGCCGCCCTTCTGTCGGACGTGATGATTTCTCTGTCGGATTGAAGCCCCACAAGGAGAGTCATCTCCATTCCTCTACTGCCATGAGCTCGACGGCCAACCTTGGTGGCCGATCGACGAGCCCGACGCCCAGCGTTCAGAGTGCTATTTATCACAGTACTAGCCACACCTCCCCAGGGGGCCCTCCTAATAAACAGAATATATTGAGCAAGATCGGTCGGTTTTTGCCTGGCCACAAGCCACACCACGACAAGCCGAAGCGTGAACAATCCCCAAATCGACGCCGCCAGGGAAGCCTTGAGGGAACCTCCACTCCTCGCTTGGACACGGCCGATTCAGAACGCAGAAAAGAGTCCGGAAAGGGCCTGGGA